TAAGTGCTGAACCAGTAAGAGGTCTGAACCATTAAGAGCTAGTATATTGTTTAACTATTCAGAGGCAAATGTCTGATCAATTCAGATAAGAGCTCTTAACCATTCAGACTCTGTATAATACTTAACCATTCAGAGGCAAATCTCTTAACCATTCAGACATCTGAACCATTAAGAGGCTGAAACAAACAGTCTGAACCATTAAGTGCTGAATCATTCAGACATCTGAACCATTAAGAGGCTGAAACAAACAGCCCCTTAGTTGTACTAACTTCTTGGATAATCAACACCCGGGTGAAGAATATTTTCATGTAGGTGTAGTGTTCCTTTTGTTTTGCCCAAGTCTTCTCATCTTCTTGGCTCCTGGTAAACGCATTGGGGTATATATATAGCCACAGTAGTGAGTGATTGCTGTGATTTCAAAATGTTATAGACAGTTTCCTTACTCTCCGTAGGAAGAAATTCTTATCCACAATTTTAAACTGTAAGAAATAAGAACAAATTAAATTGGAAGTAATTTAAAAAAAAAATAGAACAAACAAAAAAACAAGAAAAAAACTTTTAAAATTTATTTAAGTTAATTTACATAGCATTATTATAAATATGGTTATTATTATTATCACTATTATCAATTAGTATAAGTATTATTATTGTTATAACATTCATAATAGGTAAAGAAAATGAATAAAATTCGATTACGTGAATAAAGTACATGCTACTTAATTAGCAATACATGGAATAGTATAATTATTATTTTTAATTTAGATTATTGATGTTTCCTCTGTCCCTGATTATTTGTCCATTTTTGATTATTATTTTTAATTTAGATTAATACAATATACTTCCTCTGTCCCTGATTATTTGTCCATTTTTGATTTTTTTGTCAAAACAGGTAAACTTTGACCTCAAATTAAATAAAAATGGTATTAGATATTGATACAGAAATATTTTTATTATATTTATAAACTATATCTATAATAATAATAATAATAATAATAGTAATACATGAAAAATATAATATTTTTAAAGTCGATTTTTGGGAGTGGGAAAGATTGAAGAAAATGATAATAATTAGAAATATTAGAAGTTAAAAGTTTAAGCTCTAAACAATATGCTCTCACAAGAATTACAAATTATACCAAAAGAGGATTACAAATAATTATTACGGAGTAATATTCTTTTTTAGTACTATTAACTCTATTCGGGGAGAAGTTCACGGAATAATATTCTAGTAACCCTTAAATGGCAAAGTAATTACGGAGTAGAACATATCATGGGGGAATCTCATGGAATGAACCTCTCACTAAAATAAATATTTTCGTATTACTTAAATAAATATATATTTTTTTAATAAAAAATAAAAAAAATCTATCAAAGATTTTGGAAAAATGCTAGGAGTACACCAAATGTATATCTCATTTGTCCTTCACACCCTCCATTACCACATAAATGAGCAAAAAATTAAAAAAAATTAAATAAATAAAAATAGGGGTAAAAATGAATAATGAAGAAAGGGACATCTGACAAAAAAGGTACCATTGCTCAAGATTTTGCATATGTAGTTGAACATTCCAAAGCCACCAATAATTTGGAGTATATAATTAGGGAGTGATAAACTGCCGCGTATGTAAATTCAGGTTTGATATAAAAAGGGTCCCACAGCACAAGTTGCATAATTAGGGTCCCCTACTTTTCATTTATTTTCACCACTTACTCAACACTTATTTTTATTAAAATTAAATTATATTATGTCTAATCAAATTAAATTTTTTAGATTAAATTAAATAAATCTAAAGTATATTAGAAAATAATGCTAATATTTTTTCTATTATTAGATAATAATTACTATATGATTAATTTGTGTTGCGTCATTTACTGCTGCATTTAATTTAAGTACTATTATCATTTTATATAGAATTGAGTAATAATAATACTTTTACGTACGATTAAGTAATACTTTATTATTATTATTATTAAAGTATTTATAGTACTCTATTTGTTACTAAAATGTTGTCCTCTTTCAAATATGCACAAAATTGAATCACTTTTATTATTATTTAAAATATAAAAATATAAAAATAAAGAGTATAATTTATTATTTATATGTTCAAAAACAATAAAAAATTCTACAACACATGTAGTTGTCTATCTATTTGATTTTATCAATTACTCTATCTGGCTTGGAATTATTTTTCGAATTTCTCTTAGCACAATGATTTTTAAGTGGTTGTAGTTTGTGGAGAGGAAAGTAAATTGATATGATCTTTATAAAACTATTTCTAAAATCTCGAGTGCGAGATTGGAAAAAATTCTCTCAAACATTGTCGATCAAAATCAAGAAGCCTATATTCGTCCGAGAAGTCTAGTTCACAACATGCTTATTTGTCAAAAAGTGACAAGAGGATATAGAAAAAAAGTAATTTCATTTAGATCACGAAAGCTTATGACTGTGTCACTTGGGAGGCTCTATTTCTTCTAATAATATACTTCATCCGTCCACCTAAGATCTTTCCATTACGCGTTACGAAGCTTGACCGATTTTATTTTCAATTCAATTTAATTGATTATAGGAGTAAAATTTTAAAACAAAATTTATATAGTACTCCGTAATAAACTACATGAATAGTTCTACAAAATTAGCACATTATTTTACGAAATGACTAGTAAAAATGAGCAAACAAAGTGATTAAAGTTTGACCATGTGAATAGTTTCTGGAAAGATCTATGTTGGACAGAGGGAGTACATTTTTTTATATTCTAAGAGTGGGAAGAGCAATAATTTTAGTAATTATACTTTTTGTCCTGTAAAAAATTACACATCGAGTACATTTTTTCACAAAAAATTTAAAAATGTATGAAATCATAAGAATATTAAAAAGTGGTTAAAATCTTTTTAAATGGAAGCGAATTATACTCGATTATATATCATAGTATCTAAATTTTCACTTACTTAGTTATTGTCAACCATTTCTTTTTCTACATATTCACTATATTACTCATTTTTTCTTTCATATAACACATAAATATATAATAATAATAATGGTGATAATACAAAATGATTCTTTTGACCCTTGAACCTTGGGTCATATTATGACATAAGAGGCCAGGATCTTTACAATGTCCCCTTCGTAAAATTAATAATTTATACCCTCCTCCCACAACCGCCCTAAGGCCCCGTTCCGTTCAACTTATTTTTTCTTATTTTTTCTTATTCTTATTAAAATCAGATCAGATCAGATCAGATCATATCAGATCAGATCAGATCAGATCCAATCAGATCAGATCAGATCAGGACTTTTTAAAATCAGATCCCATGAAGAATTATTATTATATTATCATCATCATCATCATCATCATCATCATTAGCATTGTTCTTAAAAATGAATAAGAATAAACTTTAGAAATAGGTTAAATAGAAAACTGAGAAAGTAATCCTTAATTATTAGACGTCGGAAAAATTAGTTTTAAAATACATTGACAATGAGATATTTTAATAAAAATACTATATCTTCTATATATTGATTATCTAAATTTAATTACTTTTTAATGTATATCTAAATTAAATATTTATTCTAATGTATAATTCTAATTTTACAAAAATATTATCATAAAATAAAAAATATTATTACATTATAATATGAATGATTATTCTAATATATGAATTAACTATTTTTATTTTATTAAAAAATAATCATTAAATAAAAAATATTGATTATATTATAATATGAATTATCATTACAATTTTCAAACGTTATTATAAAGTCAAATTAAATTATTGATTTGAAATTTTAAATTAAATCATAATTAATCAGATCAGANTCTTCTATATATTGATTATCTAAATTTAATTACTTTTTAATGTATATCTAAATTAAATATTTATTCTAATGTATAATTCTAATTTTACAAAAATATTATCATAAAATAAAAAATATTATTACATTATAATATGAATGATTATTCTAATATATGAATTAACTATTTTTATTTTATTAAAAAATAATCATTAAATAAAAAATATTGATTATATTATAATATGAATTATCATTACAATTTTCAAACGTTATTATAAAGTCAAATTAAATTATTGATTTGAAATTTTAAATTAAATCATAATTAATCAGATCAGATCAGATCCAATCAGATCGGATCAGATCTAATCAGATCAGATCTAATCGGATCAGATCCAATCAGATCAGATCAGATCCAATCAGATCCAATCAGATCAGATCAGACCAGATCAGAGTTTATTAGAATCAGATCAGAAAAAATAAGTTGAACGGAACGGAACCTAAATCCTACCCCCTTCCTCTACCTTTTATAATACTATGAACTATTTCTAATGTTTTTAATAAATATTTTGTTGCTAACTTATCTCTTGATAATATTAATACTAACTTCAATTTATTTGAAAATTGATATGGAACTAAATAATAAAATTTATATATTAAAACCTAGATCAAAAATTCTAAAAAACATAAAATGACAAGACTATATTATTTTCTCAGGTGAGTAATGAAAAAATGAATAAAGAATATGTTTAAAATTTTATCATATAAAATAATAAGCAGACACCTTAAATTAGGATAGAATAAATATATGATAACACATCACATACAACCAATACTCAACGGGATATTTACTTAAACAGCACTAAAATATAATGACTTTCTCTAAATAGCATTACATGTGTTTTTCTTTCCAATTTAACACTTTTAATCATTATGCATTTGTCATTATTCAAGTAAATATTTACCATCACTGGACATTATGGACATTATTAAGTGCTATTTAGGAAAGAAAATAATTTAAGTACTATTTAGAAAAATGATTAAGTTTTAGTGCTATTTGATGCAAATATTTCATACTCAAATCTCCCAATTTAAATTACACTTTTTCATAATATAAGCCTATATATAAGTTTCGCTATTAAGCATAGAATCATTGAAATAGCATTACCAAAGCAAAATGGAAGGTGTGGAGGTGGTCTTCATACCGTCCCCTATAATGGGCCACATCGTTTCCACCGTCGAAATGGCAAAGCTCCTCCTACGGAAACGCCGCCGCCGTGACGATCTCTCCATCTCCGTCTTGATCATGAAGTCCCCCTTCGACTCCAAAGTTGCCTCTTACGTCGAATCTCTTCTCGCCGCCGGCCCCTCTTCTAGATTGAAGTTCGTGCCACTCTCAGCTCCGGCGATGGCTGAGCCCACCAAAAAGAACACCTTCTACCTCTCCTTGTTCGAATCTCACAAGCAGAGCGCCAGAGATTGGATTAACGAATTCCAGACGAGTGGCTCCGCCAAGCTCGCCGCCGCCGTTGTGGATAGTTTCTGCCTGACCATGATGGACGTCGCCGGCGAGTTCGGGATTCCGTGCTACGTGTACTGCACCTCCGGCGCCGCCTTCCTCGGCCTCCAGCTCCACCTGCAGAGCCTCAGAGACAACTGCGGCATAGACGTCACGGAGTTCAAAGATTCAGATCCGGATCTGAAAGTGTGCACTTATTCTAAAACTTTTCCGGTCAAGCTTCTGCCGGGAATTATATTTGACAAGGCCGGCGGGGGATCGGACATGATTTTGGATATTGGGAAACTAATCCGAACGGCGAGGGGCATAATCGTGAACACGTTCTCCGAGCTTGAGGAACACGCGCTCGACTCTTTGTCAAAACAGGAGACGGCGCTCCCGCCCCGGTACCCGGTGGGACCCGTTCTGAACCTGCAAAGCGATAAGATCGGAGAATCCGATGAGATTTTCCAATGGCTCGACAACCAACAGGAATCCTCCGTCGTCTTCCTCTGCTTCGGAAGCGGCGGAAGCTTCCCAGAGCCGCAAGTCAAGGAGATCGCTCTCGCGCTCGAGCGCAGCGGCCACCGGTTCCTGTGGGCCCTGAGGCGTCCTCCGCCCAAAGGATATTTCTACCCGGGAGACTACAGCAGCCTCGAGGAGGTCCTGACGGAAGGATTCTCGGAGAGGACAAAATCGACCGGGAAAGTGATCGGATGGGCGCCTCAGGCCGCCGTGCTGGCCCACCCCGCCGTGGGGGGATTTGTGTCACACTGCGGTTGGAATTCAACCCTTGAGAGCGTCTGGTTCGGGGTTCCAATGGCGACTTGGCCGATTTACGCGGAGCAGCAGGCGAACGCGTTCCAAATTGTGACGGAGATGGGAACGGGAGTGGAAGTCAAGATGGACTACAGAGGATCATTAATGGCGAATCGGGATGAGTTCCCGGAAAAGGTGGACGCGGAGACGATAGAAGCGGGGATCAGGAAGCTGATGGACGACGGCCCAGCTGCGGCGGCGGCGAGGAAGAAGGCAAAAGAGCTGAAAGAGAAGAGCAGAGAGGCGTTGGAGGAGGGCGGGTCGTCCTTCAAATTTCTCGAAGCTTTCTTTGATCAAGTCTTTAAAACAACTTGAATTGAAGCCGTAGTAAAGAATCTGCATGTTCCGATCCCACCATTGTCGTCTTCTTTATATACCCACGTTTGTTGTTTCCAAAAAAAAAAAGGAATATGAGATGTGTTCTTAGAGCAACTCCAACGAGAGCTGCAAACACTATTAGATGTTTAAATAGTTCTTTAGCTTTTCACTTTTTCTAAGCAACTCCAACCATGTAGTCTAAATTTTAAACTTTTATTATATTTAATATTTATATCTTTACTTTATGGTGTAAAGAGTCAAATCTCCTCCACTTGTTTCTTTTTCTTTTGTTCTCTCTCCTCTGGCAACTTAATATTTTATTATTTTTTAGATTTAGCTCATGAATAGTTATCTGCTAAATAAAGCTGGTGGGACTTCCATTTTAACTCACCATCTGTTTTATAAAAGGTCCGTTGGAAATGTTATTAATGAATAGTGTCAGTTAAATCTTCTATAATAAAGCTTATAGAAGAGGTGTTGGAGTTGCTCTTAAACATCTTATTTTACATGATTTGTTCTTAAACATCTTATTTTAGTATTGTACCACAATTGTACATCAAAGTTGAATAAGACATATTGACCAAATAGAGCAATGAGTACCCCATAGTTTAAAAAATAGTCATCCATATCTCCTGCTGCGTTAGCTTATTCGCGTATAATACATGTATTATACATTCGTAAGTATAGGACGCGTATTATATTTTCAAATACGGATTTTCTCATGTAACAAATGTATAATACATGCATTTTTTACTCAAAAACGTATTTACGAATTCTATACGTATTAAATCGTAAAAGTCTTCTACTATCCACTCCAACAATAAAAATTTAGAAGGTCAAATTTGGATCAGATCAATTTACTTGATTGTCTTCCTCCCAAATGTACAAATCTTTAAAATTTGGCAACCCAACAATCGTAAAAGTATTAGAATCCATATCAAAGTTTGAGTCATCCACCAACGACCTTTTTTAATTAAATATCATTCACAGTTTTCCTGTCTCTTCGACTCGATCGGACTGAGAGTCTAACACTCCAACCGCTCTAGCAAATAATAGATAACAACACTGTCTCTATTTGTTTAGATTTTTAGAATGTAATCATTTTTTGCATTTAGTTTTAGACATTAAATATATATCTCTGTTTACAAAGACAAACTTGATTTCATTCGTGTGATCTGAATTTTTTAAAAATCTAAGTTCGTAAATATATTTTTCATTCAAAAAATGAAAACTATAAAGTTAGTTTCATTTCACTTAATTTTAAATTAGGTAAAAGATTCTTTGGTGAGTTCATATTTATTTTACAAAGAGACTTGAATCTTTTTTTAAAATTCAGCATTTAATAATTTTGTAAAACTTAAATTGTCTAAATAATATAATTTTTGTCATATCTCAAATTTTGCATTTGATAATTATTGACCTATGGTCTAATAATAAAATTCATAAATACATTTTGAGTCAAAAATATGCGTATTATACGTTTGTTACATGAAAAAATTATATTCAGGAGTATAATTTGCGTACTATGTGCATGGATGTATAATACATATATTATACGCGAACAAGCTAACAGAAGTCTAAATATTAGCTTTAGTTTTAAGAACGTGTTCTAACCATAGTTTTCAGAACCGGACCGGTGACCGAACCGGTCAAGATACTGGTTCACTGGTCAAACCTATAGTTCAACAAGTCAAACCGGTAGTTTAAGCATATTTTAAAAATTATATAAATAAGTTGATTTTATTTTTATAAATAAGTTAATTTTATAAATGAAAAGTTAATTTTAATTTTTTCAAATAAGTTGTTTAATATTAAAAAATACTGAAATAAATTTTTTGCATGATATATATTTTGTAATAGTATCAATTATATCAATGATTTTGTGTCCGACTCATAGTTATGTAATATTCTATTTTTTAAATAAAAAAGAAATCTTTATACAATTTTTTTTTCAATTATGAAATATTATAAAAGATTAAGTGAACTTGTAACAAACAACAGTAGATGTGAGGCACTATGGTTGTAAACAGTGTGAGATGACAAATTATATCAACACAGTTTGAGCGGTTGTAAAGCACTACTGGTAACATAAGGGATGAGCCAAAGGTGACTTACAAAAACTCACACTTTCAATGACAAATTTATGTATTATTTCAAGAAAAAAAATTATAATTCTAATTGGAAATCCACTCAACTCAATTTCATCAAAGCATTCCAAACACTCACCTAGGTGATCAAGCACTCCAACACACTTCAAAATTCAAAATAAACACACAATGGGAAGTATTCAACATTTTCCTCAAGCATATTGGATGATGCTGCATACTTGATAGTCGGGAGACGGTTTTCAAGAAATTCCGCCTCAAACACGAAAACACAAGCAAAATAAACACAATATATTAACACAAGCAAAAGAAGCACTCATACCAACACTAGCTAGCAACTCAGACTCAAAGTACATAAATCACACATGCACAAACTCTAAGCTAAGCAAGCAGTTACAAGACTAAATAAGAACTCAATTATATACATTTGCTTCTGAGTTCATCTAAATTCTATCGGAACTGCAGAAGGAAGCTCTCAAACGTCCGCGAGAGTACTAAAGCAAATTGATTATTCGGACGATGAAGAAGAAAAGTGATGTACAAAAGATTCCTCCCATGAAACGGGTCACGGAGAAAGTGATGAGAATCTGAATTGCTTTCTCCAATGGAATCTCCTGCTCTAGTAATCATCCTGTTGTATGAAAAATTGTACTGATATAAGCTAGTAAACCATAAATTCAACCGAGAGAAAGAAACAAAAAGGGTAAAAACCTGGCCTAATTCGATGACCGACCTGTCTTCTTCTTCGGCATAGCACAATGTACCATGACCGTGTCATCACATAGCACGGAAGCAGAAAACCAACCAGTTGAAGAAGTGATATTTGGAACTGATATTCACAGAAAAGAATTGTTCTGAATATTACTATCATACAGTGTATGGATGAAGTAATGTTGCCTATACCTTGAATCTGCAGTTTACACTTACATTGAGGAATGACGAAGATGGCGATTCTCTAACCATTTGGAAGTCCCGGGCAACTATCAAAATTTGGTGTAACAACAGGAGCATCATCAACTGTGTGCCATATCAAAAATGTCATCATAGAGTAAGAAAAAGTAACAGATTTAATAATATTGTAACTAGCAACGATTTGTGGATGTGGGAAAGGTTTTATACTTACAATGATAGCAACACAGCGTAAGCATGCGAGGCTGCTGCTACTAGCAATGGTGGCGTAGTCATGGTCATACTCAGATTGAAGAAGCTGATGCTCGGCGTTTGCAAAGGCTAGGAAACGTGGGTCCCTAAAGTCAATACCTGGACCCCAAGCTTGGCTGATCATGGATGAAACAAAAGCAAAATTGTTAGCAAAGCATGGCTAGTTGGCTACACTGTCTCTCCAAAAATTGAATGGACAGATGAATATAGTTTCGGTTGAAGCAAATCAATAACCCATGTCATGAAACCTAAAGAAAAGGCTAAGGGCTCGTTTGGTAAATTTCGGAGTATTGATATGATATATTGATATGGGTTCGGAAATTTGAAATGAAAGTGTTTGGAGAAATTTAAAAAACATGGTTGTTGGTGATAGGTGGGGAGGTGGTGCAACAGAGGGGTGGGCGCAGCAGGTGGCCTGCGATGGTGGTGGTCGGTTGTGCAGATATCAAATTTGAACTCTACTTAGGATTCACCAAACACCTACAAGAGGATTCTGATATCAGGAGATCTCAAAACTCATCTCACACACTCACCAAAGAGGCCCTGAGCAATTGAAAAAATAAGCCATAGAGCACAAGATCAATTCCATGACACATGTAAATACAGAGTATGTAGTAAGAGAATTCCATCATTATGTAACAAGCTCCAATTCATGAACTAGGGAGTACTTTATGTCATGTTTGGTTTTGTGCAACTAAATTAGTAAATTGCATTGAAATTGTTTGGGTGCTAAATTCATCCTTTTGAATTTGACTAGAGTTTATGTATTCATTATGTGACAGTGCAAGCTGTGAACACGATATTTGCAAAATTAGGGAAAAACTTTCCCAGTGTTACCCAGACATCTTGCACTGGTGGTGCAATTCTGAACAAGAACGATTCTGATGATCCTTTCAGCAACGATAGAATCAGGATGGTGTTATTTGATTGCAATATCAGTATCAATACATTCTGCCATGTAACAGACTTGTATGGCTTTCTCTTCCAATCTCTCATCAAAACCTTATTTGAAGCTCTATTGTTGCAATTTTTAAAGTTTCTCTTCCAATCTCTCCTCAAAACCTTACTAATTTAGCTGCTACTACTACTATGTCTAACAAGAATTTTGTGCAGAAAGAAATTAAAGACCAAAAGCATATGATTCAAAAGAGTTGGGAAGTATAATCAAATGGAAAGATGAAGAACCCAAAGATGCAGTTATACCCAATATCGATAGCAAAAACATCAGGATTGCTTCTTGCTGGTGGGAGAGTGTAGTTTGGTGAGAAAACCTGTTCATAGAATTAGAGAAACAAAATCAGATTTAGGTTAAAATTCAGTCAAGAAATTAGGGAAGGTTTTTCCAGAATCAAATTGGTATGGTTTCAGAACCAACCTGATTACAGATTTCGCAAGTGATGTCACCTTTTTTGTTGCACCATCTCTGGATACACTTCCTGTGAGCAAACTACAAAAGCAGCATTCACAAACAACAGATGGATTCAGTGCTTCTATTTACTCATCTTCTTTAGCAGTACAAGCAAAGCTCCAGATCACTTTAGGGCGTGTTTGGATGGAGGGTTGGATACAAGCCCATAATTTTTCTAAAGGAAATTTTGGATCACACATTAAAAAAAAACTATAATTGGTCCTTTATAATAGAATATTTTCTATATTTAATCTACTATTATCAAATATTACGTCTGGTCCTTCTTTTATGAGTATTTTTTTCATATTTAGTCCTTTTTTCTTCTTCTATCATGTTGGTGCTAATATGAAGACAAAATCTATAGACTATAGTTGCAGTGGATTACGATGGTAGTTGACGAACGACACATCAGCATCGACCTCTTACATTGATTATGACAAGAAAGATATATAGTCGTTGTAAAATTACATCTTTTAGTCCTCAATTTAACACTAGCAAGACAGAGGATAAAAAAAGATAAAATATGAAACGGCACCCACAAAAGAAAGACCTTAGACGTATTATTTGATAATATAGGACTAAATATAGAAAAAAGAAAGATGTTAGGGGTACACTAAAAGGTGTACCCCATTTGTACACCACCCCCTCCATAACCACTCATTTATTTTTTATTTTTATTTACTTAATTTTTTTTAAATTTCTTGCCTATTTAAGTGGTAATGGAGGAGGTGGGGGGACAAATAGGTTACACCTTTGGTGCACCCTGGCATTTTCCATAGAAAAACTATTCTTATAAAAGAATGAATTTATTCTTTTAAAAAAAATACTATTGGAAGAAAATGAGAGCTAGGTAGAAGGAATCATTTTCAGTTTCTTTTTCTCTCATTCTCTCCAACCAAACAAGCCCAGAAGGCCCAGAGTGAAGAGTTGGAAAAAACAAAAATAAAAAGGGACTTTTTTATAATTAAAGAAAAATAAGAAGAGCACGCGCGCATGAATAATTCGAATTTATCTTCCAAAATAGGTTGCTGACTGTTTCAGCATTAAATACGCAGACATCATCATCAATTTTTAAAAAGAAAATAAAAGCAAAGAAAAAAAACAGAAAACCCTATGAGTGATAATTTTAAAATAAAAAAAAGTTACAACAAATTGTCTAAATATTCTAGAATATATTGCATCAATAATTCAATATTGTCAACATGCCTTTTTTTTTACTTTTTAAAATTCATATTTAAAAATACCCGGTTTCATTTTAAATATGAAACTTAATTTTGAAAAAATGAGGGTATGAAAAAGAAAAACATAAAAAATCTGGAGACCACATAATCTTCCAGATTCATAAATTGAAAAAAATACGGAGGAAGTATAATCTCAAACATTAAATTCTCCACATGCCAAATCCCAGCATGAAAAATTACGGAATACAAAGATACTGCAATTTGTTTTTTTTTTTTTGAATTTGAACGAATTTTAATCATAACTTAAACAAAATTTCGAAATGAGGAAGAAGACCTTGAGAGTGCCGTTACAGGCGCAAGGAGCTTCCATGTCCTTCTCCTCGTCCTCTTCCTGGCAAATCCGGCACTCCCGGACTCCGCCGCCGCAGAATCCATCGCAAGAGGCGTCGACGGCCACTTCCGGCGGCGCTACGGCGGCGATTCTCGGGAAGCTCTCCGTCGGGCGGTTGGCCGGAGAGGAGTCGCCGTCGAAGCGGTAAGCAGCTGACGAGGCTATGATGATGAAATCGTTCGCCATCGGGAAGGACAGAACCGCAGAGAGTGGTGCAGGGGGTGGGTGGTGGTGGAACGGGAGGAAACTGTACAGAGAGAGAGTGGAGCGTTTTAAAGGGGGGGAAATTAAAACCCCAGGAGGAGGAGGAGGAGGCGTTAAAGTGCCGGAATTTTCGAAAGATTCCAGTTGTGATTTGAATGGACCATGACGACGCCCCTGTCAGCAGTAATTTTCATTTTTCACTCCCCTCCTCTGTCCCCATTATTAGGGCCTGTTTGGTTGGGGATGAGAGGAGGAGCAAAGGAAATGAGGGAATGGGAAAAGATGAGAGGACTTTCTTCACCTTTATTTTAATCTTTTTTATTACCTCGTCTGTCTAATCTAATTTGTACTCTCTCCGTCCCTAAATATTCATAACATTTGCTTTTTCAGCACTGTCGGGAACTTTTATTTATTTTGACGTTTTCATTTGTTATTTGATAAAATAAAATATTCTTGACGCCTCTTATTTCGAAGAACTTTTCATGTAGTTTTTTTATATGTAAATTTTATTTTTTATTTCTTTACCAATATGTAAATAAAATGAATTGAAAAAACTTGATATTTTATCTCGGGAATACAAATGTAACAAATAATTTGGGACGAAGGGAGTACATTTTTTTATAATAAATCATTTTGTAAATAAAGTAATTCTAAAAAGATGAAGTTTGCACGTTGTTCAAAATGTGTAGTTTATTGTTGGACAAAGGGAGCATATTAGAATACTTTATCTATTTATATTTTCTTTAATTTAATGACGCACAAAGAATAAATGTGTCTTTAGAAAAAAACAACATGCATGTGTCCGTCTTCACTAAAGTTTGAAGTCGATTGAGTTTTTCCATAAATCTCTGGGAGTGAAATTCCTAACACTCAAGTCAAAAGACAAGGAATTCTACCTCACCTTATTTGGTTGGTAGAGGTCTACAGCCTACCGAAGAAGGATAGATTTAGTTTTTATTTTTATGTTTTTTTAGGTATCAAGATTTAAAAAATTGGTATTGTATTATTGAAAATGATACACATTAAAGAAATACTATAAGGGGCTACAAAATCTTTCCTAAGAGTAGTAAGTAGAAAATTTTTTAGATAGATAAAAAGAAAATATAGAACTTTTAATTTTTTATGCGACCGGTGAGGCATTATTTATTAATTACCAGTATTTTAGTTTACAAACTTTGACCTAGTGTAATTTATCAAATTTCAATTTTTGAATAAAACTAAACAAATTTTGGACTTTATTTTAATTAAAAATATAATATATATTAATAAAAAAATTATTTCATTATATTTATCATGTTAAAAAATTTAAAATTTTATTTCATTATATTAGTATGCAATAAAAAGAGAGAGTTTTTTATAATTAAAGTTTATCTAATTTGAGTTGAAAAGGTAAAACGAGACAAATACACTAGAATAAGTGAAGTATTTTTCATTATTTAGTTTTTTATTGTCTTTTATTTTTCATTTTATTTATTTTTTATTTTTCTTTACTATTTTTGGGATTATTTTATTAATTATTTATTACTTTAATTTTTTAATTTATATTTTAGTATATACTCCCTCCGTCCCTAAATAAACTCCCCCTTTCGTTTTTTCTTTGTCCTCAAATAAACTTCCTTTTCTCTTAAAAACACCTTTTATCCCTTACTTTTTCATACTACCTATCACATCATACCTTTTTACTAATAATCTACATATCATATCTTACTTTTACACATCACATCAAGTGTATTTTTGGAAAGTCAACACAAAAATATCACTCCCTTAAATCCTCAAAAAGTCAAAAAGAAAGTTTATTTAGGGACAAAGAGAGTATTATAATTGTTGAAGTTTGACTAATGTTAAACAACAACAATTTAAATAAGTATGGCTCGAAAAATGTCAAATAAGTAGGTCATAGAAAATAGTTGAGTTATAGATTCCATTAGATTTATAAAAAGTAAAGATAATTATGTCCATTATTTAACCTAAAGAAAATATGTTCTCAGACTCAAATCAATCAATGGTTTTGTGAGTGCCTCAAATAGTAGAATTTCCACATTGTCTTTCCGTAAATTAAAATACACATCTACACAACAACATAGGAAACAACACTAAGGCCCCGTTTGGTGCACGGAATTCAAACTATGGAATTAGAATTGAGGACTTCAATTCTAATTCTGGTGTTTGGCAGCACAAAAATTATGTGGATTTGGAATTGATAGTGCAAAAAATGAATTGAAATTGGCAGAATTCAAATTTATGGAATTGAATCTTATAGAATTTCAATTCAATTCAATTCCGTATACCAAACGGACCCTAATGAAAATTCCATAACATATTGACGACATCTAAAATTTTTGTTTTCCAATACCATGTATGACCTTATTAATAGATCAAAGAAGGGAAACAAGCGCATCTGTATGTTTGCCACACTACCCACTTTATTACTATATATACGATGAGTAACTAACATTATTTATCACACCAATGGTTTCATGTAAATGGTAGTAAATGATAGGACTCGGCGGCCTACCATACAATACAATGCATGCACCTAATTAACACTACCTACACGTACCCCCAAGTGCCCAACTCTACTTTAGACTCTCCGGTCTGTCTCTTTGAAGAATATGCTCTTCGGACTCGAGACATGCTCCTTTAGTCGTGATATGACCCTCTGGCACGGGGCGTGTTGCCCTAGCTCGATGTGATATGCTCTACGGGCTCGAGACATGCTGCATGCTCTAGCCGGGATACGCACATTCCGTTGGACCATATTTAGAAATTTTACGGCTTCAGAGACTAGCAATATGTTTGGTTCAAGGAATTTGGAAGGAAAAGAATAAGACACTCTCAAATTTATGTGGAAAAGAATAAGACTACCTAAATAGAACTAAATAAAATATATATAGTGACTTTCTCAATATAAGATCATATGTTTTTATTTCCCAATGTAGGACCATTTAATTTGTCATTATCTATTAGTCATTATTCAACTAAATGTCCAGTATCACTTGGAAATTAATTATTCTTCTCACTAGTCATTATTAAGTCATATTTAGGGAATAAAAAAGTTTAAGTATTACAATAGAAAATGACTTATGTTTTAGTCCTATTCGGTGCAAATTTCACTTTGGTTTTCCCTAGCCTCCTCTTAGTAATATTTGCCATCTCATTTTCTTTTCTTTTTCCTTTCAAATTTCTTGAAGCAAACATAGTGTAGAGAAGTCGTTAAATTATACTTTTAAATTAAATTTTCAAATCCGTTACATTTATATTCAAATATTAATTCTAATACAAGCAAAGCAACGTATTATATTATAATTATCATTCTTGGGCCTACAACTACAGGTTTGAGCTTTAGGCTGAATCGGTTCATTGACATCATATTGGAAACTTTGATTATCAAAAGGTTGCAAATTCAAACATCACTGTCACCCAATTTAAAAACAAATTAAATATAATTTTCACATGGCACGTGAGAGAGTGTATGATTAGAATATGAATATGATTTCTCGGCTTACTGTCACAAGTTTGAACTTTTGGGTAAATTGGTTATTGGTTGACACCTCACACGGACATGTTGTTTCTCATATTCTCACCGTACCCCATGAGTAGTCGGACACACAAATGTGAGGAAACAAAAAAATGTCGTCTCTCACTCATGCATCTGGAACACTTTCATTTCATAATATACTCTTTCTTGTTGACTTTTTTTTAAAGTACGTTTTAGTAACTTTTTTTAAGTAAATTTGATCAATGCTTATATATACTTGTTAGAGAGTACTTTTTTCGTCTCAAAATGATTTATACTTTTAGTATCTGAGTCTCCCTTCTCATAACTTTAATTTTGTTTATTGGTCAATTCAGTTTTGACCAGTGGCGGATTCTAGAATCATAAGGACAGAGGGCGAGAGCAGTATATGGGGGTTCGGGGGTAGCCCCCCCTTTTTTTTTATACAAAATAGCAATGTGAAATGATGACAAGAAATACAATTCCAACTCAATGAATCATTCAAATAATTAATAAAAATATAAAAAATACTTACTATAATTTTACATCCTCTAAATAATACTCCCTCCGTCCCAAAAAGATCTACACCTTTCAAAAAAATTGTGTCTCACAATCTCCTACCCATTTCTATTAAAAAACCACTTTTACCCCTTACTTTTTCCAACCCTACCTATCACATCATATCTTTTTCCTAATAATCTACACATCACATCCTACTTTTACTCATCACATCAAGGGTATTTTTGGAAAGTCAACACAAAATTATCTCTCCCTTAATTTCTATTTTAGTCAAAATGAGTAACACTTTATGGGACGGAGGGAGTATAAATAAAATATTCCTGTGTCATCTTGTATTCTAAAATTTTTGTGTGGTTTTTAAATATATATCATTTGTATTTTTCTAAATTTCAAAAGCAATTAATGAATATAATCATTTTTAAAAAAATGGAATTTTGCATGTTTTTCGAGGAGTAAATTTTAGTTGAAGTTAACAAACAAAATATTGGAGGTCAAAATTATTTAACATGTTTAGTTGAAAAAGTGGAACATGAAATAAATCAAGCGGATGGAAGGATTAATAGAGAAATTTACCTAAATAGGACTAAAACATAATGACTTTCCCAATATAGGACCATATGTTTTTATTTCTCAATGTAGGACTTTTGGTCATTATCATGTAGTCATTATTCAAGTAAATGTTCATCATTACTGGACTTTATTCTTCCCACTAGGTCATTATTAAGTCATATTTAGAAAATAAAAAAGTTTAAATCCTACATTGGGAAAGTCATTATGTTTTAGTCCTATTTAGTGCAAATTTTACTTAAAATAATGTACTCCGTTTGGTAGCATAGGAATAGGTTTGAAAGAAATAATGGGATTTTGTGTTGTTTGGGATAGTGAAGAAGTAGGGAACAAAAAAATGACAGGACCACCCACAATTTCTTTCTCTCTTTGGATGAGTATGTATTAACATGTTGCATTGAGTGACCAATGCAAGTTGGTCCACTTTTCGTTTTTCGTCTAAAAATTTATGAACTTTAATTTTCCTTATATACATCAATTTATATAAAAGTTTATAAATTTTTTATTTATATATTTTTTTATTAATTTGTTAATGCATGTGATGATGAGATTGAAGACTCATGCATCGAGTAAATAATAAATTTGTGATACAGATTCAAGGTCCATTTATGGTAGAAATTATGCATTCTTTACGTTCGAGTCGCGTCGGCCAATCCTGAAGATAAAGATAAAAAGATTTTCAAATTGATGAATGCAGTGATAAGTGATAGCTAGTTCTATTATGACACCAACACTCGATCGGTCGCAATTAAAATTCACATATGATGTCAGTCAGTGTAACTGGACTTTTCACATATTGTAATTACTCTCAAAGTGTAGGGAAACATTATGCATAAAAATGATTTTTTTTTTAAAATTAAAAAAAAAAACCATGCAAGTGGGAGTTAATTGGCATTCAACGGGGACTCAATGGCCGTGAGTGTAATGGATGGCTTGGTCCAAAGTGTATCTCTTTTTCAAGAACCAAATGAGTACTGAACCGCACTTGTATACTGTTCTTGTGGGATATATATATATATACACACATACATAATGGGTACGGAGTACTAAAAAGGGGACTACGAATAATAATGCATATATACGGACATCATTACATGCAACTCTTTTCAACCAAATTATTCACTCCATATATTATTTCTCCCAAATTAATCGTCTTTATTCAATTTCAAAATTAAAAATATATAATATATAAAAAAAATAAAAAGCAAGTGATTGGAATTTACTTTAAAAAAGATGCATGGTTCAGTACATTTCCTTTCATTTTATTAAGTACGTAAAGAAAGAAGTGATCATACACTTATTTTAAAATGGTCTGATGAACAAAAAAAATGAGACGAATAATTCAGAACCGTAAAGTATAGATTAATTAGTACGATGTTGGGTTGGTTGGGTTTGGTTCCTAATCGTCAACAGAAGATCAAATTCTGTGTTAGAATGGTTACTCTTTTAGAGTATAAAGTTGTTAGTTGGGTGCATGAATAATGAGTACTGTTGGGCGGTGGGCGTTGACAATGACTTCTCCTCATGTACCACTACCCTTTGTTTGGTCACTGCAAGGCGACAAGAGACATCATAAAACCAAATTTATTTGGATTATGCTACGTGTACCTCAAGGTTTGTATCCCAATTTGTACCTCGTAGTTTTGCACCAGCACTTTGTGTTGGTGTAAAACTAATTTTTGTTAAATGCACCAATATTTGTGTCCGTGTGAATTTTTATTAACGCACCAACACTTGTGTCGGTGTAAACCATCGAAATGTTTGTGCAAACCTATGGCGTACAAATGAGGTATATTTTTTGGTGTAAGTGTAGCATGGTAATTTATTTACATGACGGTCAAAATTTTGAATTAATATATGATTCCCTTCTATTTCAATAATTAAATTGAAAAAAAAAGTAGTGTCACAAGATTACACAAGAGATATATTTACTAGTATGACTAAAGATTTCAAATCGGATCTCTCAAATGAGGGATACGTACTACATGCATGTGTAGAGTAAGAAAGCTATATATATATATATATATCAAGATAAAACGTCTATGAGTTAGCTAGACAGAGTTACAAATTACGTTAACTCCAGCGAACAAGTGTTTTTTAATATATAAATAATTAATAAAAACAAAACGATGCCAAAAATATTACAATAATTAAAACATAAAAATGCCAAAAATAATTTTATGTTTTTGAAAGTGAAATATTTTTTTTGAAAGTAAAATATAACTTATGTAATGTTTTTTAATGTTAAAAAATAATATTCATTTAATGTAATACAATAAAATACACTCAACTTTACATATATAGGATTACAATGCAATTAAATTGAAGTACAAGAAGAAAAAAGGTACGGGTTGCGAGAGTAGTGAACAATTGAAGACGACCACTTACCAAAGGGCTACCCTTAAAATAATACGGAGTATCAATTAAGGTCATGTTATCCTCAATTTATTTTTTTATTACTTATTTTATTTGAATTAGATTAAACTAGATGGGATCAGATCAGAAACAGCATAACTATAGTCAGATCAGATGAAATGAGAACTTTTTTAATTAGATCAAAATCATTCAGATCGGGTGAAAAAATGTTTTCTCATGTTAACTTCACACGCTTATTTAGGTGTGTAAAAAATTTATTGACTTCCCAAGTATGTCGCTACCTCTACCTTCATTGATCTGTGGCAAACGCCCTACCACCAAGCCCGTGACAAGCTCTATATGCACCATCCAAATCTCGGCCACCATCTCTGCCAGGCCATCCGACCACACTACTATCTCTGCCAGTCCCAATCATTTGGTGTTCCAATTTGTTCAAAGAAGATGAGAAATATGACAAGCAGAGACAATTTGATATTCCACTTTGGTATTTTTTTTCTATGATACGGAGTATTAAAAATCTTGTGAGAAGTATATTTTCTTTATTATAGAAAAATTATTACATTGAAAAAATTTTAGAATCGTCAAAAAATTTATTTGACCCCGTGCGTGGCACGGGTCAAAATAATAGTTCAAGCAAAGAAGATGAGAAATATGACAAGCGGAGACAATTTGAATTACACCCCACCCTATTTCCACGGAGTATATATATGGACAAATTCTCGTGAGACAAGCTATAAAGAAATAAGTCGAGGATGTAGTTTACAGGCCAGCCCACTACTCAACCCCGTGTTGTTTTCTTGATTGAAGTCCATATTATTTTTAGAGTCCAGCCCAACCCAACCCAACCCAAATGGACACACCCCCAAGGGCGTAGCTTCGTTTCAGCCGAAGTGCGAAATATCCCAGAAGACTAAAAACCAGAAAACTTCGATAACCTGAAATGGCGGTTGCAGGGACCTCTCCGTCGTTGGAGATTCTGATCAGAGGACCAGAAGGCTATGCTATTTGGGACGGGCCACCTTTCCCGGATGGTCAACCCGGTATCAAGCTTGCTACAGTCCCCTGTACAAGTGCAAAGTTTAGTGAAGATGGTTCGAAACTTATGGTTGCGAAATTAGGGTCGCTAATTAGCGTGTATGATTGTAGAACCTTGAAGGAGATTAGGGTTTTTGAAATCCCCAATTTGCTTGCTGGAGAAATTTCCACCTGTGGAACTTACCTCCAGACCTTCCAGAAATGCATGTCCCCGCAGGACAAAAACGTGGTCTTATGGAGGGTGGAGAGTGGCGAATCTGTTTACAAGTCGTTTCAGAAGAACGTAACAAAAGCTACATGGTTTGTCATTGTCCTTCTAATTAGGATTCTGCTGATTTTGAAATCTGTGATCTAAGTATTGTGGAATGTTTTCTTGGGATGTGTTGTTTCTCGTGGTACGGTAGGCCGTGTGTGAGATTTAGCTCTGATGAAATGGTTGCTTGCCGATTGGCAACCAATGAGATGCAACTTTTTGATGGTAGAGACTTCTCAAAAGGAATCGTGCACCGGATTCGAGTTCCTGGCATAGCTGCACTAGAGCTTTCTAAGAGTCCCGGATCTTTTGTGGCTGCATTTGTTCCTGAATCTAAGGTTTTTAGTTTTTCAAAATGCTTATAATAGTGGACTTATATTTTTGAAACTTATAGCTGCATTTTGGTTTTGTGTATAAAAATGAACTTCATTTAAATACATATATTGAATCTTTGATTATTTCTTTGTTTACATGGTTGAAAATACATAAGCAAACATATTTTGTGGTTTTTTGTACTCAATCACAAATAATGTAGTCTTAGAGGCTCCTTACAATGTGTAAACTTTGAAATAATTTCACTTAAATCAATCAGATGCATGGATTGCGCATCATCCGTTAAATGAATAAAACTAAAAAAAGATATTTATATATAATGGCAGGTGTGAGTAAGTTTAGAAGTGGGTGGCGGTTAACCAGTCCTTATATAGATGACATCTTATTTGTTTTAAGGGTAATAAGTCTAATAACTTATTAGTAAGACCCGTGTTCTATCTTTTACTACGTATTACTGTAAGAAATATATTTTTTTGGAATACCTTTTCATATATTGTATAGGGAATGCCAGCCAGTGTTCAAATATATACCTCTGGAAAGGACTCACAATCCCCTGTTGCTCGGCGTAGTTTTTTCCGGTGCTCCACTGTGCAGATGAGATGGAACAGTGGGTCAACTGGACTCCTAGTGTTGGTGCAATCAGATGTTGATAAAACTAATCAGAGTTACTATGGCGAGACAAAGTTAAACTACTTGACTTCTGATGGGGCCCATGAAGGACTTGTTCCTCTTCGTAAGTTTTGTCATCTTCTCATTCTCTTCTGCTACTCTTTCTACAATAAGCTAAGGTAGTGTTTGGGAACTAACATTTCATTTCAATTCTAAGATTTGAAATGTTGAATTTTAAATGACAAGGGGAGGTGCATGAATTTCAAATTAAGCTTTGTTATGAATGAGAAGAATTTGACTCAAATCCAAATTTAAAATTTTTAAGTTTCCCAAACATGGAATTTGAGCCAAATCCGAATTTGAAATCCAAATCCATCTTTCCAAACATACCATAAAAGATTTTTTGTTCCTCTTCAATAAACATATACTCATATCTATCAAGTGAGATAGTCATGACTGAGGTGGAAATGTTGCAGGTAAAGAAGGGCCTGTTCATGACGTTCAGTGGTCATACACTGGCAAAGAATTTGCAGTTGTTTATGGATGTATCCTTGCGGACCTTGCGACCCTACTAATGTCTATGCCGAGTCTATCAGCACTTGTTTAAAAGGAAAAAAAAATGAAATTTTGATGTACGGCTGATTACCGGACTCTATCTGAAAATGAGGATATTTCCATTGCATATTTGCATTTTAAGGATAGTATCTCTGGTCGCAACCATATGTTTTATTTAAGGCGCATCCAGAAGCTGAATATTGATGTTTTGATTTGTCTCTGTTTGAAAGACTTGACAAAGATAATTATACTGAAAATCACCCTGTGTTTTCACATTGTCTTGAATTTTCTACTCCTTGACATATTTAGTTATGCCTGCCATGGCAACAATATTTGACAGGAAATGCAATCCCCTTCTTGAGCTTGGGACAGGCCCATACAACACAATTAGATGGAACCCAAAAGGAAAGTGTATCCTTCTGTGATAAGGGGCTTTTTTACCCTTCATCTCTCTTGTGTTCTTTACTTGGTAGAAACTCTTGCTGTGCTTCCTTAATCTTTTTCATATAGTTATATGCTTGGCCGGATTTGGGAACTTGCCCGGTGATATGGTATTATATCTAAAACATTTCTTGCCCTTTTGTTTTACACTAGTGTTTCTGCTGGTTCCACAGGTCCATGTCACATACAATTCACTTGCACACACATTTTCCTCAATTTAGATTGTAAGCTTTTTGTTCAAGTGTAAAAGTTTTCTCTGAATATTTCTAAAAACAAAATGTTGTAGTATAAGGTTTTAAATATGTCCATGATCCTCATAGACTCATAGTGATAGTTCATGAGAATCTAATGTGGTTGGATCTGAGGGTTATCAGGATCACTGGCTATACGTAGCTGTTGATGTTGCATATTAAAATTTAGCAAGTGAATTCGGAGTAGTTTTAACTTTAAGAAATTAATGAGAAAAATGTTCTCCCTCCATCCCAGAATAATTTACCCATTTTGGTTTCACGAAGTTAAAGTGAAGTGTTAATAATGTTGAAAAGTGAAAAAAAGGAGCGGTTAGAGTTTGTTTAGAAGAGAGAGTAGTTTGGACCATATATTCTTTTTTCAAAGAGGAAAAGAGAAAAAGTGGGTAAATTATTTTGGAACGGATGAAAAAAGAAAGTGGGTAAATGATTCTAGGGCAGAGGGAGTGTGTTTCTGGCAAAAACCCTTTGCTTGTAAATGATATGTGTTTTTATTATGTAAAATGGTTCAATTTCTCTAAATATAGTGCTTCTTGCAAATCCTGGAAACACATGATTTAGATCAATTGTGCCTTTTGTGCAGGCATTCTGGGATTATGTTGAAAAGAAGAAAGTCGGAGTTACCAAGGCTGAATTATCAGTGTCAAGTGAATGGTCTCCTGATGGGCGTTACTTCATGACTGCCACAACAGCTCCTAGGCTCCAAGTTGACAATGGGTATGTATACTCTATGATGTATTGCTTGCCAATACTAAGGCCATGAGATTAAGATGAATTTAGGCAATGCTAACTGTGTCATTCTTGCTCTGGCGTCAAGCTTGTTCCTGACTTGGTCATGAATTGGCATGCGGGCAAAATACAAGCACACATTCGCGCTAATACTTGTTTCATAATATTGTTAAAAGGATTAAAGTATTTCACCACAATGGAGCACTGTACTTCAAGAAGATGTTTGAAAAATTGTACCAGGTGAAAATCTTGAGAGTTTTCCATTATTTGGTTATGATGGCTAAAATTCATAACATCTTTGTTGTTTCTCTTACAGGCTGACTGGAAACCCGAGTCACCAGATAAGTTTGGTGAACTTTCACAACTCGTGGAGGCTGTCGACTCTCTGAAAATTGGCGAGACTAAAACTCAAGGCAACAATCTGTTAAATCTTGAAACGAATTGGATTTGGTACAGATTTGGCTTGTTAGAATCAAAATAAACATTGTTTATTGCAGGACAAGGATCAAAAACATCCAAAACCATACCTGCCAACCCTCCTACACAAAAGCCCGCTGCTTATCGTCCCCCGCAAGTTAAGGAAGCAGCAGCTATCAAAGCGCAGGTATCCAAGAAATCTTTTATCCTATGTTTGGTTCAAGGAATTTGGAAGGAAAAGAAAAGAATACGATTTTCTCTCATTTTCCTCACCAAAATGGGAGGAATTTGGTTTTCGCTCCTCTTAGTACATTTTGCCTTCTCATTTTCTTTTCCTTCCACTTTTCCTTTCTTTTCCTCTCTAACCAACCAAGAAAAACTGTTTTCCACTTTATTTTCTTTTCTTTTCCCTTTCAAATTCCTTGAACCAAATAGTGTTAGTTTTTCTTTGTTGATGGATGTACTAAAATTTCATCCTCTCCCGCTTACATATGGCATTTTCTCTAATGCAATTTATCTAATACGAGTGGTTTTCCATTTTACAGTTACTTGGTGAAAGTCCTTCAGGGTAAACATCCTCTTACAATGCTCTTTTTCTTTTTCGCTGAAGAATTATTCATTTTTAAAAAAATAGATATAAGCATTTTTTTTGTGAATGCAGAGAGATGAGTAAGAATGCTTTGAGAAACAAGAAAAAGAGGGAAAAGCAAAGGGAGAAAAAGGCAGCCGAAGCTGCTTCTTCTGCCCGTGAATGAAAGATTCATGGCCAAAAGAAGCCGTTGTCAAGTTCCCACCCGTTTTTGCACCGTGTTTGGGCCGAGCTGAGGCCCATTGGTTTTGGAGCCTCGAAGCTGAGCTAATTCAGTTGAGTTGCTTCTGTCTTACCACCTCCCACAAATGTATTGTGTTTTGTGTTATTCAGCATTTGTTCTGTGCTGCACTTCTTTGGTGATTGTTTCATTTAATGTTGTGTTAGGATATATTTCTAATTTTTTTTTAAAATTTTAAAATATATGTTGTTTGCTGAAATATTATACGGCATTATATCATAGTCTTCATAGCCAAACTGGGGTCAAACCGGTTTTGTCATTTATTCATAAGGGCAGATCCAGGATTAAACGTTATTTATGGTGTGGGTGCGCGCGCGGGTGCGTGTGTAATTACACAAGTTTTAGTCGAATCATTAATGAAATCTTTCAAGGCACCAATATCAAATGTTTGTACAAAAATAATTTTATTAATTTTATCTTGTAAAATATTCCATATTTTCTAAAAATTGTACAAAGTAGATAAATGACAAACATAACAAACACACTAAGAGAGAAGAAGTATTAAGCCAAATAGCAACATCCCTTTGTGGGTGGTTTTCTCTTATTAGCTAGTTATAAGAGCATATAAATTGTTTTTAACTAATACTAGGCAAAACAGTTGCTGATATGTTAATCTATACTTATAAACTGCTTATAAATTAAAATAATAAGATATTACTTATTTTTTTAAAACTAATTTTCATTTTTCAATTTTGACCAAATCATTTACACCATTCCTCTCAATTTAAATTGTTTGTTTATTATTCATAAAGTTAAATTTTAATCATGTTTTTTTTTGCCTTTTTTCACTACTCATTTGATAAAATAATATATAGTATAATCTTTCACTTCTTGTTTAGTAGATTTTTAAATATAGTTTATATATACGGAGTATTAGACGGAGAGAGTAGAAACACAATCCTCCCCTTTTATAAATATATGCCCGAATAACTAATATATTTCATTTAAGGCTCCGTTCCGTTCAACTTATTTTTTCTGATCTGATCTGATTTTGATAAGTTCTTATCTGATCTGGTCTGGATCTGATTTGATCTGATCTGATTGGATCTGATCTACTCTGATCTGATCTGGTTTGATCTGATTAATTATGATTTAATTTAAAATTTCAAATTAATAATTTAATTTGCCTTTATAATAACGTTTGAAAATTATAATTATAATTCATATTATAATATAATCAATATTTTTTATTTAATGATTATTTTTTAATAAAATAAAAATAGTTAATTCATATATTAGAATAATCATTCATATGATAATGTAATAATATTTTTTATTTTATGATGATTTTTTTGTAAAATTAGAATTATACATTAGAATAAATATTTAATTTAGATACACATTAAAAAAATTAAATTTAGATAATCAATATATAGAAATAAAAATATATTCTAAAAGTATATTAGATTGATATTGTCAATGTATTTTAAAACTAATTTTTCCAACGTCTAATAATTAAGGATTATTTTCTCAATTTTCTATTTAACATATTTCTAAAATTTATTCTTTTTCATTTTTAAGAAGAATAATAATGATGATGATGATGATGATGATGATGATGATGATGATGATGATGATGATGATGATGATGATGATAATAATAATAATAATAATAATAATAATAATTCTTAATGAGATCTGATTTTAATAAGTCCTGATCTGATTGAATCTGATCTGATTGGATCTGATTCAATCTGATGTGGTCTGGTCTGATCTGATTTTAATAAGAATAAAAAAATAAGAAAAAATAAGTTGAGCGGAACGGAGTCTAAGTCGCTTTGCAAAATATACTTCAATAAGCAACTTGTAAATAATAAATACTTCAATTAGCAACTTATAAATAAAAAAACTACTTATCAGCCACAAATTACTCCGTAATCATCACTTAGACACATAAACACACCCCTTTTATCTTCATTGTGAAATTGAAAAAACATTGAATGACCCCATAAATAGCCTGTTTTGACCACTCTTTAACAAAGTAAAATACCCCGGAGTATGATTGAAACACTTGGAAGAGTGAAATGCTCTCAGCTAGAAATCCATATCTTGAAAAAGAAAATGAAACAAAATTTATGAACAATCTAAAATAAAAATCAATTCTTGAATCTGATGCTACGGCTGCGAGCAGGATTAATGCCAGTAGCTTCTCCTCCATAAGGACCAGACGGCTTCCTGATATCCAGCACCTGTCCTTTCCTACGCTTGACAGCGCCCTCATGTCTTGTCTGCAAGAGGACACCGAGAAAACAATAGTTATGATTTCACATTCGTATCGGTCACAAGGATTCGGTTTGCAATGTATCAACATATAGATGAAAAGAAAAATAAAAGGTTTTTTTTCTTTATTTCTCTTGGTGTGGGCATACATACCCTGTACTTCTTCCTTGGGTTTTTGTCTCGCTTGTTGCGATGCCGAGTTAAGCCCCTGTTCTTCTCGATCTAATAACACATAAAATAGGGCACAAGAAATCACACATTTTAAAGGGTTAGGGACATATGATGATAGTGCAAACTGGCAATATTGCAAGATTGGTGATGAAGGAATGATGCCCAACTAACCTGCTGCGAAATGTGGCGCTTCCCGTCTTCTGCTATTGTTTCAGGGAGATATGGTTCTAACATGGGCCTGCATCCGTGGATTGTTTTTGTTATGAACATTATGAGCATATGCTGAGAACTCCTCTTTGAGAACATTATTACTATAAAATATTGTACCAACAACTTATTGTGGAGAAAATGCAGACCTTGAATACTTGTTTTGTTTAGCAGCAACCTTCTCAGAATGTTTTTTCTCTATTTCTTTGTAAAACTCTAAGTCTGAGTCACCATCACTTGCATCAACCTCATCGTCATTTGTGTGTCCCGCAGGCTCTTCTTCTTTTTCACCATCAGTAGCAGATGGTTTGATGCCAGCTCCAGCAAGAACTCTAAGCTCGTGCTTCCTCCGCCTCTCCCCAACATCATCTCTCTTTGGTAAGTCATCATCCCCAGATATAACCTATTCAGAGAGAAAATTTTACCCAAAAAAAACATTAATCCAAGACTAGACATATGAGACGATGTAACTACTCTGGGAGATCGTGTTTCACTCCGTGCTTTAATGTTATAAGTAGAACAAACAAAGCGCTCACAATGTCAATTTACCCAAAGCTAAGATGAAGTATGATTTTTAAACTTGAAAGCTAAGATGAAGTATGATTCACTAGTGAGTATAAATGAGAGAATAAAACTACACCCTGGCTTTATTAACTTTGGTCATGAGCTGAGATAATTCCCTTGAATGTGTGAAGCCTGCATTACCATTCACCATTCTATAAGAAGCCCCAAGGTCTATGGCGTCATCATCAAAATCTCCAGAGGTTGCCAGTTGCCTGTTTGGTGTTCAATTCAAATATAAATATAAGTACAGCCAGCTAATAATACAAATATTACAATCGGGTTCACTTTGCACAAGAAAATAGTCAAAATACAGATTGAGCTTACAATATCAAAATAGAAAGGAAATTATTACCCATTAATTGGTTGGAGACGCTTCCTTGAACTCTCATTTTTAGATGCTAAAGAACTGAAGAGACCTTTCTGTTTGAGATTCTCCTCTAGAGCTGCTCTTATTTTCAACATTTCCATGCTTTCTGTACCTATTTGGTCATCCTGCAGAGCATAGTAAAGCTAATATCAGTATATACAGCAACCAATATGGTGAGAAGAGATCTATAAATGTATATGGCCACTAGAATTAGATAAATTAGTACTGGTGGTCCTACAACGGAGTAGTATTTATAATCCAAATATGCTTTTCTATGTATGCATGACCCACCTGAAACTTCCGCTTTGAATGTTTTTTCTTATCCTTTGGACTGTTGAACTCCACTAACTCGACAGCTCCATTGGGCTAAAAGTATTTGAAAAATATTGTTATACTCACACCAACATGATGATGAACAGATAATAGTGAATTTGAAGGATAAAAGAGGCAATGACGACACGTGCATTAATAAATGCACAAGTGTATGTGTATACTATATAACAAAAGCGGAATAGAAAAATAAAAAAATGAATATAGACACCGTGTGTACAGGTTGGCAATTACCGTGGTTCCTTTAGTGTTATCTAAAGCCAAAGAGGGATTACCATCTGGAGGACAATCGGATTTAAAGGGGTCACCCTCTGTAACCAATTCCTCTTTGCCTTCAGTACCACAACACTTGCTCACAAGAGTTTCAAGGTCAGAAGGAAGATTTCCTTGAAGCGCTCCCATCTGCAATGAAGCACACATGAAGAGTTGATGACGCATAAAGTAGTCAAAACAGAAATGACTATCTAAAATAAAAGACATCAATCATTTTTAGTACCCTCACCCCACCCACCAGCCCACAGAAAGTCAGCACTCGGCTATAACAACCTACAAAGTGAAATATGACAAGTGGGGTCTAGGGGACAGGGGTATGCACACAGCACACTATACTCTTGCATACAAAAAAACTAGGCTACTTCGCAAAGCTAACCCCCCCCCCCCAAATGCACCCATTGTTTACCCTCTACAGGTAAAGGCTCATAGGCGCTGGGGGTGTCACAGATCTGGAGTACTTTATGTTCAAAAAAACTGCAAACAGAAAGGTTTGTGATATTGATTTCTTGCATTAGAAGACCTGGATACATTTCCATATTATTTTATTTAGTACTCCCTCCGTCCCAAAATGAAGTCAACAGTTTGACTTCACAGAGTTCAGAAAAGTGTTGAAAGTAAAATGTATGGTTGAAATTTGTATAGAGAAATTTTGTGACACAATTATTCATTTCCTAAAAGGGAAAGTGAAAAATTTTGACCAACATTTTGAGACGGGGGAAGTATTTATCAAGGTTGTGATGGTGATGAATGAGATAACGGTAGGCATTTTTAAAAAGTGATCATTTATGATAGATGCTAACCTTATCCAACAAAGACTTTATATCCACAAGGCAAGAAATAACAGGATGATCACAAACTGGTTTCCCTTCTGATTTAAGAAGCAGGTAGAAGGTTATAGCCTGGCAATATGAGAGTAGAAGCAGCTTTTTTACCTCCAGGTAATTCATCTCCCCTTTCTTTCCATTTTCAACATTAATCTTCAAAAAAGGAAAATAGGAAAAATAAGACAGCAATTAGCATGCCGATGGATCTATTATTGGCGAATATATTTATGGCACTCAGACAGAATGATACATATAACCTGAACAACCCATCCATTACATTAAATCATTGATTGAGAGAACTAGTGAATTGTCTATCGCTACCAAGGAACTTCCCAAGACAGCCTTCATAGTTTAATTGGCATTTATGTCTTATATTGCTTGATGATACTAAAGGGTGAGCATATGGCACCTTGGTCAAGAGTGGATTTACTTTGTTATCAAGTTCCTCAAGTGCTTCGTTAAGCTCAGACAATAAACCAACTAATTCTGGGGCAGAGCTGCATGAGAAAAGAGTGGATTAAACTGAGAAGCATAATTGAGTAGCGAAAACAATCACATACAAGATGACAGTGCCACAAAGAGGACAAAATATTATCCCACCAACAGATATGGAAAAAGTTGTTCACCTGTAGACAACATCCATCTGCTCTTCCTTTGTCAAGGCATTAAGATCTCTCTTTATTTTCTCATAGGCAATTCTAGTTCCACCGAGTTCCTCTTTGTCTGTGTCAATTCTTGCAGCAGGTTTCCCTTGGGTAATAATTTCCTGTAGTGAAGTACTTTGTAATATTATTGTGCTAATTACATCTTTTTATTTTCCTTCCTCAACATCAATAATTGAAAATGTGATTTATATCTATATGCTGTCGTGCCAGAAAAAAAGACACAATTATCATACCTCAAATGTTGCCTCTGTATCATCTTCAAGACCAAAGTCTTCCAATGTCAGACCTTTAGCCTTCTCCTTCTGCATCCTCAAAGCCACTTCCTCTTCAAGATTATGCTTTTCATCATCACTTGAGTTTAACTAGAAAATAATAGTAAAAAAGTGTTAGTTTCAATAGCATTACAACACTTTTAGCTACCAAAAAAATAACAAATGCATGAAAATGTTTGCAATAGGTTAGCTTTGAAAATAATAAAACATGCAGGGACATATGTGCTACTAAAGCTAGAAGTACAAGCTGATAGTGGAAATTATATGCACTTACATCTTCACCGTCGTAATAAGCTTTCTTATAATGACTCCACACAGATTTCTCGTTCTCCTTTTCATCAGCGCCATCATGCATTTCATCATCAACCCCGCCAGTTTTAGCCTTCATATACTTAAGTTGCCTTGAAACTGAAAATGTAGAGCACTTTGAGTTATATGAAAGATATATTCCGATCACCATGCAGTCCATGAAAATGTTTTGGTTCAACATGTTTACAAATGACATAGATAAGCAATAGGGGCATTGGCTGCATTAAAGAGGTCTACCGCTGAATCACACTACATGAATAATTGGATAAATAGGAATCCAACATGATGAATGCATAAAACATACAAATGATGTTTCCCATCTTTAGGTAACCAAGAATGTCATAATGGATGGAAAAAATGTCATCTTAGAATGTATTAAAAGCTTAAGAGGGTTGTTGAGTTACTCTTAGTAGCAAAACTGTCATTGTAGTCACCATCGTCATCATCCTCTTCTTCTTCTTCATCCTAGCAAACCAACAAAAAGGCGGATCTTTAAAACACATTTTTGTTCTCACAACTGCTTTTACATGTTTATCAAAACAACTTCTGTGTTAACTAAATTGATAAACTCATTGCACAAAGCAATCACATTAATATTTTCCATGACATGACCAAAGCATGATCATACCTCTAAATCATACACAGGGTGTTCGCTATCTTCATCAGACTCTTCATTAGAGTCTTTGTCAATGTCCAGCGGAATCATATCCCTCTGTTTGTGAACTACAACCACGTCGGATTGAAAAAACAAAGGTTTTAGACAAATTTGCTATCAGGGAAAAAAATCAAAGTGGAAAAACGGAAGAGGGGGGGTATATACAGGCATCAATTTCGTCGTTTATCATGTCATCATCTTCATTGTAGAAGTCTGTTTTTGAAGACTTGCTTGTCCGGCTGCTTTCCCTCTTCTTGTACTTTCCAGGTTTTCTTCCCATAGCTAGTATAAAAGGGGGTTAAACCACCCAAAGCCTCTGCCTACTCAAACTTCAATCAATCGTACCAAAAACACCCCCGGCACCGAAACCCCTTTTCCTTGAAATTCCTGGTATCAATGTTAATATACATACATAAACAATAAGTTCTGGGATGTATCCAGGGGCGGAGACAGGAAATCCATAGAGTGGGGGCGAGAAAAAATTAAAGACAAATAAATTAGTGTACACTATTAAATTGTTAGCATGAATGAACAAACAATTTGCCCAGCATTTTGACAGAAAGGATCTATTTATACTGTCAAATGGTAATGAAGCTCAAAATCTAGATTAAGCAGAGAAGCTAATCCCAAGTCAAGAACAAGAGACAACCTAAAAACAATCAAAAGACATGATTTTTATCCACTAATTTATCTACACATGAAAAGCCAAAAGAATAATTCAGATTCTACATAGAAGAATATGTTACTAAAGGAGCTACACTACACAAAAGAGGCAAGGAAAAGGACAGCTAAAATACCAAAATTGCATACTTCACAATTTCTTTTTACCACTCTGTGAAGAGTTTCAACATTTTTTTGCTAAAATCAATCTACACTCCGAAAAAAAGTTACCATCTTTGTGATGTCCTCAACAATCCACACATTCTGTTTTTGGTAATTTCTCTGAATATATCAAACATAAATCATCTTTTTGAATAAAATAAAAAGAAAAATAAAAAAATCAGTAACCCATCTTTTTAATTTTTAAAAATAAAAGAAAACCTGGTAAAATTGAGGACTTGAAGAGTGACGAACCAATTGCCAACTGCCCCTCCGCCGTCTCAGCACTACCGGACCACCGACTGAATAGGTCCGTCACTTCGTTGCCCGCTGGTGTCAGAAATTAAAAATTGAAGATTAATCGCCCTAGGGCTAGGAGATTGAATTGCAGATTAATTTCCGATGGAGATTGAGAGATGAATCGCAGATTATGGATTGGTAGATGCTAAAAAGATACAAATTGAAAGGGAGATTTGAGATTTAAGGATAGGATATATATGATGGGTGGAGAAACGAAGAGCCGGAAGAGGGCAGCCGATTTTTTAGGTCCAACACCTAAAACGACGTCGTTTTAGGTTTAGCCCCTGGATGGCCTGTTTGGGAATAGCGTTAGCGTTTTGGATAAAATTTTAACGGTGTAAATTAATTTGAAAATGCTAACGCTAAACGCTGCCCGTAGATAGCCTTTTGAAAACGCTAACGCTAATCTCTAACGATATTCCCAAACAAGTCGTTTTAGGTTTTGCCCCTGGATGGGCCTGTTTGGGAATAGCGTTAGCGTTTTGGAAAAAATTTTAACGGTGTAAATTAATTTGAAAATGCTAACGCTAAACGCTGCCCGTAGATAGCCTTTTGAAAACGCTAACGCTAATCTCTAACGTTATTCCCAAACAAGCATGATGTATCCAAGAATTTCTATGGATAGTTGTGACTACGTATTCTGCGATGTAATGAACTAGGACTAGGTATTGACGAATCATCTAATCAATCCATAGAGAGGGCACATGCCTACAGCACAGATGAACAGAGGGTACCTGCGAATATGGCGGCTTCAGATTTCAATCGGGTAGGGTTGCCGAAAATAACTGAAAGGGATCAAAGTATAGTTAGCAGAAATGTAGTCGGCGAAATTCCGGTGATGATACTGAAAGAGCGAGTCGCCAAGAGTTTATCAGAGGGTTAGAGGGTAAGACATGTCAGGGAGGTGATGATACTGAACGTTGTCGGCCTTACCGGGTCGGGTAAGAATACTATCTCGCGAAATTTGTTTCTTTTTTGCCCAAATATTTATTTCTCACCCAATTAAGGATAATTATTTTATAAGTATATTTATTTCTGACATGTTATTCTGTAAATCTTAGATCCACATCCATTATATAGACTTAAGCACATAACCACTACTCCCTTCGTCCCCAATTAAATTACAATATTCCCTCTTATTTTTGTCCCAAAAAGGATTACAAAGTGTTTACTTTTACACTAAATAGACTCTTTTAGATCCACATCCATTATATAGACTTTAGCACATAACCACTATAAAAGAATTGTACTTTTACAAAAAAGGAAAGAGATACTTCTTCCATCTTTGAGTATTTGTTCATTTTTTATTTTTTTGGTTATAATTGGTAAATTTTGACTTCAAATTAAATAAAAATGATATTAGATATTGATTCAAAAATAATTTTATTAGATATATTATATCAAATATTTTCAAAATATGATTTTATCTAACTAATATATAATATATATTTTATTTAATTATGGGTCAAAGGTTGAAAACGGTTTACCGAAAAAAGTCATACTCAAGGAAAGTGGTAATATATGTTACCTCTGGAAAATGTGTAAAAGTCATCACTTTTAATGTGAGTCTTAAGATTAAAGAAGTATAAGTCTTTATTTATTAGGAACATCATATTTTACCTCACTATCAAGGCTATATTCTTTTAGATTTAATTTTTAACTTCTAATATTTTTAATTTTTTTTCAGTTTGTTCAAACTCTTTCAACTATCTTTTAATCTCTTCCAAATCTTTCATATATCCTTCTAGTTTTTTTTAATTTCTTTTTTTTTTCCAATAACGATTATAAAATTATTTAGTTATATTTTCATAATATTATTGTTGTTACTCTTATTTTTATTGTTGTTATTTATCTTGATAAAATATAAAAAATTGAAATAATATCATAATTTATTTAAAAAGATATAATGTCCTCAATTTAAATTTCAGTTGAATAATACTTCATCTCTCTTAGAGCATTTGTTCAATTATGATATTTTTTGTAGTTAATCCGGATCGGCTTTTGATCTATAATTAAAAAGAATTGCATTCTATATTAATTAGACAAAGAAATCTTTCAAAAGTATTGTACAAAAAAATCTAATAAAAATATTCTTATATCAATATTAAGTGTAAATCTAATAAAAAATCTAATCAAAACAGAATAAATATTAAAAGGACGGTGGTAATATATGTTGTTTAAATATAAAGAGATATACTAATGGTTAAAATATTGCGTCAGAGAGTATGGAAATTCAAATAAGAAGGAATATATGAAAGAGATTAAATATTTTTTGGAACGAGAGTGTTACGTCAGTGAGTATGGAAATTCATTTTTTTCTCGATTCTTCAAGTTTCTTTGGAAAAATATTCAAACTTTTTCCAACTCTATAAAAATTTCTTTTTGGTCTTATAAGTTTTTCCAATTTTATTCAGAGTATTCCAACATTTTTCACTTTCTTCTAATTCTTTCTAGTTTTTTTCAACTTTCTTTCAAAATCCAACTTTGTTTTTGTAACCCAAACAAACAGAGCCTAAACACGAGTGGAGAAAAAACGTATACTCCATAAATTACAATTACTTTGAAGTTTTTTAAAGTATTACATCCAACTCTAAAGTAATATGAAAATGGAAGATTACATGAACATAGCCTAACCACGTAGTATTAAAATGGAAGATATTTTTGAAGTCATGACATTTTTCAAAGTAATATACAAATGGAAGATGTTGTGCGCAGCCTAACGACTATGTTTAAGACATAAAGTGGCTGTTTTCGGATGACCCATTATGAGCATTAAAAGTTGCATTAACAAACTAATCCGCATTATTTTACTATCAAAAGAATCACATATAGCTTAAGGATCCATTTTACTTTTTTTCTCATCATGCTCCAAAGTAAAAAAAATGAATCTATGAGTCCTCGAACACGATAGAAAACAATAATGAAAATTAAATATTTTGGTTTGAAATGCTTCATTAATGAATAACACAAGAACAAAATGTTGCAAGTATGGTGTCTAAGAAGAGCACTGAAAAGCCATCTTTCCGTCAGTTTAAATATGAACTATAATTTTCAACGATATAAAAATAAATGAAACTAAATTAAAACAACATAGAAGATATCCAACAATACTTTGCAATCACTAGACAACAAGTCAAATTAAAATGTAAGAGGGGTTATCTTTCTTTAAAGAATACACAACAACAATGCAATCAAAATGGATCTTTACATTCTTGAATCTTTTCAATTTCAACCAAGAAATGATCTCCCGACAAGTTCTAACGTTCGGGATAAATATCTCCAATGATATTGTCTCTTAGATAGTTCTTCAAGTGCTTGTATGCCTTCAGAAGTTCTTTTTCCTAGTTTTCTCGAAATTTCATTTTCTCAAATTTCCAACAAATTCGATGTAATTCAATTTTAAAAAAATGCACCAATACGTTCGCAATCCTCTTCTATACTCTTTGAGCACAAACAGAATGGTCACAAATTTCATAAATTTATTATTTATATCTAGATTCTTATTTTAAAATTATTTTAGACTATTTAATTTTTTTATTAAAATTCATAAATAGTAAATTTATGAAGTTTATAAAAATTATATTTGTGAACCAAACATTTCTAGTACGTACTCTTTGGTCTCCCACTCTACATAAGCAAGTCATCTAATCCTGGCGACTTAAACCATATGCACTGTCATCCTCTACCCGAGCACTGCAACGCCGCTGGATGTCCGTTGCCGGCGAGCAAACACCAGTGACTTCCACATGAACATTAGAGTACCTTATCACCCAGAGACTGAATAAAAGGTTCGTATATCTATCTACAGAGTTCGTTCTGTGAAACGCCCTAATACGATTTGCATTCCTCTGTTGTTTACTGCATTTCATTTTTTTCAAGGTTTCAATGTATGTATCCTGTTTTAGGCCGGGAGCGCTTAGGATTGAATTCGCGTGTCATGCTATCAAATGCAGACTTTTTTCTGCAGAACTCTGTGTTCAATTGGGAGAAGCTTCCCAGTAATCGCTCCCAGGACGGGTTATGTTAACAGATACACCTCCACCGGGTTGTTCATCAATTGCTCTCAATCAGGAAGTTTTAAAAAGGTAACGTAGACAAGCAATTATTATCAACATCTTTGATATATGGCACTTTGTTTTAACACTTTCTTTTGTGTGTGTGATTATTTATCAGGGTTATTGTTCTATATCATCCAACAGTACTAGTTCTGGTGTTATTACTGAAAGGGAAAGAAAAATTCAAAATAATGTATTATCGGATTCCAATGTTCATGATAAATGTGGGATAGTTGAATCTCACTCCGGGAATGGGAGAGTAATGCTAATTGATGGGACGTCTGTTATATACCGAGCTTACTACCGGCTTCTTGGTATGTTAATTTTAGGAAATTGTCACAATAACTTTAATTTTACATGCTACTTCACGTCTCTAAAATGTCTCATATTAATAACATGATATTTTTCATACATATCGTCAGTGTGTTTGGTTTGAAATAATACTTCCTTGGCATCTCTTTCACCCAGTAAAATAGTCCGTAATTGTATGCACCATTTTTGTCTGGTATGTGACTCGATAATTGAAATGCACATAAGATGATTTTGGATTAAATGCATGGCATGTTTGGTAGAAATCTTGGTTTTGCAGTGATTAGCAGCTGTTTTAGAGTTACTTTTATATGTTCTGGCTCCCTGGAAGGATAATGCAGAGCCTGTTATTTTTAAATTTCTAGATTAGCCATATGACGTCCTATGTTAGGGCACACCTTTAGATGTTTCTTGAAAGTTCTGTGAATGAAATAATAGATTAGAGCTAATTTTTCCTTCTTAGCCGCTTTAGCTGATTTTTTCATTGATATTGCATGTATCACTGACTATAGATACAATGAAATATCACAATGTATTGTCCACTAGATATTCATTAGTCACTATCTTTAAGTTCTGAGTTGTTTGCTTTGGCATCTCTTTGGTGACGAATGAAGTGTCTGCTGATTTGGCCTGCCCCCAGCGAATCTTCAGTTATAGTTTTGATTTTATTATATGTGCTTTGAACAGCTAAACTGCACCATGGTCACCTTTCCCATGCTGATGGAAATGGAGATTGGGTCTTAACTATATTTACAGCCTTGTCACTTGTGAGTTAAAGTTATTTGGGTTTCTACAGTTGCTTCTACTCCGTATTTTTCATTTCGTTTGCACCAGTTCTCTACAACATAAGTTGACCTCATCTCTCTATATACCATTGCACAATTTTTTTTAGAAATGTGGAACTTTATTAAATGTCAAGGGACTTTGTGAGCACTGCATATATGTTGGTGTTTTTTGTTTAACTTAAAGAGACAATGGTGTAGATGTTGAGAACATGAAAAGAGTTTTCCAGGGCTTCTGTTGGAAGCTCACGTATAAATTGAAGAACACTGGCTCTGTTATGAGTTAGGCAATTCAGCCAAGTTAGGAAGCTATTATCTGTGAGCACTGAGCAGTTAGTTCATTCCGTGTAGTGGATATGGGTTAACTGCATTTGTTTTTGCATTCCATTCATTTGACAATGGATTGAAATAGGAGCTGGTATTTTGATACTGCAGATTATTGACGTGTTGGAATTTGCTCCTTCACATGTGGTGGTAAGAAACTTATCATCCCTGTCATGTTTCTTAAAGATTTTCATTATTTCTATATTTTATACTTCTTCCATTCCAAAAAAGACGAAAAAGTATTCCCAAATTCCTTTAACTCTGTTAATTTCCTTTTAAGTAAATAAACTACCACTTCTTTGCAACCCAAACATTATTGTCAAGGAACCAATTCAACCAAAAGCTCAAGCTTGTGGTTGTGGCCCAGGAACAGTTATTTATATTCTAACACGCCCCCTCACGTGCAGGCGTAGTCTTTTTCGAGCCTTGCACGTGAAACCTTAATTTTTTTTAAACTGGGTGACGCTGAGTTTCGAACCCGTGACCTCTTACTCAACGAGGCTCTGATACCAGGTCAAGGAACCAATTCAACCAAAAGCTCAAGCTTGTGATTGTGGCCCAGGAACAGTTATTTATATTCTAACAATTATTACCACTGTAGTCAATCATCTTAGTCGTGCTTGAGCCAATTGGTACAAGTTGCATGAATTTATTTGTTGCTTGCACTCCTCTGTCTAGAATGAAACCATGATATAAAGCCTGATTTAAGGCTCCAAGATTCTTGAATATGTATAAAGTCCACTCTTGATATAAATACATAAGACAATTAAATGAGGGGTGTATGACTTTGTGCACGAGCACATTTACATTTTTAAAGACAAATGGGAAAATCTAAATCAGTATTAATTGATGATGACTCTGATAGGATCTGAAGCCTCTAGTGTAGCTATGGGTAAAATTTTTTCAAAGAGAAATGGGAAGATCTAAATCATTAATAAGTGATGATGATAAATGAGTTGAAGCCTCTAGCGAAGGCTGTGAAGCTAGAGGCAAACTGGCAAAGTAACATTTTTGTTCTCAGGAAAAGAACAATATATGGATGTATTAGTACAAGCATGTACTACTATGCATTTATATAGTATATACTATTTACACAAAAGGGATATACATGCTTAACCTAGCAGAGGTAGCCGGTAGGGTTTCACTTATCGGCTGAGACAACTTTGAATTGAAGCACTAGGAGTAAGCTCTCTATGTGGCATTTCATGACGGGAGGTTATCCTATCTTTGACTACTTAATTTATATATTGGAGTTGCCACCCAATATACACTTTGGACATTGAACTCATATTTGGTTATGACATGCTAACTACTCCTCCGTCCCCATTTAATCTCCCACTTCGACCACACATACAAAGTACTACATATACTTTAAGGAGACAATTGGAAAATGAAAAATGTGTGCTTGGGATTTGTTTAGAAGAAAGAGAACTGTTTTGAACTTCATGTTCTTTTCTTTAAAAGGAAGTAGGAGATTATTTTGGGGCAAGATGAAATAGGAAAGTGTGAGATATATTTAGGGACAAAATATTTTCTTTGTAAACACCAATTTCTAAAATTACAATCCACTATAGGTACTAGTAAGGTTCAAGTTATGATCGTTTACTCAAAAATTCAAAGAGTTTTATTACCATAGGAGTTCCTTTTTAGCATTTCATATGCGGATTTACTCGAGTTTCAGTTTTTACCTTTCTTTTAATGATTACTGCATGCCCTATAATTTACTTTTCACTTATCTCTTGCAGGTTGTTTTTGACCATTATGGTAAGATCTATATTTCAATTCACTGCATTTCAGTTATTTTCCTCATTTCAAGTGTTATTTTCCCCTCTTTCCCACATAACTTGCTCTTTAATCTCTACCACGAGTTATTCTTTTCAACACTCTAGCGTGCATAATATTCCAAGTCATACACGTTTTAAGCCATACATGTTCTAATTGCATCTCGACATTTTAAAAATGTCTCTTCATTTTGATATGGTGATAATAATTGATAAGCACTCTACCAAAAAGTATAATTTTCAATCGGATCACAGGTCTAGTATAGGCGATGATGTGTTTCTTAGTGAAATTATAGTTGCACTTATCACTTATTCATACACAGTTGATGCAAAAGTTAAACATGTTGTGGTGATGTGTGAATGTTCATCATATAAGCGAGCAAACTCAATGTCCACGTCTAATATTTTTATCCAATAAGCTTTAATTAAGTCCATAAAATTTTATGAATTTGATAGCATGAAATGCTTTGTGTGTGTGTGTTCTTATTTTATTTTAAAAAGGATACAACAACAATGAACAATTTAATTGCTTTTTTAAAATGAAGGCATTTTGGAAGACAACAAGCTAAATTGACCTTTTGAGTTTTGACATCTTCAGAGTGTTCACGCCTTCATGAATTTTGTGATTTTATCTTATTAAATAGTTCTTGAAAACCTTGCATATGCTGTTGAACCCGGGTTGGAATTTATATGTCTTTGAACAACACTCTCTAAAATTGAGATTCTCACTTTCAGGATTTCCATTTGGTCATGCATCTGTGACACCCAATCAAAATCTTATTGCAAAAGGTATGGTTTCACCCCCACCCCTACACCCACCATTTATGAAGAATACTTACGTAATTTAATCTTCAGCAAGCAGGAAGGAAGAGAGTGAGAAGTTGTGAAAGATAACTTCCAAGAATACCTTTTTACAATGCATTTACAACTTCCCTTTGAATTACATTGTCTTCCCATTTAATGAAATTACAATTGTAATTTAATAGGAAGCAAAGACTTGCCAATTATAAAGAGATCCCTTAGTAACTTAACCAAACTAACAACCCTTTAGAAGGAAAGATAAAAAAATGAAATATGTCGAGGCCAACTGATAAAGAAGATGTTAGTCTTGCTTTTCTCTGTTGATTGGTTCAATGCCTTCAATCCCATAATAAATTACACTTCGGGAATTACAATCTGCACCTATTGTTAGTGCCATATATTTTTTGCTTGATGATTGAAGGTGGACAGTCGCTCATCATGGGTCATCCGGAAACAGTCGCTCTATGTTTTAAAGATAAGGGGTCACGCTGCGTACACCCGACCTGCCCTAACCCCACAATGGGCGGGAGCCTTTGAGGCACTGGGTAATCTTGTTGTTGTTGATTGAAGGTGGACCATAAGAGGAATTACACTCCCTCAGTCATAAAAGTTCAGCTGTTCATTTATTTCAGGATGTATGTTTTTGCAGTAGTTGAAGTGCAGTTCATTTACTGACACTTTGTGATCTGAGAAAAACCTGTGTATTTGAAGATAAATGACAGAATGAAGTTATTTCTAATAGTAATCATAATGGAGATAGTAGTTATCACTTATCTCTCCGGCTTATTTTCTACTTTTTCCTACTTGGTGAATTCCAGTGTGACGTGAATTTAAACTTTTTAAACCTATAATGTAATTCACTGGCCATGGAAGTTTCACTCTTGCCCCTCTTGTTGATTTTCAATTTGAACAGATTGACCTGATTGATTAATATTGCATGGTATCTGGTTTTCCTGTTAGTGACTTAAGTTTTAGGTTTCAGTTGGACTAATTGAAACAAATACTTGTGTAATTCTATTAATAGGCATTAATTTTCGTCACAACTTATACCCTGCATACAAAAGCAATCGCCCTCCTACACCTGATACTATTGTGCAAGGACTTCAGTTTCTGAAAGCATCCATAAAAGCAATGTCAATCAAAGTGATTGAGGTAAACAGGGTGCAGTTTGCATATTATTGCCCTAGACTGGATATTGTCCATAACTTTACAACATCTTCTCATCAGGTCCCTGGGGTCGAAGCTGATGATGTAATTGGGACATTGGCTGCTAGGAGTGTAGATGCTGGTTACAAGGTAAGATAGTTCTTATCTTAAGTGGATGCTCTTTTGAGTGATTTGTCTTGTTGTACTTTTCTTCAAATTTCCTTCTGACCTTCCAAAGTTTATATGCTTCATTAATTTATTTATCAAGTAATTTTGTATTTATCTGTTGCTTAATGCGTATGTACCTTCACAGTTCTGTAAGGTGCTATGGAGAGTATATCGATAAATTCTCCTTTTTTAAATGCTGTAAAAAAATTGCCTGACAAGTTAGACTCAGTTTTTCTGTATGGATATGTCACAAGTTTGCTACTTTCGTTTGGTATGAAACTGTTACAGGTTAGAGTTGTCTCTCCAGACAAAGATTTTTTCCAGATTCTATCCCCTTCATTGCGTCTTTTGCGAATTGCTCCCCGTGGGTTTGAGTTAGTATCACTTCAATTATCAATATTTGAGTAGTCTATATACATGTGTTTTTTTGAATGCACAGTTTTAAGTTTTTTCTTCAACATAGTCTATATTTTACACTGGCTGGCTACACCCTTGTAAATACGGAGTATTTAACATGCAAATAAGGTTTGTCACAAACACTGTCAGGTTTGAGGTCGGAAAAATGAAAAAAAACATTTGCAACTATTTTCATTCTAGCACACAAGCAAATAAGGTCAAAGAAATGGGTAGGCCAGACCAGCAGACCTACATGCTTGTTAGTCTTTTACATTCATCTCCCCCCCTCCCTCCCTCCCCCCCCATCCAAATGGGTTTCTTTTTGTTGTTGTGTGTGGGGTGGGGTGGGGGGGGGGGTCTTCTACCCCTCCTCCAACAGATGTGGTTCTGCCAATTTTTAAAACTATATGTCTTTATATCGTTTAGATCTAGTTTGGAGGCTAATATCATTTTATTGTGTTTTATTAATGTATATTCATTATACCAAATTAAAAAAATGCTACATTATTATTTTATTGAATTTTTGTTGCCTAATTAATTCTTAGGCTAGTCTTACACTTCAAAAATACTCTTTTATACCTCGTCATCGGGCTTCTATTTGTACCCAAATTCTGTCATGTGCATATCCATCTATAACTACACATATGTTGAAATGTTTATATGTGTCACAAAGGCTATTGCATCATTATCATTATCACCATCCCTTAATCCCAACTAGTTAGATCTGTGGCCTGAAATTAGTTGTCTAAACTTTGTTAGCACCATAAAGTCATGCAAAAAATGTAGTAGCATTTTTTAAAATGCTGACGTAGTGACGTGTGTACTGCAACTTTTTTACTAAGGAACAATGATATGAAATTCTTTAACCGTCATCATTACATTGTAATTCCACATGCTAAGATGCATGGAAAATATTAGGGTCTAATGAAAACAACCTCTTTGTTTTTATATGGGTAAGACTGTGTACATCTTGACCAGCTACCGAGTTGTGATTATACTGCGTTGTTCTATGCAAGGAAAATATCACGGGACAACAATGAGTTGAGACAATGCGTTGACATGTTTAATTACTTTATATTGTAAAACCAACATGCTAGTATGCAGCATAATAGATAAAAGTTGTTGCGTACTTACCAAAACCTCAATATAAAGGTGACACACCACTGACACTATAGTTTTATTTTCAATTTTTGTTTATAGATCTCATTGTCGAACTGAATTATGCTATGTGTGTGCATGTTAAACTATCCACTCACCATTTCCATGGGATTATCTTTAGGATGGTTTCATTTGGGATGGAAGATTTTGGTAAGAAGTACGGAGGATTGCAGCCTCCACAATTTGTTGATGTAATCTCACTTGTGGGTGATAAGTGTGATAATATACCTGGTTAGTGTCTCTGTTCCTGCTTAAAGTGAAAAGCTTTCTTGATATAATAATCATAATCATAAAATCCTGATGTTGTGAAACTTCTAATCCGTGATAAGACATACATAACTCATGTAATTCTAAGGTTTTTATATTTTATCTTCAGGGGTCTCTGGGATTGGAGACATTAATGCTACACAGCTTATCATGAAATTTGGTATATTCCGTATTCCTTCACCTCCGCCTTTTGTTGTTATTCATGTAACTTATGGGGAAAAAGCATTACATACGAAAGTCAACTGGATATGCCTTGAGGATTGAGGATGAGAGTGACAAGCTAAAACGGCTAATCAAAAGTTGCCTAATTGAAACAACATTGTAGAGTCTCTGTGGAATGTATATTGAATTCAAGATAGGATTATCTAATAAAAATACAATTCTAGTCTAATAAGATAGTACTTCAAGCTGAATTATATGCCACGCGAAAATTCAGAAAAGATCTAATGTGGATGTATAAAGTTATTGGTAAACCTGACCACTATTGATTGCCATAGACCTTTTGGATTTGGTGTTGTTGATGTTAGTTTTCACTTAGTGGAATAGATACTATCTTGTTTCTTACAATGTTTTGTGTGGACAGGTACACTTGAAAACTTGCTTGATTGTGTTGAACAAGTTGAGGATGAGAAAATCAGGGAGGTAGTTAATTTGGTTGTAAATATGGTTTTTTCAATCTTGATTCATTTCTCATACTATATACATTATCTTACTCTTTGACATGACAGGTCAAATACGTGGTTTCCACTTCGTTAATGTTACCAACTCATGAATAGATACTCCCTCCTTCCCTTTCTCAGTTCTTGGTGTGACCAGGCGCAATTTAAGAAAAGTGTTGAAAAGTGAACTGTGTGAATGAAATTTGTTTAGAAGATAGGAAAATATTGTGAGCCACTATTTTTTCCTTAAAATGAAAAGAGCATATTTTGCGAAAGAAAGAAAAGTAAAGTGTGTGATTTAATTAGAAAGGGAAGGATTGATAATTAATAAATAGTGCATCATAAATATCAATGGAATTAGTACTCTTCTGCCCAACCTCAATATTTGCTCCTATAGATTTTCACGGTTTTTAAGAGAAAGAATTCAAGGGTATTGAATTGTGTATAAAACGTAAAGAAGTGGAAAATTAAGAAAAATATGAAAAAGCAAGAGCATTTATGTCATTTGATAAGCTCATGTCTACTAAAAAGTGAAAGTGGAGCAAGTAGTTAAGAGGCTTAAAACGAAAGTGGACCAACCTTTCATCACATCAGTAGTTTGTTATTTTCTTGCTGATTTTTGAATATATTGCTCATAAGGTGGTGAAATGGCTGTGACACACGTATGCTTCCATTTAGTGTGAACTTGACCCCCTAAATAGAGTTTCTGCGTATAGCAATGGGTAAAACATTAATCATGTTTGATCATTTCAGGCATTAATATCAAATGCTGAACTTGCCATACTAAGTAAGAATCTGGTATATCCCTTTTTCCCCCTCTTAATCGTTTCATTCCCTTTATTGACCTTGCCTCTGAACCTACTATCGATTAAGAACTCGAAAATTAATCTGCTGCTTATTGTCTTCCTTGCAGGCTTTGTTACGTTGTGATCTTCCATATTACATGGTCCCTTTTGCCCCCAACGATATGTTATTCAGGAAGCCAGTAGTAAGTCTGTGCTCCCAAAAAAAACTACCTTCTCCAAGGGGGTGTTTGTTATAATGAAATGCAAATAACAGCTAATGGCCATAATCTCAATCACTTTCCATCGCAAACAAACAAACACATCTTGTTGTTAAATGTGATACGTTTTTTTTTCCTTTCCAAAATGGAATGCTTTGTGCCTCTATGTGATATCCATTTCCCATATCCTCTATGTGAGTTCATGGCTCTTAACCTGGATACAAATCACACTGTGCAGGACAATGGGGAGAAATTTACGAGCCTATTGAGAGCGATAAGTGCTTATGCTGAAGGGTTTTCCGCAGATTCCATCATTCAAAGAGCATTTTGTCTTTGGAAGAAGCTGGAAAGGCAACATATGTGATAAACTTGGCTCTACTGTCTCAAAGTTGCTGATGGATGGAGACTTCTCTTCTTTTGCTGGCTGTAGTCACAAAGCGCAGAGGTTTTTTTTGGGTTTTGTTATTTTAGCATGTGTGCGAAGGACTCAACGGTGATGAGATTCAGGCTAGGTTAAGTTTACAACGAGTTAAAGAAAAGTGTTAAAAAGTAAAAAAGTTGGTGATTGTAATTTATTTACAAGGTCGTGAGACACTTGTTGCTTTCCTTAACAAGAAAGTGGAAAATCCTAAATTTTATTTTGTGACATCCCAAAAATGAATGTGTAAATTTTATTTTGGAACAAAACATGTACCGAATATGTCAATAACAAACAATATTACTCCCTCCTTCCAATGAAAAGAGTCTAGTTTTTAACTTGTTTCTCAACGCATTAGTTTGTTTTATGCTTTTTAAAAGTTTGTGTCTTACCAAAATAAAGCTTATACACAAAGTTGATCGAATGGAGTTGGGAAAAATCGCTTCAATAAGCTATAGACTATAGTTGAAGTAATTGCATTGATGTTCTTTTTTGGTTGCCTATCTTGACTTCCATTTTTCTCTTCTTCAATACACCTAATTCAAACTTGTGATTGAAAAAAGTTACTCTACAATGGAAAAGTAAAAGGACCATTCCAAGAATATGAACTTGAAGAAGTTGCTACATTAAAATATTTGATTTCATTGTATTGTCTCACTAAATAATTTTCTCCTTATAAAAATAAGGTACTTCGTATTTCAAAACTAACACTCATGTAATGTAGGTGCTATATTTGCATTATAAATAGATGTATTTTATCTATAAAATTCAGTTAAAATTTGTGGACTTTGACTAAGAAAAATCAACATAAATTGGGACAAAGTAAGTAGTAGTAGTAGTATTTTGGCAGGAGTAATATTTTTCTTTTAATTACATCTCTCTAAATAATAAAATAAAGCTTGTGGGCTCGTTACTATTAAAGGACCAAGAAAGTGGGGCAGACTTGTTGGACTGGACCGGAACTGTTTGACCCACAAAAATGGTAATGAGACCAAAAACTTAAAAAGCTAAAAAAGCTACCCATAAAAAAAAGAAGGAACAAAAATGCATTTGCCGGGAGTCGAACCCGGGTCTATTGCTTGGAAGGCAATTATCCTAACCGTTGGACTACAAACGCTGATTGCTACTTCCTTTCAACAGATGATATTCGTATTTACGTATTTTACTTAACCAAAACGAAGAAATAAAACTACTACTCCGTAGCAGGGAAAAAAAGTACTCCGTTGAAGAGAACAAAGGTAATTGTGGGTTTGTGGGGTTATATTTTAAGGGAATAGTACGTGAAGTACTCGGGTTTGATGTAGTACCCGAACTCAAATGAAATGTTTATAAATAGGAGAAAAGAAGAGGTGGAATATATGAGTGAAACGAGTTGCCAGAAAAGCAAAAGGAAAATGTTAGGGTACCACCACATGGGTGCTACTATGAGTGCACTCATGATTCGCACAGACAAACACAGATGATAATTGTCTGTGTCGCACAGACAATTATCGTCTGTGTTTGTCTGTGCGAAGCATGGGTGCACCCATGGTAGCACTCATTTGGTGGCACCCTAGCATGGTCCAAAGCAAAAAGGCTATCCTTTAACAATATCGGCCGCCTACTGCACTAGTTAATTATGACCGACTTGCTCCCTAGATATGAGCATCGGCCGGCGGATTGTGAATGACTGGGGACAGTATAGCAAAGCGGGGTTCGGGGCAGAGCCTTCGATTTTTTTAAAATGTACTTTATATCATGATGAAAAAATTAATTTTATATCAAACAAATTTAAAATAAGAAAAACAAAATATTTTAAAATTAGTAAAATTATACTCCCTCCGGCCCAATTTATAGCGCATGTTTCAGTTTGCAATGTTTGATTCAAATTATTTTCAAATCATTTAATATGACAAATGGTATAGAGTTAAAAAATAAAAATTACATACCAAAATACTACATCAAAAGATCTACAAAATTAGTAGTAACAACATTGCTTTATTTTATCAAATTGCTAACGAAAATAGAGAAAAAAAGTGAATGAAGTTTGACCTTGTGAATAGTGAACATGCACTATATTTTGGGACGGAGGGAGCTGAGTAATACTAAATGAATTATATTGTACAAAATTATTTAATATTACTAGAGTTTACAAATACTTTATTTAATGGGTTAATTAGTGGTCACGGGAGCATTCTTTATTTTTTGTTGGGGGCAGTTGCCCCCATATGACTTAAGGTAGATTCGCCCATGGCATCTTGGGGTGAGCAAATTAACCGGACCGACCGTTAAACCGAAAACCGAAGTAACCGCTAAATCGGTTTCGGTTTCGGTTTTCCATGACAAAAAGTTCGGTTATTTCGGGTACTTCGGTTTTGTGTCGGTTTTGATTATCGGTTTATTCGGTTAACCGAATAACCAATATATGTGTTTTGTTTGGGTAAACCGAAGTCTACTAGTTTGTAAAGCCCAATAGCAAGTCAGCCCACTTCATTATCCGAAACTGGGAATTGTGTGATCAGCCCACTTCATTATCCCTAGGGAAACCCTTGGCTTTACGGAACCAGAAGATCTACCCTGATGGTCGCCATCGTCTTCATCCACGCTGCATTTCGGGAATCAGAAGATCTTTTTCTCGATGAGCACGAGACCACCGTCAGTCCGTCATGTGGTTCCACTCCTTCTTGAAGGCCGACCCCTGTTCCCAGCGTTGCCCCTCGGCCTCGGACTTGAGCGGCGAGTCTGTGATCTGGAAATCACGGCGGCGTTGGTAGCAATTTTTCAGCCGTTCATATCAAAATGAGGAAATTTACAATTTTGCCTGGAGGGGAATTACTCATTTAGTGGTTGAAAAAACAATTTATTTCATTGTTTAAGAACAATAATTGGATTCTGCTGCAATTGGAAGTCCCAGTGCTTCTCGTGATGGTTCCGGCCATGGTACCTGTTTAACTATTTTTTTTATTTTTTGTATGGTTGCTATGGAATTCGGTTTTTAACAACCGACCGAAACTATTCGGTTTAATCGGTTTCGGTTTTTTCGGTTATCCAAATACACCGGTTCGGTTTCGGTCGGTTTTTTTGCATCTGAAAAAATTTCGGTTAGTTCGGTTTTGACCCAAAACCGACCGAACCGACTCGATACTCACCCTTAATGGCATCAGCGAGAGCACGTGTATCTACCCTTTTTACCTACCCATAAAAGTACTTTATTACCTCATAAAATGTTTTCACCTTTCATGGGGGTATTTAATGAGATGAGTACTTTCCCATGTGAGAACACAAACGGATTAGAGGAGTATACTCATTAATTATCACCTAACTGGTCTACTTTGAGTATTAATTTCTCTATCACTCACTAACCATTTTTGGCTTATAATATACTCCTCGTCCCAAAAAGATTTACACGTTTCAAAAAAATTGTGTCCCACAATCCCTTACCCATTTCTATTAAAAATCAACTTTTACTCCTTACTTTTTCAAACTCTATCTATCACATCATACTTTTTTCCTAATAATCTACACATCACATTCTACTTTTACCCATCACATCAAAGATATTTTTGAAAAGTCAACACAAAATTATCCCTCCCTTAATTTCAACTTTAGTCAAAATGGGTAACACTTTATGGGACGGAAGAACTGAGGGAGTAAAGTCTCAATTAGTAAAGTATTTCTATTTTATTTCAGTTCGAACCGGAATTGAAACGCATTTATATCTTAGCTCAAAAAATGACCGCCCAAACTTGATTCACACATACTTTTCCGACAGTAAGAGCAGCAAATCATTTATAAGTCCTCATTTATATGCACGCTTTGGGTTCAACTTAGCCACTTTAAAGTACAAAATGTCCGTGACTGTCACGTTTTTTTTATTGTGCTTTGCCATTTTATTTTATTTATACTAACAAGAAATTTTATTTAGCCTTACTCAGTTAAACAAGTAGTCTATGTTTAATATATTGTCCAAATTACACAAAATTATTACTACCTACATTAATATTTTAAAACACTTCATAACTAAAATACTAATAATTATAATTACACTGCGGTTAGTTTTACATGCATAACTAATTAGTAAAAGCTAACCGACATTATTTTATTAATTTTCACTTTCGTTATACAATGAGACGGAAAATTAATCACCAAATATACATCATTGAATTGAATCGTTAACGAACCAATAAAAGAATTTTAAAAAAATTATAATAAAAGAATGGGTACGGAGTAATTAATAAAAATAATCCGCGTGTAATAAATGTGGCCGCCATGCACGCGGATAGAAATACAAATCAATGGCCGGGCCCTTTTGGGCTGGGCCCGGACGGGAGCATCTCGAGCAAGCTGGACCAGCTCATCTTGGCCTGCTCAAACACTGAGGAGGACGACGTCGGGAGGCCCGCCGCTACGGCGGCAAAATCTCCCGGAAACACTCTTCCGGCCTCCACCGCCGTACCGCTCCGGCTGCAGCTCATCATGAAAAGAGCGAGGAAGAAGTAGGAGACCAAATAACAACAGCTCATTCTCTTGCAATCCATTAATTATTCCAAATGTTCGATTATTTCTCGATCGAATATATATTATAAATATATGGAGGATAAAATGTAAATATATATTGCTTAAATTGTCAATATATATTTTTTTGTGCTTGAGATTGAAGAATGTGAAGTTGAGCTTGGAGATATATATAGGACGCCAGGTACAGTGTTAATTAATTGGTTGTTTGAATTCATGAAATGGAACGCGTTGACTTTTTAAATTAATACGAGCAAAAAAAATAAAGACCAATTCTATTAGTTTATATTTTGTTGAAGAGGTCATATATGTGTTTTCTTTTTGTTTTATAATTTCTGCATTAAATGTTGCTAGGTTGAGCACAAGTTAGAAGTCAAAGCAAAGAACCTTTACACTCTCTTAGGTTTGGTGAGTTTTTGGAGGATATCATAAGATATAGTTTTTGGAGGATATCATAAGATATGTTTTATGAAATCTGAAAAAAATGATTTGAATTTTGAAATCTGAAACGAATGTATTTGGAAAGATTTAAAATCATAATTTAATAAATGATAAGCGGGGTGACCGACAACGAGGGTGGTTGGCGGTGACAATGGTAGCCCCTAACAGAGAATGATTTACAGTTGAAAGAGATATCAAACCTTAATTTTGCTATCTCTCAATTTCGGGAGATATCGAAGGCCCCCATTTGAAGAATTTTATGATATCTGGAGATATCAAATTCGATATCTCTTTTGACTTCACCAACCAACCAAAAAGAATTCTGATATTGTGAGCTATCAAAATATTATTTGTTCATCAAACATACTCTTAATCTTTCAAAAAGAAAACTATTCTCTTTTAGTTGTTTGAAAAGAAGGTTTTATTTTCACACGGTGTATAAAGAAAAAAAGATTTCAAAATAAGATTTCAAATAAGGTATCCCAACTTTATGCACTCCATATTATGTTTGTAACAAAAACATATGTCATATTACTAAAATTATAATAAAATTTTGTCTTAAAATCTTTAAGAAGAAAAAATTTGTACTATGAAAAGAAAAGACACCTAGATAACACATTTGAGTAGAGAAAAGCCAACATGAATGCCAACTCAGTATTTGTTCCCCAGATTATCACCCTTCCAACCAGGGGCACCATTTTGTTATATTTTTAAATAGAAATCATCCTAAATATGACTAAAACATAGAGAAAAGTATCAAAATAGGACTTTCATGTTTTTTTCCCGGAATAGGACTTTGCACTGTGGTAATGTGACTTTGCATTGTGATAATGTGACAGTGTACATGTGCAAATTACTATACTTTTTTGGTAATGTATATGATCATGTTTGGTAATGTAAGTCCTATTTCGGGAATAAAAACATGGAAGTCTTATTTTGGTATATTTTCAATGTTTTAGTCCTAGTTTGGTCTTTTTCCCATTTTTAAAAGATGTGATATGTTTTTATTTGTTAAAACGAAAGATGGTGTACCTTTTCTTACAGCAGTCTAAGTTAGGGTACCTTCTATGAAAAAACTAGAAATAAATTGTTCACATTATTTCTCTCTTCAATATGCGTAATTTTTCATCACACAATTTTGTTTTTTCTTTAATTTTGTAGAAAAACACAACAGAAATTAAGAATTGAACAATGGAAGAAATATTTACTCTCTTCATTATGCGAAATTAAGAATTGAACAACGGTATGTACTATGAATTCACTTCGTCCCATTATGGCAATGTTAGTGTCCAATAATTAACCCAACATATCTAGTTTAAAAATTGAAAAATGTGATTTGATTTAATTTGAAGAAAAAATCAGTTTTATCAAAGATCGGATACTATTGGACAAATTTTAATTTATTTCATACTTTTTTTAAAAAAATGTTCCATTTTCCTCAATGAAATTACAGAGAGTAGAATCAGAATTTTAAAACACTTATCACAACAGTAAATATATACTCCGTACTACTGAAGATTTATTTGACTTATATGAAGGTTAAATCTAAGGTTCATGCAAAAAAAAGTTAGAGTAGGTCTTATTTGGTAAATTCTAAAGGATTGATATGATATGAGGTTTAGAACCTTAAAAAATGATATGGATTTTGAAATTCCAAAAAAAGTGTTCGAGAGATCTAAAATTATTATTATTAGTGAAAGACAGGGGAGACTGATCATAAGGCGATCGGGGCAATTGGATGGTAGAAGCTAGTGCGGGTGTGGTGGTGATTCAACAAATATCAAACTTCTGAATTGATATCTTTTAAATTTGAAGGATATCAAAACTCTTTACACTGAAAATTTACGTATCAAGAGACCATTAAAATTGAAACTTGTTCAGACTTTTCAAACCAACATAAAAAAAATTGTGACATCTAAACACATCACAGATTCACAACTCAGATATCTTTTGCTCAATAAAAGAACCCTTAAATATTTTAAATTTACAAACACTCAACTATTACTATAAGCGAAAAACTATACTCAAACATGCAAAAATACTATTGAGTACTTTTTATACTCCCTCCGTCCCCCAAAGATCTTCCCAATAGCCATTTTTCTTTGTCCACAATAGATCTTCTCATTTCATTTTTTAACAATTAAAATACCACAACTACCCCCACTTACTTTATTTATTACACTTCACCCACCTCATTTAATACACTCCACCCATTTTTCATTAAGGGTATTATGGTAAACTTTCACCTTTTTTCAACTCTCCTTAAAAACCACCAAAAGTCAAAATGAGAACATTTTAGGGAAACGGAGGGAGTACATATTTTACAAACTAAAAAAAATTTACTCTGACTTTTTGAAAACCCAACGGTGCAGACTTCAACAACAGCCCGCCCCCACGGTCAAACGGGTCGAATATCAAGTTTCAAGTTGAGAAACAAGAACACGTGTTTCAAAGTCCAAAAACAACCTTGGCGACCAAGTTTTACAACTAAAAGTTTGGAAAATTACTGTGCTCAGATTGAATTGTCTTTGTCCTACCCCAAATTTACACAGCCTCATTTTTTACCATTCTAAGACACAAATCGACTAAGTTGCCGATTATGCCCCTGCCTATCACTTCATCTTCTCACAAACATCTACAGACACGGCGGCATTGGGATGAAAAGTGGAGTGAGTTTTCGGAGCGACTTTAACATTTTACTGGTCTAGGCAAAGTGAAAAAAATATTAACTAAAGACTTGTTTTCCCATTGTGGTCCTCAAATACAACTCCGACTCTACCAGAGCAATTATCAAACGATTGAGGATTACAGATGTTAAACAAACAACCGTTGATCGAGAAGTGTGAAAACCCAAACAAACAAATAAATAAATACAAGACACGCTGGTTTTGTTCAAAGAAAATAACAGGCCTCGTGTTTACGTATATTCAATTCAACAAACAAGGAACAAGCAAAAGTAACACCGAATAGGAAAAAGATTTTGTCACTCCAAACCTTTTTCGCAGGGCGTGGTTATGCGGTCATACTTCAATCGCAGTGGAAGTACTAGGAACCGGGCCGTTGTTGAAGACGAGCTGATTAGCTAACTAAGTGGCTGGGTGAGCTACTGAACATTGCATGCCACATGTAAGCACGCGAGAGCACCATCTCCAGCTCCAGATCACTCCAGGTATGAGTTGGGAGATGTTGTATGAACATTACCATATCTTGGAACTCAAGCTGTTGAAGCTTGTCTGTCCACTGAGGAAAAAACACATAAGTTGCAAAAAGAGATTATTAGCTCTCTTTTTAAATTAAAAAAAAATGTCAATGTGAAATTTTTCACTTTGGAGCAATTCAGGCCTAGTACTTCTGCAAACAGGTAAATAGGGGTGTTCATTCGGATATATCCGATCCGATCCGGTTTTTCGGATATTCAAAATTTTCGGATCGGTAAATACCAATTCCATGTCCGATCTGAAAATTACCGGATACCCGAATTTTGGATATCCGAAATTTTGGATCGGATCAATGGAATATCTGAAAGAAAATTATTTATTTAGTTTTTAATTTTTATTTATTCCAATAATTCTAAAAAAGTATTTAGAATGATTTTTTATTTGTTAAAATAGTGGATGTCAAGTCAACTCTATTTTAAATGTTATAGTTACCTTGATAGTGTTATCACAAGTCATAATTTTATAAATGTATGAAAAAAGAATATCAATATACGGAGTAATTGACAAATAAAACATAGACAAAAAGACTAAAGTAGAAAACTTCAATTAATCTTAGATTCAAATATTTATGATGAAGAAAATGAATTGGGCTTAAGTTGTCTAAGCTTTATTTTTATATTTATTTTTAAAAAAAATATGAACTTCGGATATCCGAAATCTTAATATTTCATTCCATATCTGATCTGAATTTTTTCAGATATCCGATCCGAAATATCCAAAATCTAAAATATCGGATCGGATATACATTTTCAGATCGGATCATGGACGGATATTTTGGATCCGATATTTTTGAACACCCCTACAGGTAAATATGGGAAGAAACTTGGGCAAATAGTGGCATATCCGGAAATTACTTGGAAGAAAACCCGTAGGCAAAAGGCCAAATAATTTGGCATGGGGTAGTAGTAACTTTTTAAGTCCGAGGGGGTCTGAAAATTTGCTAGTGGGAACAGAAAACGTATCTCACCGTGAGTAGGAAACTGGCAGCTATATATACAAGGAAATCTGGTAATGCGTCGCCTTCTGCTAGATATGTGTCCCATAGGCGATTAACCAGGTGGAAAGGGATCTATGGAAATCAAAACAATTAATCATCTCAAAAAGAATCTATGAGACAAACATCCTCCTGCAAAAAATACACAGGTGATAACACACCTCGCGTATTAATAGACAATTGAACCAGCGAAAGGCAAACTGTAGAAATTCAAGACCTTGCTCCTCCATGTGCCTTAAAATGGGCTCTGTATTTAAGATAGTATAAAGCATAAGTCACATTATATCCCCCCCCCCCCGGGGGGGGGAGGGGGTTCAATAGAAATGGTGCACACATAAAATACTGATGTGTTATTTATTCTATCCTGTCCCATTCAATTCACTTGGCAGTACCTTTGATTTTCCACTTCCAGGTTTAGCACAACTTAAATTTTCATTTACATAATCTCATGATAGACATTAATTAACTTTTACATGAAGATAAAAATGAGAATGTCATATGAAATTGTTTATTCCAAGATAGAGCAATTCATCAATTACACATGTCTGCATTTTTAAACTAAAGTAGATATTTAATGTTTCACTTTGCATTTAGAAATTTAAATGGGAGCAAAAATATCTGCTTGTGTTTTTGGCTTTTTCAATAGAATCTAAGCATATCATGTGTTTCTTTAGCAACTTCATTGACCAACAAAGACTTTTAAAGGCCAAGGTTTTATGGATCAAATATACGCAGAGCACTAAACATTTTAGAGACAACAGCTAGGCCTCAAAGTACCAGACCATGGTTAGAGAACAGCATGAAGCCACCCTTCACAATCCTTCTAAATAAAGGCTGTAGCAGATGTAGGAGTTACAGAGGATACAAAAACATACCATCAATCCGTCTAACCAACTCCTTTAGCTTAAAGACCAATCGTTGAATTCCAGGTTGGGCAAATGTGTAATGATCTTGCATGCCATCAAGTAACTTTGTTAAGCACCAATAACAGTCAGCTTCTACATTATTTATTTTCTCAGGAGGGAGATCGGCCATTTTCCAATTTTCGATGCTTCCCTCCAAGTGTTCCGATAAGAATACAACCATAAATGGTGTTGCTAAATCATTTATTCCCTGCACATAGCCACTCGCCGGATGTCGAATGGCCCTAGGAAATATAAAATGAAATATTAACATCACATGAAGGATATTGCTGCTAAATTAACAATCCAAGGAAATGGATAGGGAATGTCTAACCACGTATATAGTATGCGCTCCAATGATTTCTGGACCTGTTCTTGTTGAAAGAAAGTGACATCAGGCACTGTTCTAGGGCAATCAACAGCAATCTGATAACAACAAAAAAGGTGCATAAAAATAATGTGCAAGTAACAAAAGACAAGGAAATCGATAACTAGAAGTCATCCCACCACATCACAGTACCTGCCGAAGCATGGTTATCTCTTCATTTGTGCGCTCAGTGTCTGGAATGTCATAATACTGAGCAACACAATCAAGATACTCAAGACGCTTTCTTGCCAAAACTCCCTCCCTTCTATCTGAATTAGGAGGTGCATATCCCTGTTGTCAGTTCATTATTTAATTTGAAAGCAAAAAATGATTTTTGCTTAGTACTATCGCTAGTAAAAACAAAAGTCCGACCAGACTTCTTAAGCAAGGAGTGCGAGTGTGTAGCTGATAGCATAGTACCCAAATAACATTTTCATTAACAAAATCGCAACTGATATAGGAGAACATGGATAACACCAATCTTTAAGAGTTGACCTAACTGGAAATAGGATGCTGTAAAGTATTTTTTTTAACAGAGAGGAAATGGCTTGGGTGAAAACAAGTCAACCTGTAATAAATTTTGTGGTCATGCAACAATGATGAAGAGAACTTTGCACAATAGAAGTTTCGAAATTAATATAGACAAAACATCAATATCAAAGTTTAACCACACTGAAACCTGTAAATGAAATACACGTCCCTCTTATCCTATTCATTGAAGTGCATAAACTTTATTCAGCTAAGAATCTTAACATGATATGCCTTAACAACAAATTCATGATAACAATTTAAATATCATTGGAGGACCAGACCTCTCAACAAAACAAGACAACTAGCAAATAAGGCATAGTAGATACTAGATAATGTGACGAACTGATCAAAAGTCATCATTTCCCAAGACATCAAAACATCATACTAATACAAAGGTGGATACTCTATACAGGAATGCAAGTCAGATTATTATTCATGTAATCAATGTCATTGAAATCTTTCAAGAACATAAACAGTTTCCATGAAATTATATATTTATGCTTATTAACAAGCAAAGAGACATACCAAAATAAGCCTCCACACTGAAGGTCGCAGATAAGGCGGAACACCACTCCAAGCTAATTCACGCAATTTTTCTGTGAGAAAGGATTTGGTTAAGATGGAGTGGCAATAACATGAGAAAACACCCAAGACCAAAAACCCTTTGAACAAAATTGCATAGGTTGACCGTGATTGCTACAATGGAAAACACCCAGCGACAAAACACCACGTCCACAGCCTGATCAAGTAATTTAGGGCCTGAGGCGAGATTTTAAAGACCCTTAAATCTCTGTGTGTATGTTCAAATGATACTAATTGATCCTTTATTAGTCTGTTTAGTTTTTCTTCTGATTTGTTGTTAGTAATAATAAATGTTTGATGTTTCACAATAAAATTAATTCCTTTGTTTTTTCCTCTACCTTTTGATATATAATTCAATATTTTTAACTAAACAAATCATTTTACTCACTTTGTCAATTATTAGGGCTTTTTTGTATCGAGAACATCTGGGGCCTAGTTGTAAAATCAAAACTTAAAACAAAAGATTTTTCCTTTAGACAACTAAAGCTTATAATATACTCCCTTCGTCTCACAATTTGAGCACACTTTAACCAATCACCAGAATTAAACGAGCGAAAATTGTTCAATTGAGATTTATGTTGATGAGAGAGAAATACCATGAACCGCATAATCCTTGCCTTAGTAGAAGATGAGACATAATTTTGGGACAGGCAGAAAAGGATGTGGAAACATAATTCGGGGGCAAAAAGAGAACTCTACTGTGTGTATGGGTCCTAATTATTTGTGTGGCTGTGGTTGTTTACTCAATTGCCTCAGGCCAATGAGAGACTATATTCTGTACTGCATACATAGATTCAGTTAGATGTACACATCTTCGACTGGTTTTTTGGCATATAAAATCATGTTTAATGCTCGTACAAGATAAGATTACGGGAAGATATGAACAATTATGTGATGCTCACCTAGCATAGTGGAATAATGGAATTAAGTAATGAAATAATTGACACCTAAATACCTAATCAACTTCTATTATACTCGAGAAATTGTTGGAATACAGTTGATGACAGACATGCTACAAGAGAGCATGGAAAGAAACTAGTACCTAAGACGACATTTGTTGAAGACAGTTCCTTAGTGAACTTCATTAACCTAGCAGAATCTGTAGCCCTCGAGCCCATGGGAGACCTTGGAATCTCTATATGCTTAGGTTCTGAATCTGATGTAGATGGCTTTATCTTGTTAGCAGATGAACCAGGGTCGGGATTGCTTCTGCTTTCTTCTTCCTAAAAGTAAAGCATTTCTTTGAGCACTCTGATATCAATTCGCATACGAAGTACATGCCCAAGATTGAGTCAGTAACAAAATATCACCTACACAACAGCTTATACCTCAGAAGATCGATCAACTTGTTCATTTGGCTTTGTCTCATCTGAGATTCTCCTGCTACTAGTTGGGGAATACAGACCTGAGGTGTCCAGCGGGTCAGCCCTAGGTGTAATGAATACCTTACCAGGAAAGCCGCGACCTTTGAGCAACCTGAAGTGTTCCACGTGATATATTCAATTCAGATTCTTCAAACATACACTACACAGCAAATTCAGAGCAGAAACAATTGGATTGCATACCTTAAAGCATTTTCCATTAGTTATTTCCGAACAAACTAGGGAGAATTGGCGCGGCGGGAACGTGAACGACGCCGCCGTGAATACGCACGGGCCCGGTGCCGTTAGGTGAGGAGTTCGGAGTGGATGCTTTTCGATTGCACGGCGGACGGAGTAAAGACGTCGGGGTTGTGGCCGGAAGAAGTAGGCATCCGGTGATGATGATGGAGAAGCTCCACACTCAGATCTGAAGGCAGTCAGTCAGATACTCTCAGATCAGATCTGTTTGGGACTTGGGCTGGATGTGTTCTACACACTTGTCTCTAAATAAACTTCATTTTTCACAGAAAATTACTCGCAGGTGACGCGAGTTTTGTTGAAATAACTCTCAGTTTCCTCTATTTTCAAAAAGGCAGCAGAGGTCCTTACATTTTGTTGTAATGACTGAGAGGGGACATTTCATCCAATACATCATTCGTAAGTGTTAATAAATATATTTTTTCCTATTTTTCCAATACCGTTTTTCCTAATTTGCCATTACCTTGTTATTTCTTTTTTTAGAATTTTTTTTATTTCATTTGTTTTAATATAATATAAACAATTTTGAATTTTTATACCATTTTATAGGAGAAATTTTAAAATAACACTTTAAAAAATAGTAACAAAATGAAAGAAAAACAAAGAAATAAAAAAAGGAGCGACCTAAGATTTATTACCTTAAAACATTTAGAAAAGAATAGGAAAAAATACATTTATTAACGTTTATAGATGAAATATTGGATGAAATGTCCCCTTCTAGTTATTACAACAAAATGTAAGGACCTCTGCTGCCTTTTTGAAAATAGAGGGACCTGAGAGTTATTTCAACAAAACTCGCGTCACCCATGAGTAATTTTCTGCATTTTTCATATTATATCAAAAATATTTTTAATTTAATTAATTTTTTATAAAATGAGGAATCTAATGTTCATTTTATAAAAATGAGGGATCTAATTTAATTAATTCTTCGATCAACACGTAAAATCTGAATTTTAAAATTTGTTTTAGTTAAAAAATGGTATTGAAATAAAAATAAGATTTACATATTAAAAAAATATATTAAAAATTTTATAAAATAAGAAGTGACAAAAATATTTTATTTTATCAACCATCGATGAAAATATGCAATCAAACAAAAATTATCGATATACCGTAATAGTTATTGTGTAATTCATTTGGGAACAGAAACAGTATATCAAAAAAAACAAGCTGCATGAAAAATGTAAAATTTAATATATATATATACACACACACATGCATGCATTACTCATATTTTAATTTGAAATTACATAAAAAAATCTTTTAGATAAGATATAATATGATTATGTTATTTTAATAAATATCATATTGTAGATAAATGAAAAAATAAGATACATAGTATGATTTGACATTATCATGAGATTTTATGACATTTAAAACAAATTGCTAAAAATAAAGGATTAAGTTATTTGTACACCAAAGTTTATGCCTCATTTTGTACCCCAAAGCCATGCACCAACATTTTGTACTAGTATGATGTTAGTGTGATGATTTACATTGATAAAAAATGTCAGTGCAATTTTTTTAAATTGAACTTATATTTTCTGCCCATGTTAACCGTTAAAATATCGGTGCATTTCTTTGAAGTACATTTTGGGTAGCATGCTTGAAAAAATAAAACACGCTTCGTATTTAGTATCTTGTGTATCCTTTTACGAGTACTAATGTGTTTCTTTTATTTTCATGTTCGATCTATTCAACTTATTTTTATTACTTAGTATATTTTTCTTATTAGAATAAGACAGACGAGATAAAAACAAATCAAAATTAGTTTTAAATGTAACTACATTTTGACAAGATTAAATTAGACCATATCAGGTCAGAACTAGTTCCAATCAGATCAGAGTTATTCAGATCAGGTGAAGATAATATAACTTTAATCTTATTTATTTTCGATAATTGAAATAGAACAACAATTGAAGAAGATAATTACGGAGTGCTTTTTCAATAAAAAGACAATTATTTCCTTCGTCCCAAAAATAAGATAACATAAGATTGAATGTGCACCACACAAATATAACTAAACATGATGCGAGACAAAAATAGTGAGACATACAAAAATAAATAGAATAAAAATATTGGGACAGAATGATTAATGTTTAAACATCTTAAAAAACTACTTTGTAAGATTTAATTTAAAGAGAACAAAACACAAATATAACTAAACATGATGCGAGACAAAAATAGTGAGACATACAAAAATAAATAGAATAAAAATATTGGGACAGAATGATTAATGTTTAAACATCTTAAAAAAACTACATTGTAAGATTTAATTTAAAGAGAACAAATGTTTTGTAAACCAGTTTCATAATCGTGGCTTTGTTAGATGAATTGTCACATGTTTAAACTCAAGCGAAGACATTTGATTCTTCGTAATTCACTATTTTAAGAAAGTTTGTACGAGCAAATATTATATTGTTCTCCATAGTCCGTAATAGAGATGGCAATATTTAAAAATTACAAGTATTATATCTATTTCAATGTATTTGCCCAATTTAATTATTTGCAGTCAATCCAAACGAACTTTGATAATCAATAATTTAAAATTTAAGTTATATTTTAATATTGTATTGAAAAATTTAATCACATTTATCTTATATTTTTTTTTTTTTTAAAATTCTTTTACCTTGTTAATGCATGATATTGTATTTACTTAATTAAAAATCAAGTTTGTTTAAATTAACCATAAAAAGTTGATTACTCCGTATAATAAAAAGTTTGGGACGAAGCGAGTACTCTATCCATTATGTAAATCGTCTCACTTCTTTAAGGTTTTAATAAAGTAAAGAACACATAGTCCATAATTTTTTACTTTACTCTAATCATATTTCAACTACTTAAATTAAATTATTAATTTTTTATTTTTTTTTTTTAAATTTTACAAAGTTAAACTGAGATGATTATGTAACAAATTTGGGATGGTGGGACCCGGACGTACTTTTTTTTTAATCTTGGGGCTACCAAAGAGCGGGCCATTTTATGCATGCGTGTAAGAATCGGGTGGTTGGACGGACCAGACCGGAACCGCAGGATCGCCAGAGGAAAACTTACGGCCACGCGCCACCGTCAGGAACCACCAACCACGCGCCCACTATTATCATCCATCATTGAGCTCAACACCACCTCAGGTACCTACTACCCTGGAACACCCGAACCAATCCCTTCTCTGCTGCTTCACGCTCCCCAAGAAGCTCTTCCTTTCTCTGTAGGGTTTCCATCTCCCAGTCTCAGAAATATCAATCTCAAAATCCGTGCCCCGATTGAGCCCGGCATGATCATTCCGACGAGCTCATTCTTTCATGCCTGTTGATCTCGGAAGTTCCCGGCCCTCACCGGAGAAGATTTCTTCTGGTATGCGTCTGTTTGTGTTTTTTTATTTACATATGTGCATTTATAGTAGTCTCTGTGAGGCTGTGAGCTATGGATTAGATGTGGATCTTAGGGACTCGAGTAATTTGTTGGAGGAATTGATGCTTTTTTTAAAGGCGTGAGGAGAAAGTTTATGGTTTGTTTTGTTTATTGTTATGAATTTTCACACATCTTCAAGTTCGTAGCTAGAGAGGGAATTAAGGAGCTAAGTGAATTTGTCCTTTTTACATTCATATCTATAATCTATTGAATGTGTAGAAGGAATCTGGTGCAAATAAATAACCCTTCCTTTCCCAATTTAAGCATTTTCTCTTTTCTTTCATGTGACTCTATTAATGGCCTAAAGTTTTACCTGATAAATGTTTATCAACACCTAGAGACTTTGATTTGTGATCTGTGCGTGTATGCGCTGATTTTCATTTTAACTTTTAAATACTAAGAATAGTTGACGTGGTATTCACTTTTGTGCATATTTGTTGCACCCCGAATGGACGAGTTAAACACATACGTAGTACTTTCCTTGTTAGTTATGTTATTTTCTTGTTTTCTTTTTTCTTGAAATATAGAGTGATGAATGTTCAAATCTTTCTGAAAATTCAAGAATCTTATGCTCATTTTCTCACTCCATATACTTCTTATTCTTAGGACATTTCTCATTACTCCGTATATGGACTAGCCTGTTTACTATTGACTTTAACCTCATTCTTCAGCCTGTGTAGGTTTAGTAGCTTATTCTGTCTAAATGATCAGCACCACCTCAATGTTGCCAGAAGGTTAGTGCAGTTATGGCTTGTGTGAAGACGGTCACTCATCTTAAGGGTAAATTCCTGTTTTATTTTATTTTTTATAATGATATGCCGCAGACAATTTCTGTAGTTTTCTAACAGTATTTTTTAGATGCAGGTTGTCTGTGCCATAATCTCCTCCTGGTAGTTATCTGGTCGTTGAGCTACCTAAATGTAGAGGCTCTGCAGATGCTGCCTGGATCAAGCAGTCATACTTATTCTCCTGCGCTAGCTAGCCCACCCAACAGTGGAATGTTTGAACCCTTTGAAATATCACCGGCTGTGATTCCACACTATCCGTTTCCTCTTGATCAACCTCTGTCACCTATGTACCCATCCTTTCCCACCACATATAATCCCATCTTGACTGGAAGATGCCCAGTAGACTTCTCTTTGATTTCAAACATGACAGAAAAAACAGCTACTGATTGTACTGCATCTCTCTCAAGAGTAGTAAGAAATGTTATATGCTGCCCGCAATTCTCCAGCTTGCTTCACATATTTCAGGGGTTCTTCAGCTCCAATTCTAATGCTTTAGTTTTGCAAAGTGCTGTTGCTGAAGATTGTTTTAAAGATATCGTCAGTATACTAGCCAGCAGAGGGGCAAATGGGTCCATATCCACCATGTGCTCTGCAAGCTCGTTGCAGCTCACTGGCAGTTCTTGCCCTGTGAAAGATGTAACTACTTTTGAGAAGGCAGTAAATACTAGTAGATTGTTGGAGTCCTGCAGCACAATTGATTCTCTTAAGGAGTGCTGCAGGCCAGTTTGTCAGCGTGCAATTTCAGAGGCTTCACTTCAACTATATGGGATAAGATCAAATCACTCAAGTGTGATTGATAGTAAAAATTTACTAGAAGCGCCTGGCCAGATCGACAGTCTTACAGATTGTAAAGGAGTTGTGCATTCATGGCTGGCCAGGAAACTGCCATTCGAAGACGCAAATAAAATATTTCGGTTACTATCTTCATGCAAAGTTAACAAAGGTATTCTATTTTTCCTCTTTGTTCTTTACAGAAAGTAGGTGACAACTTTGCAAATTTACCAATTCCAACCTCCAATGGAATATCCATAAACATCACAGATGAACCTCTACATTCTTGTTAACTAAATTTGGGGGCATATTGTTATTTCGAGCATTGTCACTCTCTTCAATATCTCTGTGTTCGTATTGCAGTTTGTCCTCTAGATTTCAAGCAGCCATCTGAAGTGATAAAAGCATGCCGGAATATAGCAGCTCCCAGCTCTTCATGTTGTAGCTCACTAAATTCATACATTGCTGATATACAGAAGCAAATGTTGATTACTAATCGACAGGCTATAATGTGTGCAACTGTATTGGGATCAATGTTACAGAAGGCTGGGGTGATGACAAATGTGTATGAGCTATGCGATATTGATTTAAAAGATTTCAGCCTTCAAGGTGATAATTGATAAATATTGTTTCTTTAACTCTCTATAATTTAAAAAAAAGCCTTATTCTCGATTTAATGTTTCACTGTCTTTTATTTCCATGTACTGGCATTGGAGCAGCCTATGGTGGACAAGAAGGTACTTGCATCTCTTTCATTGTTATTTCCTTTTTAAATTTTAAACTAATCTATGACATTAGATTGACATTAACGAGCACTCAAAAATTGAAAGAAGATAATCTTTCTCCATTGTGCATTAAATGTCTATCTGAACTGTTAAGAAAGAACTCAGTGAAATTTTAGAAGGTTAGATGAGTAGACTAAACAAACACTTGCAATGAATAACGCAGGGTGCTTGCTTCGAAGCTTGCCTACAGATATGGTGTACGACAACTCTGCAGGTTTCAGCTTTAACTGCGATTTGAATGATGATACTGCAGCTCTGTGGCCTTCATCACCCTCTGGTGCATTCTCTTTTTGTGCACCCGGTAAGTTGCTGTTTTTTACTTTTTCGTATAAACAGAGTAGATTTACAACTTATTTTGCAGAATTCTACTCCATATAAGTTATTATTATTGTTGTAATAATAATAATAATAATAATAATAATAATAATAATAATAATAATAATAATAATAATAATTTCTGTATTTATGTCTGTCATCTTAATCATTCTTATATGATCACTTTGTGATATTGAATTCTACTACATAATTTGCAGAAATGTCCTTACCAGCATTACCAACATCATCAGAGACTGGTATGTGTTAGTCATTGCTTAAGTTATCTCAGTTGGGTTGGATAGTCTAATATTTATCCATTCCGGAATAAGTTTGTAATCAAGAAAGATGAAATTGTGAACCTCGTTTTGCAACAAAGCAAGAAAGGAAATTGATATTGGCAGTCGAGAATTGATAATGATACTTCAAATTGATCATAGAAGGACAAAAATACCCTCCATGAAAAAACAAAATAGAAAAAGTAATAAGGGATATTTTTGTCTTTCAATGATAAATTTGGAGTTCATTGCTAGAGGGTCAATATCAATTTCCATAAGGTGAAATCTTTCTATGGGACCGGTGGAGTATTTCCATAGCTGATTCACTTACTAATTACTATTTCATCCTTGCAGGCTATCGAACACATGTGCCACATTTCTCCGTGTTGATTCTTTTGTTTTTAGTTTCCAAGTTGTACTGAGGAGATTTAGTTTTCAGATATCAAGCCCCGGTGCAAACGAAGTAGAGAGCCATAGATGGAAGAACTTTGGGAAGATCTCATGTATATTTTTTACACATCTTCATGCATGTATAGCTCTACTGTTTTATTTTTTTGGCTATCCCACTTCTCCTAGGTTTCTTTTTTCCCCTTTTTCTTTAATGAGAGAATGTCTAAAGATGCAAGTTGGTGCACAACTGTGTCTTCATCTACAGAGACTTGAAGCCAATCGTGCCCAGAGTATAAGGTAATGTACATTAGTCGGCATTTGGTTCGTAGAACGTTGTCTCGTGGATGTGGTGTACATTGTCTTGTTTGGGTTAACCTTTGTGGAATATTAGATGGATGAGTTTGCGTCATGTATAAAATGTCTCTTTTTAAAAACGTGTTGATCTCACTCGCTTCTTGTGTTTTAGGATATACTTTTCACATTTGTTCTTGAGATTCTCGCACCTTATTCTTGCGCCCAACATATTCAGCTTCATCACACAAATCAAACCTAGCTCTTTTCGACAACAAAAATGTTGACTCCACATTTTTCGCCCAAAAAATATGGCATCGATGAACAATAAGTGAACCCTTTTGCAAGTGTGTCATTCAATTGGAGTTTGTGTAGTGACTTTACACTTGTAATGTTTTCTTTCAATGTATTCCTCCATTGTTCAGTCATATGTGCTTCAAATGTTATGGTTGGCCGTTTAATGAACCATTGAAACCTTAATTTATGTAAGTGCAACTACAAGTCTAATACTTTTTAAATAATTTTCTTTGAAGTAATATGACCTCACAATAACAACTCAAACACCCACTCAAGAGGTAAATAATACAATTAATAGTTTGCAGACAGTGGTTAATAGTTATTGTCTTCATTTCTGAACATTTGTTCATTTTTCTATTTTTTCAGTCAAATTTGGTAACTTTGACAAAAATTAAATAAAAATGATATTCCAAATTATACGAATAGGGTGCCTAGGTGCTCTCATTAGAGTCATCTCAACTAAAATCCCAAAATCAAATTAAATGTTCTTTTTAAAATGCTATTTCTATAAGAAATTTAAAACCCGCATTTTGCTTGGCACAATGCTAATTCATGTTGATTTAGCAAACATATCATCCAACATTTTGATCAATCGGCAATGTCATTTTGAATATAAATGTTTAAAAAGATTAATGCAGTTTTAAAATTTGGTATTGTCCCACTTCTTTTTCTTTACACTTTCATAAAAAAGTTTCTTGTTTGAATTTTACGAATTTAAAAAGTGTTAAAATAAATAAAAAATTATAATTGAAAATTGTTCACTAGAGAGAAAACGTTGCAAGTCACTCCTTTCTTATAAAAATTGCAAGCTTTTTGCAAGAGAAAGAAAGTAACTTTTAAAAATTATTTTTACTCTTAGTTTTTAATAAACGAATATTGCAATTGAACTTTTCTATTGGTTTGAGTGGTAGGAAACTAATCTACAAAACTTATGGAAAAATTCACCCAGATTTGAATATGACTTTTTGTATGTTATTAGGTTGAAAAATGTACGAAAAGATTCGAATTTAGAATCGAGTCAATAGAATTCAAAACTAATCGACAAAAAAAGGAGGAAGTATCAATTTTGTGAAGGAGGCACCGTAAATGATACAAAAAGACAGTGATATCGCAATGTTAATCATGACCAATGTGACTAGAGTCATGCCGTAAAATTAATTACTCCGTATTTTTTAGATAACTTGGGACATAATATGAGATATGTAGTATAAAAATTACTCGTTCTTTCCTGAATGTATCGTCACAATTACTATTCTGGAATTTCAATAGTTTTTGTTTATTTTCACGTTTTTGTTGATAATTTGATAAAATAAAATATCTATGTCAAACTTATTTTATACATAGTAGTACTTTTAATGTGATTTTGAAATACATAATATGACGGAGTATTTTTTATTTCTATGACAATTTGTAACTAAAATGATTTTAAAAAATATAATTTTACACATTATTCAAAATGTGACAATAATTCTAAGACAAGGAATTTTGCTATGTGTACCCCAATGTGATGTATCCCAGGTGGACACCACTTTCTCACAGACGCTCACTGTCTGTGTTTCACACAGATAATGTGCGTCTATATACGTCTGCAGAATGTAGTGTACAACTCAGATACATTATCTTTCCTACCTAAAATTCCTAAAATAATTCAAAATTAATCCAAGAGCCTAATTTTAGATTTCATCTCATGTGACAATTTGTGAGACAAAATGTCGGCCCTTGTTCATCATATTCATCCCAACAAAATACAAATGAAACTCTGGTACGGACTATATCTAAGATATTCTTGCCTAAATTAGTAAAATTAAAAACAAATTTCAGGCGAAAAAACGTAAACAGTGATACCAAGAAACTGTCTTTCTATCAGTTAATGGCGACGCACCGCTTTTCCGATCTCCCTTCTTCGGATATCTCTTCATTTCTTTATTTTCTCAGGCATGAATGAATATATATGTATGTATGTATCCGTGCGCGCATAGCGCAATTTCCGTAGACGGAATCTGCTTGTGTGAATCGATAACTGTAGCAGTTTCGAACTGATTTGAATTGATTTGGTGTTTCCGTAAGCGGAATCTGCTGCCTGGTGTTATTGTTTTACGACATTAATCTGGACTGATGATTTCTTGTTCCTGTGAAGATCGGATGTTTTGCGTGTTCTTAGAGCCAGTCAGCATTGGGTTTTAACTGCTCTGTGATATATTGTTGGCTTTCACTGATACTGCTTGTGTAGGAATTAGTAGCATTCCTTCTGGACAGATGATGTTTCTGTAAATCAAGTTAAAATCTTTTAAGAATTCTGATCTTTTTAGTGATGTTCAAGGGGGTTTAACTTGGAGTTTTTGATTTTTCGCGAGGACAGTGCTGTTATTTTTAAAATTTGAATCTTGTTCTTGTGCACCCACTACGGGCATTTTGAAATCCCACTTTCACTCTTGCTTGCCTTATAAATGTTTGGATTTCAGGGGTTCAGAATTTGTGAACTGGTAGAAAGGAAAGTATAGAGCACACATAGGTGATGTCTTTCCACTGGGCCGACAAGCAATGGAAATGTGGAAAGGGAGGCACCGTGAATTTGCAAAGAGTGAGCTCACTTGTCCGCGACATTGGAGAGCCTTGTCTCCATCAATCTCCTATAAAGGTTTTCATTTCCCTTTTAAATCTTTCTTTCCAAAGGGCGAGCCTCGTGACAATGTTATAAATGTCATTAAAAGAAATGCACCATAAAATTATCCGACCTGTTTTTACTGTATTATGTCTGTATTATGTCTTTTACTATGTAGCTCTTATGAAATTTGTATTGTGATCTCGATGAATTCTCTTTTCCTTTTTACAAAGCTGTTAAATCTTTAATGATTTTTATCTGAACTTCTTCAGTGTATCAATTTAATACGGAGTATATCAGAAAAAAATTCACATGGTTATGAAAATAAAAATAGTGAGTCGCTTAAGTTCAACTGTTGAAAAAATTATCTTCCATGAGTTCTTACCCCACCATCTATATTCTCGTACTTTCGAAGTGTTACTACAACTGGTGGGCAACTTTATATTTATAAAAAAACTATGCAACATAAATATATATGGTAAAATACTTTATGTGGTTGCTAACTGTAGTAGACATTTTTTAAGTGCTCCTGCAGAACATAAATTTTTAGTAAATTAAGTTAGTATTCTTTGGTCAGCATGATATGTTCTTTTCAGATGACTAAGTGTATTATTTATTACCGCTGGTCTTGATTTAATACTCTCTCCGTCCCTAAATGAATTACACTTTACGCAAAACAAAGTAAAATTCTAAGTTTGTTCAATTCATTTTATTTAAAGATTGGTATAGAAATAAAAAATAAAACTTGCATATTTAAAAGTATATCAGAAGTTCTACATAACAAGAGGTGACAAGAGTATTTTATTTTATCAAGTAATCCATGAAAACACCCAAATAAAGAAAAGTTTTCATAATTTTTGAATAGTGAAGAGTGTAATTTATTGTGGGACAGAGAGAGTAGTAACTAGCTAGTAAGAATATCTGGGAGATCTAGAAAGATTTGATATTTTTTATTATAATTTCTTTTCCATGCAGTGCTTTTATCCTCATAATTGATTATTGATTTCTCTCACTTCAAAATGTGGGAGTTCATCTTTTTTGTTTATGCTGTGTAGATAAACAAAACGCTCAAGCCAGATAGGTGGCAAGCAACTTTTGATAGTGAAGGAAAGATACACGGGTTTCAAAAAGTTCTGAAATTGATCATTTTTGGGGTAAGGCTCTTTGCAACTTTGTTGAATTTTGTAAAAGATACTAGATTAATACTCCCTTTGTCCCACTATTTTTTTCGGACATTGGAAGTGAAGTTGTATGGTTGATATTGATATTAAAAAGTAAGAATGAATGTCAACTACACAAACTTTACTAAATATGGTATGTGACAAAATAGGGAGGGAGACAAAAAGGTAAAAATGAAAAAAACTATGTGTGGTGTAAAAATTGGAATTTTGGAACAACCTAATAAATCTTGGTTTTGGTATCTTTGTATTCGGGGTCTTACTCATTAAACTTCCCTTGCTTCTTGCTTTCTTTGAAGTTTTTGGTGAAGTGTTGGGCGGTAAATGCATCCAGGGTTTAAGAGAAACAACCTCTTTGTTTTTTACACGGGTAAGGTTGCGTATATGTTGACCCCCAAAATCCCAAGAGAGTTGGGATTACACCGGGCTTGTATTGTGGATTTGTGGTTACACCTTAGTACTTAATAGTCATGGACTCATGGCTGCAGTAAAAAGTAAAAACAATTACTCATTCAGTTGCTTCCTGATGGAGCTAAAATCCTTTGCTTCTTGCACGATAGGGTGTTGATCCATCTATAAGACCAGAAGTTTGGGAATTTCTTTTAGGTTGTTATGCTGTAAGCAGCACAGAAGAGTATCGAAGACAGCTGAGAACTGCTAGGAGGTAACTCCCTTCCAGTCTCTGCAATTTGTGGTTTTCTCAGTAGTCTTGGTCATGACAATCATTGTTATCAACTTTATTGATCTGTATAAACATTATAGGAACTGACTTTTATGTAGAAGTGTGGTCAAATCTCAGTTGCAAATCTGTCCTTTTTGCCATTCTTTTTGGGCCAGGGGTCTCTTGGAAACAGCCTCCCTACTTTTGAGTTGGGGTAAGGTGTGCGTACACTTACCCTCCCAGACCTTACTTCTTGTGGGCTTCTACTGGGTTGTTGGCACCCAAGTGTAAATGTTAAGGGGCGTTATTAAATCTGAATTTGGACAGACTTACTTTGAATTGTTTCTTCATTTTCTTGATACATTTTTGTTATGGAAACATGTGATGGACTGAATGCTATCCAGGGTTGCTCCATGATGGGGGCAGGGCGGGGCTGGGAGCATGCATATATCTTTTGTATTTCTTATGAGAATTAAACACTATGATGTTTACTGCTGCAACCAGTGGTAGTTCCAAGTATTCTCACTGATAAACAATGATGCCATGTAGTCTTAGGATCTCAGTGACCAACATATAGCTGAAATATAAATAGAGGTTTCTACCTAGTAAAACTCCTAACAAATAAGGGTTTCTATTTTGCCAAAAGATTAGCCAACACCTTGGAACTAACAGTAGCAAGTAGAATGTGATGGTTAGATGAACAGGTTTCTTTAAGAATTAAACTAAAAGTGAGGGGGATTTGAATATTTTAGAACACCACTTTCTTGTCTCAAGTTTTGATGTGAATGAGATGTATTAATGTTTAGAGACATTTTTTCCAGCTTTATTTCTCATAAATGAAAAGTTATGAGGCAAATTGAATCTAAACTAACTTTATTGCTGTTGCCAAAAGCATAAATTAACCTTGCATTCAGCCTATTATTTCAGTTTCTTTTTATTTCTTGTTTCCCTTCATTTCTCTCACTATCGGTTTCTCTTCTATTGTTGTTGTTGATGCATAACATTTTAAATAATTATTTACTACTATATTAATACTCCATGTATTACAAGCATCATTTTTTGTCTTCTCTCTAGAGTAAAGGATTTAGAGGTACTTACCTATAGAACAGATCCTGTTCAAGTAAGATCATTCTTTTTTTTATTTAAATTTGGGACGGAGGTTGTTGCAAATAAATATGACTGCGTTTACTGATTTACTTATTTGTGGAGGTACTGTGGTATGAAGAAATTGTATTAAACCTTCTATCGAACAATTTGATATTGGAAACCTATATTATGTTTATGCAGGGAAAGGTACAAGGATCTTATAAAGCAGTGTCAATCGATGCATTCCAGTGTTGGGACTGGTTCTCTTGCTTATGTTGTAGGGTCTAAAGTTTTGGATATGAGAACCAGTTCCAAAGGTGATGGAAGAAGGGAAACCCTAGCTGAAAATGCACGAGTTTCCTGTGCTCATACTAGAAACTCTGATTGGGACAATAGTTGTATAGATACATCAAATGCGTATCACAGGGAGATCTCTAGTGATCCTGGTGACCTTTTAAGTGTGAGGAGAAGCACAGATGGCGCAGCATGTGACTCTTTCTGTTCGTTGCCTGATCCTGGTCCGTTTAATTGCAGTTCCCCCACATTTGATTCAGAAGCACAGGAATCAGAATCTGTTGCTGGAAATGATTTTGACTTCCCTCCTTTGCCTGTGACAGATTTGTTTGAGAAGAATAGCAAAAATAGGAAAGTGCGTAGGTTACATGATACTAGATATATACGGCGTAAATTGCAGTTTAGAGATGAACGTATGCACAGCTTCAGCATAAAGAACAATGCTGATATAGTTATTGAATCAAATGCCACCCAATCTTATGATACATTGCATTCACAGAACTCTGGAACTGAAAGAGTTTGTCCTGATGTGTCTGATCCCCTTTCACCGTCTAACATGGGGGGACATGAAATTGATATCTATGACAGAACTGTACTTTCTGAAGCACCTGTTATGGCAAATATTAATGTGACTTCAGCTGAAGAAGGTTCTCTCAGGGAAGATAGAGTGTCTGAATGGCTATGGACACTTCATCGAATAGGTAAATTACTAACTACCTATTTTCTCTGCTTTCCCCTGAATATCAGAAATGGTCAGTTGATTTGCTTTTTAAAGTCTAATGTGTTTGAAGAGTGTTTCAACTTTGTGGTGTTTAGTTGTCGATGTAGTAAGAACAGACAGTCATCTCGAATTTTATGGTGATGCTAAAAATTTGGCTAGGATGTCAGACATACTTGCGGTTTATGCCTGGGTTGATCCTGCAACAGGATATTGCCAAGGTTGCGCCTTTTGTTCCCATTGATCTTTTCCACTAAGTCATACTCCATCCATCCCAAATTCATCTTCACAGTTTCTTTTGTTAAGGTGTTTAAGGAATTGGAATTATGTTAAACAAAAAATGTGAACCACACAATTCTTTCTTTAAAGGAAGATGTAAAGATGATTTTGGGACAGATGAAAAAGTTAATTGTTATACTCCTTATGTCCAATAAAAAAGTTTCACTTTTCTTTTTTTTTGTCCCCAAAAAGGTTCCACTTTCTATCTGTGGAGAAATTTTGGCGGCTCATATTATCTCTCCTTTGCACCACTTTCAACCACACAATATCACCTTCCGTGATAACCATGCAGATTCCATTATGGAACCTTTTTGTGGGTCGGAGGAGTTAGATGTATATCTCTTACCCCAACTTTTCTACAGGAATGAGTGATTTACTGTCTCCCTTCATTGTTCTTTTTGAGGACGATGCTGATGCTTTTTGGTGCTTTGAAATGCTTTTACGTAGAATGGTATATCCGAAACTGATACTTTGTTGAGATTTGATATCTTCTTCTTTCAATGTTCTCTAGAACTGAAGTCTTCTTTTTTTATTTTTCCTCTTCTCTAGCGTGAAAATTTTCAGATGGAAGGCCCAACTGGTGTCATGAAGCAGTTGCAAGCACTATGGCAAATCTTAGAATTTACTGACAAAGAAATGTTTTCACACCTGTCAAACATAGGTGCTGAGAGCCTCCATTTCGCATTCCGGATGCTTTTGGTACTCTTTCGTCGGGAGTTATCTTTTGATGACGCTCTTTGTTTGTGGGAGGTTTGTGTTATTACTGTTTTTAGAGTGTTAGCAGTTGTGTCAAACTGTCATGTCATAAAACTGATAAACATAGATTGCCCATTCATGCTAAAACAGTTGATTGTGTATATGCATCATTCGCATTATGAGAACATAACCAGCATCTTAATGCATTTAAGCAAAGAGAGATCGAGTGCACGCATGAACTAGTTCTCCCCCTTTTTCACTTCATTTTTTGTTTTTTGATTGCTCTGCCTGAGTACATATTTGCACCACCTCCATTTTGTTTACACTTAACTGTTCATTTTGTAAATGGCATTGGAAAGTGTGAAAAGTAGGTTCTTTTCTTGCCGCATAAAAAATAGCAGATGAAGTGGCAGTGTGTTGATCTTGATTCTCAAATCTAGTTTCCTGTTGAGGGTTGGGTGTAGCACACTAGCCCCTAGCACTTGCATTTATTGAAAGATGGAGCAACTTCAAAATAAGCACAGACCACATGCACTTGTTACTCCCTCCGTTCCAAAAAAGAGTTCTGTTTGTAATGCTAGTCAAGTATTAGCTAAACATGACACTTTTTTAGGCGGACGTAAGTTCCATGTGTTGTTTATCGAAGAGAAAACATTTTAGTACGGGGCCATTTTTTCTTAAATACCATTGTGACATATATGCATTTTCAAGATTACACACACACACATACACACACATTCATTTATACATACATACATATATTCTATAACAATTTTCAAGAACCTTCTATAGACAGTTATTTATGGGAGTGTTTCAGCTTCAGGTAATATAATGGAATAAATCAAAATGGCTCATTATAGTTCCCTTGTTTCTTGCTTTCTATGAAAATTTGGGTAGTAAATGCAACAATGCATCAAGGGTGTAAAGGAAACAACCTCTTTACTTGTAAAGGGTTAAGGTTGCATGCATCTTGATCCGACCCCAACAGAGTTGGGGTTATATTGGGTTTGTTGTCCTAGAAAATAATATTCTCCTATTTACCGAAAGCTCACTTGGAAATGACATTTATAGTGTGTTATATACATAGCTCATATTCCAATTGGTGGTTTGGTTTGCATTCTCAAAAAGAGGTTGATGCGATTTCAGAAAATCACTAGAATCAAGTGCTAGTAATGGCAGGGGCTGATTTCCGAAATCTAGTGTGGACCCCACTGGTTTCTTGTAGGATCCTTGGGAGGGTAATTTTTAAAATTTCATTTTGGAAAATGGGATCACCCATCTCATTTTGATCAAAATGGAAACCAAATAGACTGAGTGGGGTGATTGTGATTCTAGAATCAGCATAATTATCCCTACAAATGCAAACCACATACACCCTTTGTCTGTAACTTTCTAGGAATACTGGTATTACTTTATTGTTGCTTTGGGTATTATTGTCAATAGGAAAAAGTCTCTCTTAAAGGTTATGCACCGAGGAAAAGTGCAGATACGTAATATTCAAATCATATTTACAGTAACTTTTACTACCTTTCAAGCTTGTGTGGTAGTTTACTTCATCCACCTTGCAGATGATGTGGGCTGCTGATTTCAAGAAAACTGTGCCTTTTGATCTAAACGAGAACTGCCCAGAACTATTGGTAATCCAGGCTGTGAAAGAGTCTGATGTGGAGATAGGCGAAGAAAGTTTTGACAATAAAAGTAAAGACTCAAATGAGTCACCCTCCAAAAATGGAAATGCAGAACACACCATTTCTGAGAACACTGGATTGAAGTCGACATTGGTTCAGCCCTTTTGTGGTTTGGCTCGAAATTTATGGTCAAAAAACGATCACAATCAGAATGGAACAGCTGTGTCATCGATTTGGAGTAGTGATGACGAACTGCCAGTTTTCTGTGTGGCGTCCATCCTAGTTATGAACCGCCAAAAGATAATTAAAGAAACTCGTTCCATTGATGACATGATAAAGGCAGGTCCATCTTAATTCTTTTAAGTTTGCTTTACCATATTTATTTATCTCATCCATTTCTTTTCCTGAACTGGTCTTTGCTCCCCGGTAGAGGGATAAGATTCCACCAGAAACAAGGACATGCACTTGTGGATAGTCAATTTATTGCTCATATCTCGGAACTAGTAATAGTTTGTTCTAAGCAGCTTTTGAACCATAAACATTGAATACTTTCAGATTTTCAATGATAATATGTTAAAGATTCGGGTGAAGAGATGTGTTAGAACAGCCATCAAACTGCGAAAGAAGTATTTTCACAAGGTCAGTTTATGCTTAATTTGGTAATTTGATTTTGCATCTTTTCAACTAATCATCCACCCACACATGGATGCATGCATATAAATATACGTTGTATAATATTTCACTTGATACTTAATAGAGGTTACTGTATGCGTTTGAAACTTGTGAGTATTTGGGAATTTAAAGCAACTCATTGTTGATAATAGTTGTTTTTGGGTATTCAGGGTTCACTTAAGTAAACAAGTTTAGAGTTCATGTAAATATATAGTGATAATATAATTTTTCCTTGGAGACAATTTTCATCTTATTTTGTGTGTTGTGATTGCTCTCATCCCTTAAAAACAGCTTATCAAGAGCAGAAGCCCGGTAGCTCATCAAAATGAAGATTGAGGGCAAAGGCAAAAAGTCATCTTGATTATAATCCAAGTTGAGTTGATGGATATTCACTAGTGAAAAGTGCTACTAGACGATTGAGATGATCCCTCTTTTAGGCACTGAAAGCCAACCACCACTCTTCTCCCGGGTAATCTGCAGATGTCCATTTTTGTTTCATGACTGAAGTACTCTAATTTTAGTGTATTTGTTGTCCTCGAATAGTTTATGACCTTTCTATCCAAGTTAATGAATGATGTGTTGTGTCCAAACTCTTGAATAGCCAAACACGGAATCTTCTTCCTGTTCGCCAAATACCCCCACCGTTTCCAAATTAACTTTACAGTTTCCAAATTAACTTTACAATTCCTAGCCAAACATTTAACTTTTCTTGCATAATTGCATTGTTCGTTTGAAAAAAAAGTCATGTCGCTTCTTCTTTGTTGAACTTTTGATGTAGTTTCTAGATAGACTCCGTATAAACTTTGTTTTTAATTTTTATACTACTTAAACAAAATGAATTGAAAATAAATTCAGTCAAACATCATTATGCATGTGTCAAGTTAGTTTGGAGACGGAGAGAGTATAATTTATCATGAATGTGGACCATTTCTTTGTTGCATGTGCTTTGTGTCCAAACATAGAACTCTATGGTTTTGGCTTCCACTTTGGCTGGCCAAATCTGAACATATATTTCAAATTATCAATAGAGTCATGATTCATTCAAAGATGTTACAGAAATATAGAACACTTTTGTGATGTAAGCCCAAGATTGGCAAGGCAAAATGTTTGCACCCTAAACCAGGGGGGAGGGGGGTCCCACCAGCTCCTACCCTTGAGCTCTGGTGGAGGAGTGAAATCCCGGGATTGCACTCACTTGAGAAACTTTTCACATCATAATATTCATTCTAACTCCGCATGAATGTACTCTTTATGGTCAAAGTAAATTCCTTTTTATGAAACGCAGATTGTCTAAGGGGTATTGATTCTCTCCACAAACAGGTCTCTAAGCAACCAGCGTCCATCGATTCATTGCTCTCACTCACAATCTTGTCCTGCCTGCCACCAGATACTGTATTCGCCTATTCGGTTTGCCTGTGTAATAACAATTTTGATTTCCAGTGGGAAAAAAAAGAGAAAATTGTTGAGAAAAACACTTGAAGAATTTGAGGCTGTCTTTGCAGATTAAGGGTATGTTTGGTTAGAGGTGAGGGATGGAAAGAAAAGGAAGGATGAGGTTTAGAAGATTTCTAAAAGCCTCATTTCCCTTTCTCTTTAGCTCTCCTCCAACCAAACGCACCCCAAGAGTGGATTTTTACACAAACGCGTTTGTTTGTTCTTGAACTGTGTCTGTCAAAAAAAGGGAAGTGATGCATGCATCTTTTTCAAGGGTATTGTTTATTGGGTTGTCCCCTCTTTTTCTGTGAAATCAATTTGTGGATGCTTTTTATTGGACACTTTCTTTTTTTTATTTTATAAATTTCTACTTATAGAGCTTAAGAGTAGGGGCACAAAGGCATCTGGTCTGCCCTCTTGGGGAGTATAGTACAGTGATCCAACAAGTGGTGGAGAATGTAACATTTGTTGGAACCATGACACCATTTGATTCTACTTTCTTTATTGTTCCTAAAAAAGTTCATTGCTCCCGCCCGCATGGGCAGCTCAACTGATCTCAAAAGTGAAATTTGGAACAAGAGATTAAGAATTGAGTCTCACCAGCGGCAGTGTGGGAGCAACTTCTCAAAAAATGAGGGGGGCGCCTTGTATGTAGGGAGCACTGGTCCCAGTCTCTGTTGCCGATTGTGTCACCATGATTTACTTTCTCTCACAATCCCGTCAGACACGAGTGAGGGTCGGGGTGAGCGATTCCGCCTTTTGGAACAAGAGTTAATTAATGCCCTCTCTCCCTGAAAGAAAGTTACATTTTCATTTTTAGACTGTTCCATATTATACTCAAACATTTCTTTATTAAAGAAATGAATGTGGTTCACAAGAGGGCAGACCTATAATTGGCAGTGCATCTTCTTTTTAATAAACTGTACACATTAAACTCAATAAGCTTTGCAAAAAAAAAGTGTGTGGGGTTGGAAAGCTGCCACTGCGTCAGCTTCCACTCCAAAATATCTCTTTCTTGGTTTCATTTTTCAACTTTTTTTCTTAAATAATTTACTAAGTTTTTGGGAGTTTGGGAGACATATATTTACTACGAGTAGTAGAAAAGAGTATAGAGAGATTTGGTGGGTGTCAAAGTGCCTCATATAATTGTTATAGTTATATTCCCTCACAATGTTTAAACCTGGTACAATTATTAAGCCGGTGAGCTGTTGAGAACTTGAAAAGCTAACTAGAGATGGAAAAGGGATAAAAGAACCAATAGTGAATTAATAAGTGCAAAACTAACTCCTATGTGCCAAAAAGTAATGTTCCCCTGCACAAGACTTAGCTTGCAAACCTGAAAAAACAAGAGTTAAAATAAATGTGAATTCTTATGTGTATTTTACGAATAGTATTTAAGATGTACCTCATGAATCTTCTTATGTGATTGATAAACATTTATTATAAACACTTTTTGAAGTTTAGTACTTTAGAGCATAAGCAGTGGCGAGTAAAACCTCTGTCACGCCCTGCCACATCATCACAAGAGCATCTCTCCCTCGCGTGGCTAAGCCATTCTTCCACGCCAACCATGCCATGCGCGAGGCATCTTAGCTTTCTCCTTTTGTTTTTTTAGTTATTTTTGGGTAGATAAAATAAGATTTTTTAAAAAGTACATATATTTTTATGAGAAAAAGACGAGTAAAATAAATTTGAATATTTAGAATATGTTAAAAAAGTGTAAAAGGTAACAAAAATAGTGACTTGCCACTGCACGAGATGTCACTCCACTCGTCATACGCTTATCGGACTGTTTTTATTAGTTGAAATGTGTCACGTTAACACGTGGGTTTTCATTTCTTTAGTTGCTATTGTTGATGTTCTTATATTAGAAGATTCATACCCGTTCAAAATGCATGATATATTCTAATTGTACCATTTTATTACTTGGGCAAATTAAGAACTTGGGAAAAAATTCAAAATAGAGAATGCATAAAGACTATAGAGCCACTGGCCCACCACCTTTTGTCTTTCTTCCCTCACACGAGAAGTGATGTGAAGTGAAAAAGAAATAAGAAATTAATTTTTGGGACAGAAGGAATATAATCTTTAACAAACAATTACAAACATATGGAGTACATATATAGGTGACTTTAATTTGAGTCAAACTTGTCAATTGGGTTACAATATAAGCAAATGTGACATACTCTCACCTCCCAAAGTTGTAATCACAATTATTATCCACATGGTTATAATATATCTTCTTTCTTTAAATATTTTTATAGATATATAATTTGTCCAAAAAATGAATAATATAGTCATCATATATCCATTTTTGTAAAAGTTCTGCTATAATATAAATTTTATTATTTTAAGTAGACGTACGGAGTAAATATTACTTCCACCATCTTCCAATTATTTACATATAATTAATTTGCTTCCTAAAAACTTTCATCTATTTAGGTGTTTTTGTAACCAAATTTTTTATTTTTCACATTTTTTTAATTTGTAGAACTTTGACACAATTTTCTAATGAGTAATTTACCTAAATAGGACTAAAACATAATGACTTTCTCAATATAGGACCATATGTTTTTATTTCCCAATGTAGGACCATTGGTCATTATCTATTAGTCATTATTCAACTAAATGTCCAACATCACTTGGATATTATTCTTCTTACTAGTCATTATTAAGTCTTATTTAGGGAATAAAAAAAGTTTAAGTCATATATTGGAAAATGACTTACTTCCTCCGTCCCTAAATATTTGTCACACTTGTATTCCCGAGGTAAAATATCAAGCTTTTTCAATTCATTTTATTTACATATTGGTATATAAATAAAAAAATATAATTTACATATCAAAAAATTACATGAAAAGTTCTTCGAAATTAGAGGTGTCAAGAATATTTTATTTTATCAAATAAGTAATGAAAACGTAGAATTAAACAAAAGTTCCTGCGATTGCCGAAAAAGCAAATGTTGCAAATATTTAGTTGTACCCTGTATTTTTTATATTAATTTGTAAACAAAATAAATTTAGAATTGAAGTTTTAAACGTGATTCAATGTATAAAATCAAATATGGGTAAGTAGTTTTTGTTTCTTCACAAACTTTATTTCTACACAAAGTGGTGATGTAAACCGTTGACGCTATTCGCGTACATTATACCTTTTGTACCATACACATATTGTAATGATATTAATCAATCCGTCCTAAGATTTTGTCAGAGTTAATATTCTGATATCTTGATATTCTGATGATAATTCATTGATCATATAATAAAATAAAATATTTTGTCAGCTCTTATCTTGTACCCGAATAAAGCTTTTGATGAATTTTAAATATTTAATTATATGTGTTATGTCTACACCAACTTGTAAACAAAACAGTTTCCAAATAGATGAGATTTTACCGGATGTTAGAAGAATTGAAAAGAAAGGAGTAAGACCCGAGTTCGCAACTGCACTGGGAGGAAAATATGGTAAGCATAGGACTTTTGCAAGTACTAGGTGTAAGCTCGCTCTTACCACTAATTTGTGATCAAAATACAATTTACATCTTCTCAGTAACAGTCCGAACATGGGGACTCGGGGGCGAAGCTCATCTTTTTTTAAGGAGGAGTATTCTAAATCGTATATACGTACACCACAATATATATATATATACACACGCGCGCGCGCGGTGTAACAATGTTATTTTCAAGCGTATATACACCGTACTTCCAATAATATCACGTCGTCATTCTCAAGCGTATATGCGCCGTACGTACGTACGCACTGCAAACCGTATATACAACATAAACATTACTCCGTATTATACATTTATACACACGCGTTAACTCCTACCCAGATTTCCTTTTCATTTCGTTTTTTCACAAATAAAGTTATATTCCCTCCCTTTTTTGCCCCTTTGATTATTCATAACCCCCGCCTCCAAGAAAGAACCCAACAAACAATCATTCCAAGCTTTATTAATTTCTTTATATTGGTTTCAAGACCCAATTTTGTTTTGGGTTTTGATCTGTCAGCTGCCTTTTTTTACTTGTTTATCCCCTTTTTACCCCTCCGGTTTCTAGAAAGAACGGTGCTTTAATTTCTTGAATTGGTACCTTAGTTTCTGTCATTCTTGAAAAAGGTTGCTTTGCTTACACCAGTTGTATATAGGCCAATAGAACAAAGGGTTCTTAGCTGGTTTGGGTATATATGGAAAAAACCGAGTCTTTAATTGGGATGTGAAGAATCAATCAAGAATGGATGCTGGTATGACCAATGGGAGGATGATGTGTGGTGCTGGTGTGGTGGATCATTCTCTGGGCTCGGGCTCGAGTTTGGGTTCGGGCGGGTTTGTCCCTCCTGGGATGATATCCGTGAACAAGAAGCAGATTGATATGGATTGGAGTGATGAAGAACAGGCTGTGCTGGAACACTGCCTTGCCAAGTACAAACTGAATTTCATGTTTCTTTTCTGTTTTTTTGCATCTTTCTTAGCTAGCTTCCTTGTTTTTGATATGATATAGTATATGAAGGTTAACTCGTTTAATGCCGCAACACTTAATTATTGGCTGCAGATATGCAGCTTATAATACAACAAACATTGGTCTCTATGCAAGAATTTCATTGCAGTTGAATAACAAGACTGTGCGCGACGTGGCAATGCGCTGCCGATGGATGTCCGTAAGTAGCTAGCTAGTCTCAATCCCTTTTATTCTTGAGCTGGTAAAATTAAGGCACATCTTGACTTGAGGCCATAGATCAGGGGTAGAATTGGAATAGATGTTTGGCAAAGCCCACACAGAAGACCTCAACAGGTGTCCGATAAGCTAAGAGCTTAAGACTCGAGGCCTTGAAAGCCAAGTGATTAGGCCAATCGTAGGATCGGAGCCGAGCAGGCCCATTAAGCCGGTCTCTTGGGCTTTAGACTCTTCTCTTCAATAGCTTTGTTAAGGAAACAAGGCTGATTGAAATGTTGTTTATTTGTCCTTTGTTGTGTAGCAAAGGGAGAAGGCAAAGAAAAAGAAAGAGGACAAAAAGGTTAGCTGTGATGATGCTGCTATGAATCTGAACTTATTAATTCCACAGATTGAATGGCTCAAAATGTACTTTTAAAATATGTATACATACACAACTTGAGGCTTGTTTAATCAAGAAGTACTGTTGGTTGAATCCTTCAATTGTGTTTTATTTTCTCTTTTAGGAAAGGTCCATTGACAATGCTGCACCAGCACCAAATTCTAACATAGTAAGCAAAGCTGGATTTTCTCCTTATGCTTCCCAACGAACCGCTACCAATAACAACAATGGAAGTTCAGTCTTTTTCAATGGTATGTGACATTAAATATCAACCATATATTGCTACATGAGTTCTAAAAGTATGGTCCAAGAACTTACACTTTTAATTATGCACATCTAGTTATGATACAAAATATGGGATGACGATGATGAATTGTTCGTTGCAGTTTCTGAGCGAGTTTTATAGCGCTGTGTGTTCAAACTATTTTTTTTTTGTACTTGAAAAAAAGAATTAAAGGGTTGGCTTTGGCCTTTGTGTGTAGCCACTGTACAGCTTCTGCACCATAACTCTAGGGTCTTTGATCAGATCTCTGCAAATCTCACCTCAAATCAGGCATGTCTTTTATTTCATTTCTCTCAAGCTGTTTCCTTTTTTTCCCCAGTCCTTTCAAATGAACCTGCTTTACACTTTCTTGTCCTTATAGGCAGTTTTTAAAAGGAGAGATTATATTCTTGACTATATCCCCTCTCTTCTTGAATATTCTTTAACATTTTTCTTTTCAATCCGTCCCAAAACCGTCCTATTTTTTGTTTTTCTTAAACGCTGTTTCTTGCAGATACAAGACAATATTGTTCTCTTGCGTTATGCTCGCAATAATCTCTTCAACATATTAAGCGAGTAAGTATAGTTCATCTCATGATCTTATTAGTTCAACCTTATTCTAATTTTTCAACGTGGGATACTTAATATTATTTCTATCACTTATATTGCCTGATCTGTGTTGCAATGCAGGCTAAATGAGCAGCAGAGCTTCATATCTCGGATGCCGCCTCTCCCGGTTGAGCTGAACGATGAACTGGCTAATTCCATTCTTGCCCCTGCTTCCACTTGCCCCCCATGGAAGTGATCATTCAGTCCATATATGGATAAAAAAGCTAGAAAACTAGCATGCACCAGTTCAATTTGGACTAGGTTTGTAGGATATATATATACATAATACATGCATGTGTGTGTGTGGGGTAATGTAACTTACTAATTAGGGACTCAAATGAATAGCTTCGCCCTCTATAGTGGCGCCTCCATGACCATCTAACCTTAGCTGTGGCTTTTCATCATTTGCCCAAGTTTTTTACTAGCTCTAAATGCAAAAGTTCTTGACCTTGTTTGGAAACAATGTCTTTGGATAATATATTGACGGTGTAGATTAACTTTAAAAAATGCTAAAATTAAATGTTGTCATTAGATAATCTTTTCAAAATGTTGAATCTGTTGCCAAATATGCCCTTTGTAGTGTCTGTTGCCAAATGGTTCCCATATCGACCTTTCAAAATGAAAGTTCCCACATTGGAAACTCAAGAAGCACTAACCCATGTGGGTACCTATATAATAAGGGATTTGTTGTGAGTAATGATATGCAACCACGCATTGAACACAAAGCGAATTATTCTTTCGCCTTTTACTAAAGAATACCGTGTGTTTGATGTAAATAGTGGTATATATTTATTTTTGGAGGATTTCTTTTAAACAAGGGATCCCAACAAATTTTAAACTAAATTTTTAATTTTTGTGTTAAATGATTGGTACAAAAATGATTGCTTTGGACTAATGTGATTGATAGTTGGAACTAAGAATTAAAAGATCATAATGGATGTATTAAAACAATTCTTAAGGTGTGGTTTGTTATGGTCAAGATCTATATTACCAAGATCGTAGATGCGCAAGTGTTAAAATTTTACTCGTAGAAAAGAGTATAAGTGTGTGTGCGTTTTAATGTGCTAAATAAAAAACTAAAAAAACATATACTCCGTAGATGTACGTGTTTACTTCAAAATTACTCATTTACGGAGTAATTTTTAGGATAATGCACTAGTCTTATGAGCTTGGTCAATAAATAGATAAAAATTTTGTTACGTGGAGTATAAAAATAAATTTTTAAGATTTGTTTTCCAAACAACTATTTTATTACTAGTATTTACTTTAATACATTTCAAATTTAATTGATAATCAATAATTATCTAATTAATTTGGTTGAAAAAGTTAAAATGAACACATGTTATAAGATTGGTTTTTTTTTGTGTGGTTGGAAACATATTTAATAAAAAAATCAATAAAAGTTATTCTTTTGTCACCAAGTAAAATTTCCATTTTTTTCATTGGATTAAAAATCACCAATTCGAGGATTAAGTGTCCCCCAAATATTTTTTAAGAAAAATTATGTTACCTAGATCAAGATGATTATATTGTACTGTAGCCTATATGAAGTTTTCAAATGACTTGAATTGCATGACATATTCAAGTAACAATCCATTTTTTTTAAAAAAATGAGGTGGTCTATGTTTCAAATTAAGAGTCAATTGTAAGGAGTATGAATAAAAAAAGACTAATTTGTGCACTAAAAAACTTATTTGTAAACTTTAATGATAAGATTGAATACATATTTGCCCAATTTTTTACAAGCCGTAAATGCAAAAGTTCTTGAGGTTTTTGATAATATTTTGGTGGTGTAGATTAAACTAACTTTAAAAAATACTAAAATTAAACACTGTTATTAGATAATTTTTTAAAATGTTGAATCTTTTCCAAATACTTTAATAGTTCCTATATCGGACTTTAAAAAAAGTTCCCACATTGGAAACTAGAGAAACACTAACCCATGTGAGTATCTTTATAAGATGCAATTTGTTTTGTTAAAAGTTAAGCAACCACACGTTGAACACAAAGCGAACTATTCTTTCGCCTTTTACTAAAGAATACCGTGTGTTCATCGTAAATAGTGGTATATACCTATTTTTGGAGGATCTTTTTTAAATTAGAGATCCTAATAAATTTTAAACCAAATATTTTATTTTTTAAATCAATGATGGGTACAAAAATGATTCTTTTGAATCTATGTAATTGATAGTTGGAACTCTCAATGAGAAATGTTACATTTTGATGTGTTAAAACTCAAAACACTCTCTATTGTGTGGTTTGTAATAGTGAAGATAATTGTAGTTATGACATTTTCTGAATTAGATTGTTCATGTTTGAAACGAAGAGTCAAATATACGTACGAATAAAAAAATATTCCCTCCATTCTATAATTAACTTCTGAATTTGACTTTCATGGTCAAACTTTTTGAACTTTGACCACATATTACAACAAAAATATATCAAATTTTCATATAAATTGGATATCAATAGATTTATTTTGCAACATAGTTATGAAATATTTTGCCCTCTACATGCAAAAGTTCTTGACCTTGTTTAGAAATGACTTTTTGCATAAGCAACATCTTGGATAATATTTTGGTTGTGTAAATTTAACTCTAAAAATGGTAAAATTAAACATTGTCATTAAATACCCTTCTCAAAAAATTGAATCTTTTTTTTAAATATGACCTTTGTAGTGTCTCTTTGCATTATGGAAACGAGTCTACGTTTCTAAGCACATATGGGATGTTTAAAATAAGGTTGTGGGGGGGGGGNCCTTTCAAAAAATTGTCCCACATTAGGAAATCAAGAAGCACTAATCCATGTAGGTATATCTATATAAGAAGGGATTTGTTGTACTTGAAGTTATGCAACCACGCGTTGAACACAAAGCGAATTATTCTTTTGCCTTTTACTAAAGAATACTGTGTGTTCGATGTAAATCGTGATATACACATATTTTTAGAGGGTCTCTTTAAAACTAGAGATCCCAACAAAATTTAAAACCAAATTTTTTATTTTTTAAATTAATGATGATTGTTGGGGTAAAGTACTAAATAAAAAAAATAAGAAAAACATGTACTCTGCATATGTACGTGTTTACTTCCAAATTACTAATTTACTTGTTTTTTAAAGATAATGCACCATTCTTATGAACGTGATCAGTAATTAAATAAAAATTATGTTGCTTATTCAATGTGGAGGATAAAACTAATTTTTTAAGAGTTGTTTTCCAAACAACTGTCTTATTACTAGTACTTAATTTAATTGAGAATAAGGGTTTATCTAGTTAATTTGATTGAAAAAGTCAAAGTGAACTGATATTTTATTTCGTGTCCAAAAAAATATTTAATAAAATATCAATAAAATATATTCTTTTGTCACCAAATAAAATCCACATTTTTCATTAGATTAAAATTAAAATTTTCACTACTTTCCTTTTTAAAAAAAGAAAGAATGAGTGATACAGATGCACTTAAATCGGTAGTGTGTGAATTACAAAATCATAGTGTAGTGAGCACTAAAATGTACTAAATCGTCTTGAAGCGTTGAAAGCGTACTTAAATTATTTGTTCGGAAAGTGTACTTAAATCACTAGTTCGAGGATTAAGTTTCCCCCAAAAATTTTAAAGAAGAATTATGTTACTTAGATCAAGATAATTGTAGTCTATATGGCGTTTTCAAATGACTTGCAAGACATATTCAATTAACAATCCAATTTTTTAAATTAGATTGTCTATGTTTCAACGCTCAAAAAGACAAATTTACTTATTTGTATACTTCAATGATTAGATTAAATACTTATTTGTGTACTTTAATGATAAGATTAAAAATATGGGAAATTTCTTGGCTTTACGCTCATTTTATAGACATTAGCTATGGATAGCATTAAAGGATTGAGCCTTTTACAAAATAAAAAAAGACCTACTTGTCAGTCCATAAAAATGTGAGGATGCTATTAAACGTTTAACTTGGGATCACAAAAGCACAATTGTGAAACTATAGCGGCACCTCCATGACCATCTAACCTTAGCTATAGCTTTCCTTCATTTGCCCAAGTTTTTTACCATCCCTAAACGCAAAGTTCTTGACTTTGTTTGGAAACAACATGTTTTTGGATAGTATTTTGGTACCGTAGATTAACTTTTAAAAAATGATAAAATTAAACACTTTCATTAAGTAATTATATTCTTTCAAAATGTTAAATCTTCGTCAAATACTCCATATGCCCTTTGTAGTGTCTATTTTGCAGTTAATCAATTATGAAAACGAGTCTATGTATCTAAGTAGATTTGGTATGTTCAAATTTTGGTTGTGCAGGTTTAATAGTTCCCATATTGGCCTCTAAAAGAAGTTCCCACATTGGTCGCTCAAGAAACACTATCCCATGTGAGTATCTTTATAAAAAGTGATTTATTATAATGAAGATATGAAACTACATGTTGAACACATAGCCAACTATTCTTTCGCCTTTTACTAAAGAATATTGTGTGTCTGATATGAATAGTGATATATGCTTATTTTTGGAGGATTTCTTTTAAACCAGAGATTCCAACAAATTTTAAACCAGTTTTTTTATTTTTTAAATTAATGATGGGTACTAAAATGATTCTTTTGAGTCAATGTACTATCTTGGTTTTTTTATTTTTTAAATTAATGATGGGTACTAAAATGATTCTTTTAAACCAATTTTTTTATTTTTTAAATTAATGATGGGTACTAAAATGATTCTTTTAGTTTTGATTTTTTAGAATTAATCATTTTTAATTTTTGATCTTAAATTAAATAAAATGTATGTGGTATATGAATAAGAATAATATTTTGAAAATAGTTTATAATCTAAATCTAATTAATTATATTTGTATCAATATCTAATATTAATTTTATTTAGTTAAAGTTCAAAGTTTGTCAATTTTAATTGATAAAAATTCATACTAGACAAATATTCTAGACAAAGGAACCATAAATAATTGGAGCTATGAATGAGAAATGTTACATTTTGATGTGTTAAAACACTATCCAATGTGTGGTTTGTTATAGTCAAGATAATTGTAGTTTATATGACATTTTCAATTGCCAAGCTAAGAGTCAAATGTATGTATGAATTAAAAATACTTATGTGTATACTTGTAATGATGATAAGATTACAAACTTATGAAGAATTTATTTTAGGTGCTTATCTAAACTCTTGAATCAAAATGCATGGTTTTCTATTTACACCATCAACTCTCAAAAAATGTGATTAAGACTATTCCAAGCGACTAAAAGAATGATCCAATCAAATTTTAATGTATTCCGGCACTTACTAACTCATAGTTCAGGAAAAACCCATTGAAATTTGACCTAATATAATCTAAAAGATAACCCAATACTTTAATCGAAACCGCACTGATTTTGACCTAATCCATACCCAAATTGATCCGATTGAGCTTCACCGAACGAACACAATCCAAATTTAACTTGAATCAATCCCCGATTAAAATATATTCACGAAAAACACGAGTTATGGTTTAATCTCATATATTATTTGTTAACATCAAAACATGATATTTAGCAAAATCAAGGCTAATAACGATTATAATAGCACAACTCTTTGACAAAGGTGTTGCTACTTCTACCTTGAAATGGTTTAATCTACCTCTATTATAAGAATTTGAAAAGTCCTTCATTAAGTTAAGTTCACATATTATCTTTTTTTATACTCTCTCCGTCCCATAAAGTGTTACCCATTTTGAATAAAGTTGAAATTAAGGGATAGATAATTTTGTGCTGACTTTCCAAAAATACCCTTGATGTGATGGGTAAAAGTAGGATGTGATGTGTAGATTATTAGGAAAAATGTATGATGTGATAGGTAGGGTTTGAAAAAGTAAGGGGTAAAATTGGTTTTTTAATAGAAATGGGTAAGGGATTGTGGGACACAATTTTTTTGAAACGTGTAAATCTTTTTGGGACGGAGTGAGTATTATTTTTAGGGATAAATCTATACATTTATGACAAATAAATGGATTTAGCCAAAATAATAGCGAGGCCAAATAGCTCCAATAATATCCCCGTGATTTGAAAAATTAGCATCAATATCCCATTTATTTTCAAAAATGATTTTTAAAATCCTCTTAGTTTCAAAACTTTGCATCTGCACTGCTATAATTATTTTTCGGCCATTTTCAAGCAAAGAAGGATCATTGGTGCCTATTTTTCAAACTAGAAGGGGCACTAGTGCTCATTTCTAATTTTCCATTTATTTTTTTCTCTATTTGTTTCTCTTATCTATGAAAATTTCTTTAATTTTTTAAAATGAATTTTTATAAAGTTCTTAAAATGTAAAATTATTTTCGTTTGAAATAAACTACAATTAATGTTTATTGCACCTGTTTTATTGTTTTTTTTCCGAAATAAAAAAATTAAATTTTTTTATGCGAACATCAAAAAAGAGGAATACAATGGTATTAGAATTAAAGATAATGGGAATAAATATTATTATTAATTAAAAAAATTATCCTAAATAGGAATAAAACATAGAAAAATTACCAAAATAGAAGCTCTATTTTTTATCACTAAAATAGGAATTCGCATTGTGCTAATATGACATTGTATATGGATATTTCACGATACTTTTTGGTAATAGATATAGTCATGATTGATATTGTAAATGCATTTTAACTTTTAGTTCGGAAATAAACATATAGAACACCTATTTCGGTATATTTTCAATGTTTTACTCCTACTTTAGTTTTTCCCTATTAATTACCACCCTTATTCTATTGTTTTCTTATTATATTGTTACTATGATTCTTATTCTATTATAATTAGGATTCTCTTTTGTAATTCCTATATATATGTAACCTTTATTATTCAATAAGACTAACTATTATCAAACTGTATCATGGTATTAGAGTAATGGTTTTTTCGTCTCCAAAACGTTTTATGTGTGCCTAACAATCGCCACCGATCACGACGAGCGTGGTTAACAACCACCATCCCTTATCCATCTCTTTCTCTCTAAATGATTATGGACGTGTCTAATGATTTTCATCCCTTATCCTTATTCTTCCAAAAAAAATTATGTGCGTACTCGAAGAACGGGAAAATTGCATCTATCAGTGTTTTTTCCAAGAGATCGATCGATAACATGATAAATGATAGAGAAGCAGCAAGAAACCCACAAGGTGAAAAAAAGAAACTTCTCACTCTCGCTCTAATTACCAACACTCTCCCTAGAAAAAAACCAAGCAAACGTACACTGAAGTTTAGTCGTCATGCAATGAAGATCTGCCTCTATATTTTTAGCGGCTATCCACACAAAACCACTTTTGAGTTCCGCCGGCTCCATTCCAGTTTCCAGTACCTGTGCTTCAAGCTACTTCTCGCTGCCTGATCAGCTTGCATGGGATACTAGAAATAGAGATAATAGGACTTAAATTATATTATTAATTACTATCATTATTCTACTGTTTATATTTATCTAATTGCTATCATAATTCTTATTCTATTATGATTAAAATCCTCTCTTATAATCCCTTACCTTCATTACTCAATAAGACCAACAATTATCAAATTGTATCACATAGGAAATAAAAGAAAAGAAGTGAATACTCTCTCCGTCCAATAATAATGTTCTCGTTACTTATTCACAAGGAGTATCATTTTCTGGACATCCCAATCCTAAAGTCTTTTTTAGACGTTGCGGAGTTTTTCTTATAAGAATATTTTTGGTAAGCTTCACTTTTTTCATTTGGTAAGCTTCACTTTTTTCACTTTTTTGAACTTCCCATTTTTTATTCTATAAAACAAAAAATTGAAAATGATGAAGTATATGTTAATTCTTTATTTGAAACAAAAATAGTTTTAATTTTTTTTAAATATTATAAAAAAAATTAATAAACTTTTTATAATTTTTAAAATATTATAAAATAAATTTAAAAAAACTTTTTGAAAAAGGAATCAAAGAGATGAAAAAAAAGTTAAAAAAAAGAAAAAAAATAAATATATGAAAAATACGAAATGAGTTTTGTTTTCCATGTGATTTAGAAAATATGCACCAATATCTTCTCTTCGCCGGAAGATAACTAGAGATTGATAAAAAAATGTTCAAAGAGGGTGTGAGTGTAAAATTTTGAAAACACACAAATTTTAGAAATAAATTTTGAAAACAGATGAGGTATTAATGTCCTCATATCCAGGCAAATTATATCGTACATCCAGTTGTACCTAGAATTGGGTACAACAGGCTAATTAGGGAAGAAAAATTAATGGAACGGAAGCCCGTGGAGTTGAAGCCGCTCCTCTCGGGTTGGGCCACCGGAGACGAAAGACATGGAGCAGCGAAGACGAAGACGGTGAAGCTGCGAGGATGACGAGGAGTGATGGTGGCGAAAATCCGCTGAAAACGGTAGAGAAGGATCTGGAAGATCAAGCAGCGAAGGTTGAATTGCCGCTGCTTTACAGACAGAGGTTGACGAAGAAGAAAGGCGGTAGATGGGAGGAGAGGCCTCGAATCAAAACCCTAGTAGGGTGGAAGCCGCGGGAGAGAAAGGTTATTTATGGTATGAGTTTTATTTTATTTGAGAATAAGCATTATGTTATTTGAGAATGAGTACTATTTTAATTTAGAATGAACATTACGTTATTTGTGGATGAATATTATAATTGTAATGAATAAATGTGTGAAAATGAGTACTACATTATTTTAGAATGAGTACTACGTTATTTTAGAATGAGTATCACGCTAATTCTAAATAAATAGTTATGTTTGTGCGAGAATGAGTACTACTCTACTTCAAAATGAATACTACCCGGATGTATCTATCTCTAGGTATATCCGGTTGTACCATATACCTTCTCCTCATATCCATGCTCCAAACTAGAGACCAATTTGGTCATAAGAGTGAATTTATTTTTTGAAAATCCACACAATACTCTGATTAATAATAATTCTTCAACAAATGGCGAATTTAACAATAATCTTATAAAAAGTCAGTAATACCAGTAATAAAAATCGGCCTTGGGGGTTTAGAAAAAGGACTGAACTCCCTTCATCCCTGTCTCAAGTGCTTCCTCGAAGAGGCGAGGCTCTGAGAGTTTAGACCTAAGTGATGATGGACTCCTCCTTCACATCGTCGGCGGCAATGGCCCAGAAAACCTGGGAGATTGAGAACAACGTCGAGATTATGGACTTGCCGCCGACGTCGGCGGACTCCTCCGCCTCGGCGTCTTCGGACGCGATCTTTTACTACGACGAGACGGCGCAGACCAAGTTCCAGCAGGAGAAGCCCTGGACCAACGATCCCCACTTCTTCAAGCGCGTGAAGATCTCCGCCCTCGCGCTCCTCAAGATGGTCGTGCACGCGCGCTCCGGTGGTACTATTGAGGTCATGGGCCTTATGCAGGGGAAAACCGACGGCGACGCCATCATTGTGATGGATGCTTTCGCTCTTCCCGTCGAGGGCACTGAGACTAGGGTTAATGCCCAGGCTGATGCTTATGAGTACATGGTCGAGTATTCCCAAACCAATAAACAGGTTAGGGTTATTGTCCTCCTTTTTTTAATGACCTATTTAACATCAATCCACATATTTTAGGATTTTAACAGCCATTAGAGGCTCTTATTATTATCGCCTCATTTCCGTGTCTGTAAATGTTTATTTCAAGTTCCCTCTGATGGCTGATGCTGTACTTTAGTTTTAGAGATTGGACTACCAGATATTGGCTTCTATTGATTTTGGTGTCGTTTTAGAGGTCATAGTACTCTTGTTTTAGGCATTCGGTCTAGTGGCATTCATCTCAGTGTGGGTTTTGGTCGCGTAGGCTGGGCAGTTGGAGAGTGCTATTGTCTAATGCTGTACTTTACTTTTAAAGATTGGATCACCAGATTTTAGCTTCTATTGATTTTCGTTTCATTTTAGAGGTCATTGTACTTTTGTTTTAGGCATTTGGTCTAGTGGCATTTATCTCAGTATGGGTTTTGGTCGCGTAGTCTGGGCAGTTGGAGAATGCTATTGTCTATTGCTGTACTTTACTTTTAAAGATTGGATTACCAGATGTTAGCTTCTATTAAATTTGGTGTCATTTTGGATTTCATAGTAGTTTTGTTTTAGGAATTTGGTCTAGTGGCATTTATCTCAGTAAGGGTTTTGGTCACGTAGGCTGGGCGGTTGGAGAATGCTATTGGCTGGTATCATTCTCATCCTGGTTATGGATGCTGGCTCTCTGGCATTGACGTTTCTACGCAAATGCTAAACCAGCAGTTCCAGGAGCCCTTTCTGGCTGTAGTTATTGATCCAACAAGAACTGTATCTGCCGGGAAAGTTGAGATTGGTGCATTCAGAACGTATCCAGAAGGATATAAGCCGTCTGATGAACCAGTGTCCGAGTATCAGACGATCCCCTTGAACAAAATTGAAGATTTTGGAGTGCACTGCAAGCAGGTTATGTGTCATTGCATCTATGTCTTCCCCGAGCTTTGCTGTTTCAATCTCAATCCAAATAGAGCATAGCATAACATTTTGCTTTGGCTGCAGTATTACTCTTTGGACATCACATACTTCAAATCTTCTTTGGACTCTCATCTTTTGGATCTCTTGTGGAATAAGTATTGGGTGAACACACTTTCCTCTTCCCCTTTACTTGGAAATGGAGACTATGTTGCAGGGCAGATTTCAGATTTAGGTAAGACTGATGGGCACGGGGTAGTGTCTGTAACACACTTTTTATATAGTTCTTTCTATTTGAAGCATGCTTAGATACTGAAGTTTAGTATGTGTTAGTCAAACTAATTGCATCTTTTCTTCCTAATGCGCACAGCTGAAAAGCTAGAGCAAGCTGAGAACCAACTATCACATTCAAGGTTTGGACCACTAATGGCTCCTTCTCAAAGGAAAAGAGAGGTAGCCTCTATACTCCTTTTTTGTGAGAAATGTGACTTTAGTTTGGAGTCAGAGATTGAGATCTGGAAACTTTTGTTGTGCTTTTTATATTCTCTCATACACACACACACACACACACACACACCGTATGATGTTTTTTCACAAGCTAGTTCTAGAGAATATAGGGCGCAATGACGTTGTTGGATCCATGTAGCCAACCCCACCTAGTGAGATAAGGCTTTGTTGTTGTTTTTGTCTCCAAATGTAGGAGGTGAAGTGATGTTGGTAAACATACTCCGTATAATGTTGAAACAAAATCTTTATTATTACTATTTTTAATACACTCTAAAAGTATATTTCAATCACGCACGTCTTTGATTGAAGAGCAAGGGAGCTGCTGAAACTTGAAAGCTCAAGAGTATCATCACTACCCTTTTGACACGTAGCTGGTTCTTATGTTGGTTTTTGTACTAACCCTATGATAGATTTTGACGTGCATTCTCTTAAGTGAACTGGGCTTTATCTAATACATGTCCCATACCTCACCACTGTTGCTTTACCTCTAATACTCATTTTATCTTTATTCTCCCTTTTATATGGCATCATTCACTCACCTGCCGCCATGGTTATTTCTAAATGTCATTGAACATGATTCTCAATTTTTTCCTGGGGACATGTATTTTACTCATGCCATTCTTCCCATCTTCAAGATGTACCCCTTTTCATTGAGAAAGTGGAAATTTATAAATATACGGAGTATTTGGTTTTATGTTTGTTTATCTTGAATCTGTTATTGTGTTCGCTATCTAATTGGGCATCGATTATTGGTGATATATGAGGCTTATCATTTATATTTGACAGTGTATGCTAATTGACTTCATAAGCCTAGTACACTTGTGTCAATTGTTTAACCATTTTGAGTACCAGTGCAAAGGAAAACAGGCAGAATCTCTCTCTCCACTCACACACACACATGCACACAAATTCATTGGACCTGCTGTTCTATATGATGCAATCCATTTATTTTTTTCCCGTTTCCTTCATTTTCTTTTTGTTTGTGGCATTATGTGCCATTCTACTCTGTGTAATCTGGATGGATCAATTATTTAGCTATGTGCTTATGTCAGCTGATGACTTGAATATGGTTGTTCTGCATAACATTGTTTGGGTGCAGGACGAATCTCCACTTGCTAAGATAACTTGTGACAGTTCAAAGATAACAGTTGAGCAGGTTCATGGGCTAATGTCACAGGTATATTTTTTTGCACATCTCTCTTAATTGCCTTTGTTCAAATACTCCATGTATATCGGTCTAGCTCCAGTTAGCATTTGAACCCTCTTCGAAGATTTCATCTGAGTGCACTTGACACTGTTTGCTTTTAGGTTATCAAGGACATGCTTTTCAACACCGTTCGTCAGTCAAACAAATCTCGGGCAGTGTCTTCAGGCCCTGAACCTATGGTTGAGACGTGAACTTGGTTTAACGCCCATTTTTTTTTGTCTGGATCTTGTTCTCTCTTTCTCTCGTTTATTGAAGATGTAGGCTTTTTGGTGGTCTCTGATATACAAGTTTGGTCAGCTAAGAATAGATGCAAAATTGTGTAATTTTCATGGCAACTCCTAAACCAGTCTTAATGTGCTTTCAATGCGATTGAAGTTCGCCTTCCCCACACGTGTAGTTCTATTTACTACTTTAAGGGTGTGTTTGGATGGAGGAGTTTGGTTGGGAATGCTTTGGATATAGTTTTACAGTACCAAACTTGTTTGGTGAGCTTTAAGGTGTTTAGAGAAACATAATGTATCCCCTTGTTTGGTTTGGGATTTGAGATTGTCTGGCTAATCTCATGTTAACGCCCAAGTAGTAAAATGAGGTAATGTTGGTGTAATATGATTGATTACCTCGAGTTTCGTTGATACTACTCTCAAGTCCCAAAATAAGGTTTCTCTTAATGCTTACTATATCTGATTCAAGTTATTTTTAGTTCAACATATTTGAAAATTATTTTAGAATTAAGAAATAAAAATTATTACAAAGTATGTACCCTTTAAAATTACATCAAATGTTCTACAAAACAAGTGTTGATTTGATTGTTTTATTTTGTCAAATGATTAGTGAAAACATGTATATAATTAATATAAATAGTGAATGGGAATTTTATTATATGACGGAAGGAGTATTTCTTCAACTACTTTAATTCCCCCCTTAAATCAAGTATTGTTAATTTTGTTTTCAAGTATAAAAATAAATATATTTTTTCCAACTAAATGCATCATGTAATTTTAAATATATAATATTATTGCCCAAGTAATTTTACTTGCATACTCACATTACCTTCCAGAAGTTAAATGTACTGAAGTGTCATACTCTATACTAAACATTGAATGATTACTCTATCTGTCTCAATTCAAGTTATATGCTACATTTTACAAGGTTAAATTTTAACCATGTCCTTTACTCATTTTCGCTACCCATTTCCAAAAATTTGTCAATTTTTTTACTTTTTTGGTCAAAATTGATAAACTTTGACCTCAAATTAAATAAAAATGATATTACATATTGATACAAAAATAATTTTATTAGATTTATTATACAGTATCAAATATTTTCAAAATATTATTTTATGTAGTTAATATACAATATATATTTTATTTAATTACACGTCAAAGGTTGGAAATACTTGACCGAAAAAGGTCAAACTTAGACAAATACTCAGAGACGGAGATAGTATATTCTTGTCAGTTCTTGTTTTTTAAATCTTTTAACGTAGTTTTTAAATATGTAAATTTTTTAATCACGCGCCAATTTTCAAAAAATTACGCAAAAAATAATTTCAGTAAAACTTTGTAAACAACAACAAACGATTAAAATTGGGCGATAATGAAATACTTCCTCAGTCCCAAAAAAGACTCGCTGTTGCTATTCACATGTTAAACAAATTCTACTTTATTCATATATTATCATCTATTATTTGATAAAATAAAATAATTTTGTCATTGCTTTTTTGAAGAACTTTTGATGTAGTTTTTTAATACTACGTATATAACTTTTATTTTTAAATTCCACACTAATTTTTACTTATATTGATTTGAAAATAGCTTCACCGACGAAAGCCTTCTTTTGGGGACGGAGGGAGTAATACTTCTTTGAGATATGGTATATACTAAGTTGCACATCAAGAGTTTGAACTAACAATGTGATGACATACATTGACACAATATTTTCATACTAATATTTTGTGTCATTCTGAGCAATGAGTGTGCCCGCTTTACCTCAAAATTGGAACACATCTTTCTCATAACGAGCTTCTGACTTTTATTTTTGGATGTATCACAATAAAGTTATTCAAATTAATGAATGGATTGTAGGATCCTCTATTGTTTCTCTCTGCATAAGTTGTTAATACATACGGAGTAGATTTTACTTTTAATTATATTCGTTAAAAATAAAAAATTTCCATCACTATAAAATTTAAAAAACTTGTTGGTAATGGTATGATAGAAAATTTAGATAATTCGAACAAGGGGAATGTTCCCATGACATTGCCCGGTAATGTCATAGGATGACCCGGGGGCACTCCGATGGCCCGTTTGTAAAATTGGCGGTTCCTACCCCCCGATAAATCCCTCCATCCTGGCCAGACCCGAACACACCCCCTACCCCCTTCAATTGCATCCCACAACTTGATTTTGACTTTGGAGTCAAATTTTGACTCCAAAGTCAAAATCAAATTGTGGGATGCAATTGAAGGGGGTAGGGGGTGTGTCCGGGTCGGGCCGAGGTGGGGGTTAGGGGATATGAACCGTTAATTTTATGAATTGAGCATCGGAGCACCCCGAATAATCCCACGACATGGGATTTGAATGTCATGGGAATCCCAGCGTTTAAAGAATCATTATTCATACCATACTCCAAACAAATGGAATACTCTATTTAGATTTTAGACAACAGTTCACACTTTATAAGCCTAGTACTCAGAACTAAATGAAAATAATTTTCCAAAATGCAACCATATCATTCTTTTGATCTTTCCCAAATTCAAAGTTTGCAAAAGTTTCAAGTCAAAATACCAAACTTTAGACTTTTGAGGTTTGGATAAGTTAGTTTTTGTTGACCAGAAACATTTACCACTCGGTGTGATTTCCCCCCATCCGCCGCCCCCTGGTCACTCGGTGTGATTATTTTACATAAAAATGGTGTAGAATTAAAAAAATAAATTATATATTTAAAAATATAAAAAAATCTACAAAACTAGTATTGACATAACTTTGTTGTTTTATCAAATGACTAACGAAAATAGAGAAAGAAAATGAATGAAATTTGACCTTTTGAATTTGGGACGGAGGTGGTAGTAACTCTTTGTGACAAAAAAAAGTTCAATCGTACTTCATTCGTGTGAATTTAGTGTTTGTTTAAAAAAACTCATTTTAAAATGAGTTTAAAATAGAGAAATTAGTCCAATCTAGTACTCGTACAATACATCTTTTCTCTAGATAGTACCTAGTGTGTTAATCTGTATTTCACAAATCAAACTCTTTGTCACCAATATGTAATCAGCGATCAAAGTCTAATTCACCTCCTCTCAATGACCGTACGTTCGGATCTGAAGGGGTCTACGGGGATGTGACTCATACTTTTTTTTTAGAAATTAAACTTAATTAATTAATTATTCTCTCTATCCGGGAATGAACTTTTTATGAACTATTCAAATAATTAAATTTTATTCATTTTGTTTGTTTCCTTATACTCTGTACTACTCATTCCATAAAATTCTCTCCGTCCCAAAAAGACTCTTATTTTCTATTTAGAACCTTAGAAGTCTCCTCTTCCATTTTACAGCACAATATTTTAATAGACCATCACCATGAAATCGCACAGGGAGTGTAAATATATAAAAGTGGCTTTGGTTAGAATTTGGTGTATGCATTTCACACATCAATCCCTTTAATTTTGGTCACTTTTGTGTGTGGGCAGAGTTTGATCACTTTATGAATAAAAGATTAAATAATACGGAGTACTCCGTAGTAAAGGAAAAATCTTGGATTAGTTGTTAAGAAAGTAAAATAATAAAGAATGCTTTATTGATTGAATAAATAAAAGAAGAATACAAAGTATGTATTTATAGATGTTGGAATATATTCTAGAATCCTCCACATTAATGACTAATTATATAAGATAATGTTATACTTCGTATAATAATAACTCTAACTATGATAGGTAACAACCATAATTATAATATACTCCCTCCGTCCGGAGATATTCTTCCCGTGTTGACTTGGCACGTTTATTAAGGAATAGTAAAAAAAATGCAAAATTTTCAAAATTGCACATACTATAAACTTTTAAATCTCCTTTTATTATTAAAAAAAGTACTAAAAAAGTAAATTTGTGATAAAATAGAAGGGTATTATTGATATTTAGCCTTAAAAAGTATACTAAAAAAGGAAATGAGAACAATATTTCCGGACGGAGCAAAAAGGAAAATGGGAAGAATATTTCCGGACGGGGGAGTATAATATTAAATATATTAAACACATACTAAGTACTAACCGCATTTTGCCATGTTTTTTTTGTTAGGGATTCTCAACTTTTGTTTTATAAAGAACCAATTTTGTATTGTTTGATACTCCCTCCGTCCCACTATATTCGTCCACTTTTGACTTTTGGAACTGTTCATCTAAACACTTTGACTCATTAAATTCTCTCAATGTGTAAGCCTAAATATAGTCATGCGTGATCTTGTTTGATTTGTCTTAACATATAGATTATTAATATATAATTTTTATAATTTTTTAATATACAAATTAAAAGATAAAATGAATTAAAGAAGTGTATTGGATGGTATGCAAAAATGAAAGTGGACAAATATAGTGGGACGGAGGAAGTACATAGTACTAGAGTACTTTCAAAATGCAATCTTAAAATTTGGTAGACACATAGAACAGTACTTGAGAAAAATCTCCTAGTTTGAGTGATAGAAAGCCCACTCCTAGTTTGAGGCGTTGGCTCTTTGTATGTCAATAGGTTGAGAAAAAGTATAATTATATACTACATTGTAATAAAGTTAATAGCACTAAAAAATGTATAACAATAACTTTTGTAGTACTCCTTCCGTCCTAAAACATTTTTCCCAATTACTATTCACACGACCAAACTTTAATCGATAAAATAATATAGTCTTGTCACCTATTATTTTGTAGAACTTTCGATGTAATTTTTAAATATATGATTTTTTTAATTCTACACCTACGATCAAATAAATTGAATTAAAAATAAAGTCTGTCAAATCCCGTAAATAGAAACGGGAAGAACGTTTTAGGACGGAGAGAATACTATTTAAGCAAAGCCAACCGCCCTCACTATATGAACAGAGTTAAAGGATTAAAATGGACGTTTTTTGGACTGAATTTTTGAAGAAAAAGTATTAATTGTGGTCTCTCTTTGAAGTGGTTGGCTTTGAGAATGCTCATGAAAAGTCTGCCTGCTCCAAATATACGTTTAAACCATTCACTCTCATTGGTGAGTATCCCTTTCGTTTGGTATGCCCTCTCTTCCCATCAAACTCCTTTTTTAAAGAATGCTGCTAAACTCAAACCCAAAATGAAACAATTTTCCTTCATTTCCTCACCAAAAAGGAGTTACTAAACTCAAACCGGTAAACTCGTTGGTTCTCGGGGTTTTCTTTTTCTTTTTTTCTTCTGGCAAACCTTGTTTTCAGGGTTTTTTGAGAAATCAGACAAGACTGATACTTTGGCTAATCCAATCGTCCTATCCGGTATGAGTTTAACAACATTGTTTTTTGACCAAAAATAAACTTACTTCATCCGTACCTAAAAGAACTTCAACTTCTTTTATTTGGCCTTTTCAAAATAAATTTTCTTTTGCACTATGTTTGGTTCAAAGAATTTAGAAGGAATAGAAAAGAAAACAATTTTCTTTCATTTCCTCACCAAAATGGGAGGGATTTAGTTTTCTCTCTTTTTAATACATTTTGCGTTCTCATTTTCTTTTCCTTCCACTTTTATGTTCTTTTCCTCTTTAACCAAACATGAAAAATTATTTCCATATCACTTTATTTTCTTTTCCCTTTCAAATTCTTTGAACCAAACATGGTGTCAGGGACACAAATGTGACTCTTAAAATTTATCTATCTTCCAAACAAATTCAAAATGCATATTTCTTTAACATTGAAACACTTTTTTCTCACACTCCGTAAAGCCAAGTGTGAACTTCTTTACAAGACCAAAGGTGTACTTGTTTGCTTAGTTGAGTTAGTTTGACATGTTTGTGGAGTACTTCTTTAAAAAGACGTTCAACTAGTGGAGAGGTTTTGAACAAATCATTCAAATTAAATTCCATTAATTAGTTTAACTATTTTCGTTATTGACTAACATGGCATAAAAAAAAACAAACATAATATTTCATCTCTACACCTTACATACTCATGGACGACTTCATTATTGTAGCATTTTTGGGGCCAGAAAAACAAAGAAAATGGTCAAATATGTTCTAGATTAATGTACAATGAACAGTATGTGTATGTTTAACTTCATGGTATGACTTTGCAGGTTTCCTGTTAGGTTCTCAACTTTTACTTTTGTTAAGTTTCAAGATAAAAGCCCC